CGCTGTTCAACCCCCCCCCCCCCCCCCCCGAATACATTTCCGGGGCCTGGGTAATGTATTAGGGGGTGTACACCCCCCCCCCCCCGAATACATTAGTTGGGGCTGGGCTCTTCGCGCCCTCACAAGATTTCAGAATATTTGAGAGCCTTAAACGAGGCTTGAGGATTCAGTAGCTCTGAGTATGCCCGACCACACACACGGCAAGCATCTCGCAGAAAACGACGGCAGCTGACCTTCTGAAGGCAGAGCGCCCTCCGCATCAAGTGGGGCCCGTTACCGGAGCTCAAAGCCATGTAAGCCATGTCATGCCGTGAGCTCAAGCGCACAGGCTTGCCGCACCGGATTGTGAGCCTCGACAGTGAAGCATCGCAGGGGTCCGCAGCAAAACAGAAAAGCCTTATTGCGTCTTCCCGGGAAGCGAGCTGGAGGAGCTGGAGCCACATGAGCCACTGAACATGAGAGAGCTGCGACCCTTGCGACCCTTGCGACCCACAAGACCGTTATGCCCATGCCCATCGGCGGTGCTTCGGCGGAAACGCGTTGAAAAAGGGTCCATGAGGCCGAAGCTGCCACGGCCGCATCTAAGAGTCTGGGCGCAGTGTCCCCACATCCAAGAAGCGGGCTATAGCAGCCTTGTGCTCAAAGCTACGGAGCTACGGATGCTTCGAAAGCATCAAGATGAGTTTGCCTTGTGCCAGGAGGTCACGTGGTTGTGCCTAGAAAAGCGGCACAAACCCCACCGCCACCAGTGTGAACGTTATCTTGGTCTCACTACGGAACTTCATCCGCCCTCACTGCGTCCGCGGGAAGCTGTCCCGTGCAGCACGCCATCGCCGGCGTTGGCACATCAAAGCTGCACGTTTGGCTGATCATGGGATTTGGGAAGGCTGGCAACAAGCAGTGGCGGCAAGCAAACACCCCCAGTACACAAGATCGGCTGCGCATGAGCCAACACATAAGGCAGCGTCAATGTAGTGCTTCCCGAAGAATCTATGAGCTGTCGGCAGTGCAATGGTTTTCTAAGTAGCTTCTCACATTGGCATCACTGTATGTGGTGTGTGAGTCCTTAGAAGTCTCCAACAGAAACGGCCTGAACCTGAATGCCTATATACTCATGTTCTTTATTTCCCCTGCATAGGTGGAGAAGTCCTCACCGACTCGCCTCCCTAAGCTGCCACAGCAAGGAGGCACTTCAGAAACTTTCTCTCAAAGGTAAAGGGGGCCTCTTTATCAGGAGGGTCCCGCAAGGAAGTCCTTTTTGGAGCAGCTTAGGGAGCCTGGGAGCGGCCTTCGGAAAGCGAAGGCCGGGCTTTTCGGGCAATAGCGGGCGCACAACTGTCGGTTGGACCTGTTCAATGGTTCCTTTGTAAGTTGCTCGCTGTCAGATTGAAACCTCAAAGAGCAGTTTAGGTCGAGGAACCTTGCATCAGAGGAGTCCAGGCTGGACTAAGGATAGCAAGGAGCGGCGCGCAACAGCACCTTCTCACAGTAGGCCCTTCGCACCAAGGGGACCCCGGATAAGGGGGAGTCCGGACCCCGGATAAGGGGAGTCCGGGCTGGACTAGCAATGTCAGCAGTCCACATGTGATGACGCAGAGGAGAATTTAAAATCACGGCCTCACTGTTCGGATGGGGCAGCCGGGAATGAAGAAGCGGGAGCTCAGAAGCGCTTGCAAACGGATTTTCTTACACCAGCAATACTTACGGAAAGGAAGCGATACAGTACAAGGCGGGGAACCAACAATAAGAAAAAAAACGGAATAGATCTGAACCGCTGTGCTGCAAGTCTTTACAACGAAGAGACACGAGAGTGCCTGAGAAAATTTGTAGAGAGCTTGCCCCCTTCTGCTTCATTGTGCCGTGCACCGAACACGTCCTCATCGCACAGCCATGATCAGCCATGGCGGGGTGTACGTCTGAGGCCATGAGCTTCATCTCCAAGAAAATACTGGATAGACTAGACTCACTAGACATGCATCTGCAATCGGCCACAGGCAAGGAGCCCTCGGAGATGTCTACCAGTTGCCCCCAGTGAGAGGTGTGCTGGCGTTCTTCAGCGTGCACTGGACTTTCCTGCCCTGCGAGGAGGGCAGCGCGCAGCAGTTGCATATGTGAGATGCGGCGCTGATGCTGGCAGGATTAACCCTTTGCTCGTATTGGCCCTCGCCTCAACCCGCAGCCGTGTTACAGCATGAGGACGATCACTGGCACCTTTCTAGCTCGCGGCCCGATTCATGCCCACTACATGTACCGTGCACCTGCAAGCGTTCGCATTGGGACATGGGTCCCATGGGTGCTCTGGAGAAGCCTCAGAGTCGCCCCAGCGTGGTCACGTGGCCCTCCCTGCTAAAAAGCTTAAAGTCGCGTGCGGGAACATAAAAATTTTTTACTTATCTGCATCGGGGAAAACCCACTCCACGGCCACGCTGCTGACCAGCTCGGCGTCCAGCTCGCTAGGTTGGATTCGGATTCGGTAGAGTCAATTTCTACGACATCTGGTCAAGAGATTATCACACTGTGCTGGGTGCACGGGAAATACGTTGGACACTCGTGGCGTAGGTCATCAAGGACGAGGCTTCAAACCTCTATGCCTACGGATCTGCAGAATCAGATCTGCCCATGCACAAAAACAAAAATGCGTTTCCATACCTATTTCTCACCCCACCCTGTAGAAAAACAAAGTTAGACATCTAAACACACGTGCTTAAGCCACAGTGTGGCCCCTTCCTGCCAAAGACCTGTCATTAAAGCGATGATTTTTCTGTGTGTCATAGCTGTAGAGGTGGCGTGGTGGGGGACGTAGAGCGCCCCCAAGCACCCCAAGTGCTGAGCGGAGCTGCTCACCTTGACAAGGCTTCGCGAGAAGCCTTGTCAAGGCGCCAAAGGAAGGGTCACCTGAGGATAACCAGTATACGATGACAAGAAAGTTCGGTACAACTCAGACACCTCGGCCTCGGCGTAGGCAGCTTCATCTTCCCAGAATGGAAACTCTGTGGAACCCTTCTGGAACCCTTGCCAGTCTTAAATCCGCTCCAAAATGGGGGCTGAATAGCCCTGCCCGAGGAGAAGGATATAAGGAGCCCTTTGAAAATGCACGTGAGAGTCAGGTGGTCAGCTAAGAGAGGTAGTCAGCCGAATTTAGAATAACAAAACCTAGAAACTTTAGGTTTAAGACGCGTGTGCAGGTGCGTGGCAAAAGCTACGCAATCCCGGCAAATTTTATCCGTTGACGGACACGGAAACCGATAAAATTGTAGGAGGAGGTGTCCTGCATTTACTGGGCTCTCGAAAGGTTGGTCAAGGAGAAGCGGCCTGCAGGAGCCGAGCGCTCAGCATCGCGCAGCCCGGATATCCTGGTCTCGACCCTGGTCGCGGCACTACATGCAGGAGTTCCCGAGGCTACGACGGATGTCTCAGCTTGACACGAGCATCGCCCCCTCGGCAGCTCCGGGGATTGGAAAGTGTGCATGCGCCGCATGCGCCATGCCCTTTCAACACAGCCGGCATCGCAGCTTCAAACATATACTTTGCTACCCTGCACTATGCCATCCTGTACTCAGCATTGATTTTCACTCTCGCCAGACCCATGCCCCTTGCCATGCCAAGGGGCACCCTTAGATGTCCGGAGACCGGGCGTTTAGCTCCGGACTTTGTGTTGCACCAAGTTGCTGAAGGAAGCTCCTGAGTCCTACGAGTGAGTTCCACATTAATGCGCATTCGGGAATTTGGCCTGAAACACATTCAACTGCCTTGGAGCTACTCGCACTTTCACGGCATTGAGCTTGACCAGCCAGCAAAAAAGGAGCTCAACGGTTGAGTGCACTAAAACATTTCTGGACTACCGAAGGTTGCGGGCTTAGAAATTTATAAGGCTTGTTGATGGTATGAAGGCTTCAAGCAGCTTGAATTGAAGCGTTGGCCCGGAAAGGGTGCGAAGTGTTTGAAAACCTATTGCCCGGTTAGAGCTCTGCAAAGTCGGCGATTTCCACCCCGACCGCTGGTGCCATCAGTCAGTGCACTTTACATTGATCCTGACGACACAGACAAAATCTTGGTGAACAGGAGCCAGGTCAGATGTATGCTGGAGGCATTAAGGCCATCTAGTGTTCGAGCCACACGCCTGTGCTTCGCGGCGATACCATCACAATCCATGTGCATCTTGAGCTCCCTCTGTTGAGTTGGATTCATGGCATCTCCTTGGTCTTCGAGCCAAATGCTTGGCACCTGCATGGCACGTCCTACAACTGAGCGTCGCAAGAAGCCGACTAGCCTGCAACAGAAACTTGACAAGCATGCTCAAAAGTTTCCCTCAGCCATGGAGCCACAAGAATCCACAGCCAACCCCTTGAAAACCACCTTCTCTACCTGCCAAGGTCCCACGGAACGCTTAAACCTCCCCGGGCCAGCCCAACTTCTTCACCGTTTTGGACGTACACATGCTGCGGTGCAAGCCATGGGTCTTCTACAAGTCCTACTAAGTGTTGTTTCTCAAATAGTGTGTCAACACTTGGAGCGTGCTGCCAACCCAAGTCATGCACCCCGTCATGCGCTGCCAGCTTTTTTCGACCGCGCGGCTGTTCGGTCAAAAGGTGGGGATGCAGCATCTCACACCCGCGCGATGGGGCTCGGTCGCACTGCTGGACTCCGTTCCGCACAGAACTCTTTCTCGCCCTCTGCCCTCTCTGCTCCAATCGGAGCGGTCTGTGACAGGAGGTCGCTCTCCGCTCTCCCCCACAAAAACCTCCTGGAGGTGCGTCCGATGGCCAAGATTGTCCTAACCACGACCTTGAGGTTCGTGTTCTTCCCATGAGACGAAGAGCCGCAACAACCTGACCGCACAGAAGATCCTCATCACCGCAATCGCACCTCGCCCCTCGGAGCCTCGGAGGAACCGAACCATCGCTTCGGGGTCGGGGGAGACCACGCCTCGATCATCTTGACATATCTTGTCCACCAGCTCGACGGCGCCAAAGATGCATGTGAAGGCCAACCCTCGAGGGTCAAGGACAAACCTTGACACCCGCGACGACCGCGCTCGTTTCGGCTGCGGCGCAGCGGCTGCAGGGCGTGTCCAGGGAGTGCTGCGCTTCCGCTTCCGTGCTGGGTTCGGGCGCCACAGATGCCACAAACAGCTGCAGCATCTGCAGCATCTGCTGCAGCCTTTGTGGGGAGCTCAGCCTTCTCGGGTTCCCACGCAAGGCGCGGTGATGCGCCTGGGACGACGGCGTCTTGCTCATCAAGGCTGGCCAAAACAACACACCAGCATCACCTTCAGCTCCCGGAGTCCCAAGATGGAAGAACCAAAGCGATATCCAGCTGATGGGCCCAGATCCCGTCGTGCCCTGAAAAGACAGGGATGTCTCCATCACCTTCACGGGCCCGCGACGTCGACGCTCATCTTGGGGAACTGACGGAACTGAGCTGCCCGTGTCTCCACAAAGCTCTGTGCCATCCCATGCTCAGCGTCTTCACGAAGGCTCCGAAGGGGCCTGCCTCGAAAACTTCCGGCCGGCTTAGAAACTCGGGGAGCATTCGGAAAGCCTGCTGTGCTCTTGCTGCGCTGCGACCGCGGAGCTAGCCCCAGGTGCAACATGATGCACCCCAACAGAACCACATTGCTTAAGTGATTCAGGCTGAAGACGTAGTTGAGCATACGGCGATGGCCAGCACCAGAGTCGCGAGGATGCGGGACCGTTTAAACACCATGTCACCAACCTCCAGTCACTCCAGTCGCCCTCCTCTCGCAGATTCCGTGGCCCCAAGAGGTGCCTCGGCGACCTGAGCCACGGCATGAAACTTGTTGAGCCCATCTCACAGGAATCTCACACCACGAGTCCAACGCACCACGATGACACGACCCTGACAACCAGTAGCCCTGGCGCAAGGCACTTTCCGCACGGCAGCGGAGGATGCACGAGCTCCGGTTCATGGGCACGCGGTAGGCCTGGTTTGGGGTCTTGCTTTGAGGACACGACGTACGAACAAAATGGTGGCGTCGGCTGGCTCGGGGTTCACGAAAAGGCTTGGTCTCTAGAGTCTAGAAAGATGAAGGTAACCAGATTGCCCAACGCATCCGATCACCCACGCACCCCCACTCCGCTCACCCCCACTCCATCCCTCATGTACTCCAAGCACCCGTGCCCACCCAAGACCTCCAGGCATTCACGCACTTCAGCCATCACTCGAATCACTCGTTCCACGCGCTCACGACGATCTGCAAGCCACAAGCATGGTATGCTGCTTGCACGCCGCGTGCTTGCGGAAGAGATGATATATATATATATATATATATATATCATAAAATTATAAAACAGCTAAGACTGGGTTCAAGCGATCAGGTCATAGTGGCAACGGCCTTCTCAAGCCACCACGAATTCGTCTTCGCGCACGTTGCCCACCTCTGAAAGCTTGGCCCCGTGGGCCCGTGGGCAGAGTCGACCAGACAGCTGGACAAGGAATTTGAGAAGCGAGCGGGATCCCAACAGCAGCTGAAGAAGCCGCACGTCCAAGAATCGGCCCAATCTCGGACCTGAGAACAAACTCCGTGAACCCATGGCGCAGGTGAATGCTCGCCGTCCAAAAAAGCATAACGAACAAATCTGTCATGCCCCCCTGTGCCGTGCCTTCCGCTGTTGCTCCTCACAATAGAAAACAAGTCACACGGCAACAAGCAGCTCAAAGCACAGCCCCGAGAACACAGCAGATAAAAAGAAAATCCATGCCGCGTCTGCTCCTTCAATCGGCGGATATTTTGCTTCAAGAGCTCGATGTACTGCAACTTCTCCTCGTACGTCATTGCATCTTTTTGCTCGCGCGTCAGTGCCATAGCTGCAATTCTGGGGTGTGCTTTGTGGTGCTGTCGTGTCATGTCATGTCCGCCACAACTGGGAAGACGAAGCAAGTGCGCTTGGTCCCAAATGCAGGCCGGCAGGTAGGTCGAGCGTGGCGGCTCAGGTTCGAGAACCCAGGTCAAGGAACAGCCACAAGTAGTTATCATGATCTACGAAAGTTGCAACAAACCCAATCCAACGGAAAACTGTCAACAAGTGCGCGGCCCATCTGGCAATGTCAAGTTATCTCACGGACGGCATCAGAAAGCTGTGCGCACACCCAATGTCTCCAGGCTCTTTGACCCTCACTTGTGTGCTTCTGCTGTTCTCGAAGGCTTAGTCGCGTTAGGGTTATAGGTTCAGGGTCCGCCAGCGCAGCTGGCGCCAAGACAAATTTCATCTCCTTTGCCCGTTCAGAATGTCTCTACTGTTGCTTCACACTCGCCTGCTTCAGTATGTGCCCGCGGTTTCCTTGCACGCAAATGTGTGGGTCCACTTGTTCGCGCACCTGGCGCACCCAGCCCCTTAAAATAATTCTACAGTTTTCTCCGGGCCTGCTTCCAGTGAAACCTTACACAGGCAACTCCCAATACTGCATCGGCTGAGAATCATCAAATTCTGCCGACGACCGACCTGTAAGACCGGATGAGCTTTCTGCACTGTGAGACCCTGCTGAATTCTGCAGCCTGAAGCATGCTGAAACCTCGACGGGGTGGGGAGATAGGTGGAACATGTCGAAATCCTATTGTCGCTCAGTCTGAAGATGCCGGCTCTGCCCTCAGCTCAGCAAAAAGGAGCGCCGTGCAGAAGTCACATTTCTTCGACTTAAGTGCCGCCTCGAGAAAATCGTCAGATTCCGCAAGCCACGCATGCCACGCGCACATCTGCTAGCTCTAGGTCTCTTGATCAGCTTCAGTGGGTTACGGGCCACGAAGTTGGGCCAGAAGTTGGATGAGGTTGGTTGTTGGATGTTGTTGGTCTTGCGGAGGTAGGACCCAAACAGTGACCACACGGGGATGCGAAACAACGCGAAGAGCACGCACTGGTCCAAGAGCACGTCTCAAACCCCAAAACACACCGGGACTACGCACTCCAAGAGTTCGGGCAGCATTTCGTTGGAACGCTCTTTGAGGCAACGACACCCTTCCGAGCCGCGGGAATCAGAACAGCTGCTACAGCATTTCCTTCTTTGCTGAGAAATATCAAAGCTCCCCGTGCCCCGGCACGCACGGGTTGATCCCCCCGTGAAAGGATGGAGGCGTTCGTTGCGATGCAATCCACAAAGGGGCACACTGGGATTCGGAAACCATTCCCTCCTTCATTTCTAAAGGCCAGCGGCCTGTGGTTGGAAAAGAACACAATTTTGACAATGGATCTAGCATGGCTCCGCTTTGCAAAACCGGCAGTCGTTGGAGATTTGGGCATGCTGCTGCGCAGTCCAGGGGCGTCATCCTTTTGACTTCTCACCACCACCAAAGTCACAGAAATGCTGTCGTGAAGTTCAGAGTGTCGGGCTTTCTTGGTGACAACCGCTTTGCAGTTCAAAGCCTGCACCGAAATCCGCGAGGATTTCAATACAGTGCACATCGTTGGCGAGGATGGCGTCCAGCCCTTTAAAGGGCGTCCATAAAGGGCTGGACGCCATCCTCGCTAACGATGTGCACTGTGTTGAAATCCTCGGGGATTTCGGTGTCTGCCAGAATGGCGTCGATGTCCGCTTTTTCCAGCACAAACTTCGGCTGGATAATGGCCTTGTTCGGATACCTGGCGAGCGCCGCCGCCTGGAGGAGTTGCAGCTTCCACCCTTTCGTGGTGAAAAGCTGCTCCTGTCCCTGACCCTCGGCGGACATGGCTCGAAATACCTCAATGGGGTGCTCGTAGCCGAGGTAGCAGATTCCCTCGCACTGGTTCACCTTAACCTTTTGCCACACTCTGCTCAGGGGCTTGTTGACATTCCGCCCCTCCGGCTGTTTGTCCGGGATGGCTCGACAGGCATAGCCCACTGCAAACGGGTCCACGCGACCCATCCCGTAAAACATTGTCGCATCGCTCTCTTTCGGGCAGGGTGCCCAGCGCTTTGGCTGGACCTCCACTGCTTGCACGGGCTCTGCCTTGGCCGCTGCCTCCTTGGGCTCTGGCTTTGCCTTCTCCGCCGGCTCCTCCTTCTCCTCAACTTCCACAGCCGGCTCCGACTGCGACTGCTCCAAGGGTTGTGGCCGGCGGCACCTGGTCGGGATTTTTTTCTGGAAGGAGCGAGGCTTTCATCCCAGACGCGGAGCAGACATGTGACATGAGCAGACCAACCTCGAAGGTTGGACGGTGGCTGCCAAAGCGGTGGCGAAGAGCCGAGACTTCACGCTCGCACGAGGCTTGCGAGGGTTGCCTGTGCAATGTGTCGCACGTCAGCATCCTGCAGTCAAAGCAAACGGCCGGCCTTCCGGCTTCAGTTCGCGCGGCATTGTTTGTTGCGTTGGCCCTGCGATGCATGGCGTGTTCATTGGATTCATGCGAGTACGAGTCTCATGTAGCCGTCCCTCAAACCAAGCGGCCTTCATCCTGACTGCTTTGCGAGGATCTCTCCACGTACCAGTCTTTGCCACTGGCGTGCCATGCACCTGCCGGCGCAAGCATTACTGGCATCACAGAGATCACCGCACGATGCAAGCTGCCCCTTGAACCCACGCTTGCACAGCCTCGGTCCTCTTCCTTGCTGGACCACTCATTCCAGCTCTGCCAGACACCTCCGGTCAGGCGCTCGATTGCCATGGGTTGCACGGTTGAAACAGCAAACTCGCCATGGCCTTGATCCTGGCACCAGGAGGACCTTCCATCGCGCCCGTGCCAGTAACCTCTGTAGTGGCTCTGTGCCGGAACGATCCCCAGGAAAAGAAAGCGGCGACACAACGAAGCCGTAGACCTACGTAACCTTTGTATCCGCCGAGGCCCCAGGCCTCAGGCATTTAGGTGGGAGAACACGCTTGCCCGCCTCCCTGATGAGCAGTTGGGGGACAAATCTTCGACCGCGTGTTGGCTCGACTTGCTTGTGATTCCGTGGAACAATGCGGGCCCTCGGTCTCGGTCCGGACATGTCCAGACCCTCTCATTTCATTGACTTTGGGAGGCCCCCCCCCAACCCTTTGGAGGCCCTGCAAAACGGCTCTTGCATGGAGGCACTCCTTTCAAAAATGGCCGGCCTCGAGGGTTTGGGGAGTCTTTGGAACTCTTGCAGCTTCCTGCTGGAGCCTGCTGGAGCCTGGGGGGGTTCGTGGCAGCTCCTTCAGCCTCTTGGAGGCGCCTGGAAGCGTCTAAATTCTCTAAAGTTTGTACAACATACATCGCGGAAAGCCCGAGCAACATCAACCGTTTCATTTTCCGGTTGTGGCATCGCTTTGGGGAGTCCTGATCTCCCAGGCCAAGGCGGCACGCGCTCGCGGCAACATGAAACGACCGCGCTCTCGGGATGCGCCAAGCTGTGGCCTTCAGAGCGGCGCTGCTCTCCTTCGGACCATGGTTTCCCGTAGCTGCCTTGTCGCAACATTATCATGCCAAGTCGGCGAGACCACTGCCGTGAGCACAAAAAGAAGTTGGGACAGAAACGCTATAGATTGCAACTCTTGCCAATTGTTGTCGAGACTGTTGTTACTATTGCTACGATTCGGTTTTTCTTATCACCACTTCTTGTTTCTAATTTGGAAAGCATGCTTGAGGCCTTGATCTTGATGCCAGGAGGACTTTCCGCTGTGGCGCCGGTGCCAAGAACCTGTTGGCCACGGTCAGGCTAGGAAAGGCGAAATGCAGGGTTTGGGGTCTCTAAGGTCTATAGGGTCTAGGACCCTACAGTAGGATTTAAATTTAAGGCTTCGTCATCGCTCTGAGACGGCAATGCCCCCTGCCCCCGAACCCAGTCGAATCAGCCGACCACAAAAAAAAGCGATACAGCATCGTAACGGTACTCTTTAAGGCCTTCAAAGTGGTCCTGTTGGTGCCATGACTCGCTGCGGCTGTCTTGTCGGAACACCCGGCCCCCTCCCCCCCCCTCCCCCGCACACAGCAACAGTGGCTGGGATCAGAAACCCGAATCGCTAGACCGGCCTTCATCGTGGCCCCAGCGGCTGGAGAGGGTGGCGTCTGAGGCTTCACCTGACGCAAGGAAGGGCAAGGAAGGGCTCAGCATCTGGCAGCATGCAAAAAAATGAGCAAGACAGGCCTGTCTCACCCCGCCAGTTTCCGGTCCAGCTGGACCAGCCGCTGTCCCACCACTCGCTTGGGGCCATGGCTTGCAGGCCTATTGGATCGCTGCAGCGGTCGCTCCGCCGCTTTCAAATGAAATGCTCATCCGTGCTCTTTGATGCGTGCTCGTGATGCTCGTGCATGTCGTATGCGCGGAGAGACTCAGAGACTAAGCTGGCGAGCAGGACAAAAGCCGGAAGCTCAAGTAGGCACATTCTCACTAAGGAAAGTGCAATGAAGCCACGCATGGCCGCAATATGTTCTTGTCTCGGTGGTTTGCATGTTTAGGTATGGGTTCTTTCGCATGTGAATTGCGTGTTTCACCAATATCTCATTCGCAGAATATCGCATAGCGTGTGCTCAAGCTGTGCCTGAGGATAGCTTTTTTTGCAAAGCACGGAGAGCAATTATGAGAACGCAATTTTGAGGACATCGGCAGAGCAAGACATCTCGAAGGATGTTCTTGTCTCTCAGGATGTGCTAACTGAATGTTTTGCAAATTTAAACCTGGGCGTTGGAGTGCCCACCCCAAGATGCAAGATGGCCGCAGAGAGTCCTGCCGAGTGTCCCTGGAGTGCCCGCGGAAGGTCCTTCGCCACCCCTCGGTCCATCGCATACAGAAGGATCGATTGTGTGATTGCACGAGCCTGTCTTTTCCAGGAGCTGGTACGCGCAGGGCACCATGTGGGCTTGCGGGACAGGAGAGGGTGTAGGGCCCACAACAACAATGACGGTTGATAGTAGATGCGGCGATAGTATTTAAGTGCAAGGGGGGTTCACATTTGTCTTCGTTGACAGCCAGGCCTCGGATTCGGCCCTCTTCCTGGACAAGATGAGTCTATTCGAGCTGGAGAGGAGAACCATATCATGCATGCTCCAAATCCCGAAAGGGAGGGGGGGTGCAAACTCTTGCGTTCATTCTGGAGCCTTCCGAACTGCCTGCAGCTCAGCGGGGTTTCTAGAGTTTTGGGCCTTCACAGAAGGCACCAGCGCAGGAACAAAAGAGAACCGTCAAGAGACAGGAACGCAAGAGTCGAAAACGTGCTGCTTTCGCCCTTTTGTACTGCAGCAGCCGCACGCTGCTCGCGTCTTTTTGACAGCCCTTTGCTCTTTGGCGGGCTCCACAGCCTTGGTAGGCTCTGTTGTAGGCTACCGCAGGCTTCGATGCTCGCTGTGTCAGCTGTGTCAGCCTGAGACTTGGCTGCACATGGCCACGGCAGAGTGAGCACGCAACATTTGCTGCTGGTATTTGGTGTGAGACTCCTTGGTGAGAGAAATGTCGAGGCATACGGCCACCTGCCTCTGGATCGTAATTTTGGAAGTGACTGCATCGATGCCCAATCATATCCAATGAGCACATGAAGCGAGGGTGGCACATGCGCCTGATGAGATGCTGGCCTCTTGCCTATGGTACTGCATCACCTGCTGCGCATGACTCGCTGTATGGCTCTGTAAGGTGTGCTGTTGCAAGTACTCAGTACAACTGTTACAGTAAGGCTTGTAATTAAGGGGGAGACCGCCAGCCCCCATCGGTGCGACAAGGTACATTGGCAGTGAAACGCCGAAAGTCACACTCGGACTGCGTCGGCGTCGACCTGCACACGGCAGGGCAACACCAAAGAAGCAGTTGACCTCGCTTAAGCGCGATGTTTTCGGAAATGTTCGGTTAAGTTCGGCCTTGCGGTAGCCCTGAGGTGTTGCGAGCAGCTGTAGCAGCTCCGCCTGGATGCTTTTGTCGCACCGGTCCTGGCACCGAGTGATAATATGTGAAAATCCCAGGCGCCAATCTCCAAGTCTTCCAAGTCCGTCCGTCCTTCGCGGTGAAGCCCGTCTCGTCCTGGTCACCATTTCCCACCCTTTCCCACCCTTCCGGCATCTTCCGCCACAAAACTGCAAGTGGCACCTTGCACCACGGGACCGCCCCGTTGCTCAGAAGGAGCTGCGCCACGTTGAGGTGGCCCTCCGAATCGAAAGCAACGTGTGATGAGCATCTTATGCATCCTGGTCCGTTCTGCCTCCTCCACTGCCAACATTAATGGCGTGGAGAAGTCGTTCCTGGGCGAATGCTGGCAATTCCCTGTCACTGTCCGAATTTAGACGCAATATCTGTTGCCATGTTGCGCGTGCGTTGCACCTGTGGCACCCTCTTACTCTGTGGGCACATTCTCAGTGTGCGCAGCTGAGGCGCAGAGTGCCGTTGATGTCACTGCCCTGTTGCAAGAGAAACTTGCAGACCTGACAGCAGGGCTTGAAGGCTGAGGACTGCGTTTTTTGAACCGAACTGAACGCTTTGGCTTGATGACATTTGCGGGAGGGTTCAACCACCTCTTCCTCACGTTCACATACGTTCACTGGAAGAGACGATCAGATGATTGACAGATGGACAGCTCGAAAGTTGAATTCGCGTCATCCCAACATCATGGCTTAGCAGAAACACTAGAGTCACTAGGGGTGAGCTTACTGATTTTTGAGGCCTCGCATGGGCACGTGCCTGAAGCTTCTTGAGGGAAGACTAAAAGCAAGCTGTATCTTCCTAAGCCCACAAGGACTTTGACATCATCTTCGTAGACGCCGAAGCCGTGACATTTGGCACATCGGCGGTGCCTCTAACTGTCCGGATTGTGCCGAGTAGTGCAGGGCACTCCAGCCGTGGACATCCACAGCGTTGACACCTTGGCAGCCACACAGAACCCTACACGCTTGCGGGACATCTCGAAATGTTCAGGGCAACCAAAGATGTCAAGCCTTGCTGCACGTAAAGCAGACTTGGGTCTTGTGTTAGGATTCTTCTTCTCCCCCCCTGCTTTCACAGTACAAGTATATACCGACTGCCACCCAAACCTGACCCAAACGAATCATCAGAGTACGTCAGCCTGCGCGGGTCTTCGCGCTCTGATCTGGTCCACTGTGCCTCCCCAACTGGCTGGGCACCTGGCTCGCACCTTCCGCAACAGATCTCTCCACCGCCTGCACAGCAGGCAGAGCAGGCAGTCCTAAATTGAATGGTGCCGAAAGGTTCGCATCCCCGTTTCGTGCCAGCTTGAACCACAACCGACAAGCTGCTACGCTCATTGGTCCCCACGCCGCGTGCTGAATCAGAGTCTCCCGGAGCGTGCCACAAGAGCCTCTTATGCACTGATTTCGTGCAAACTCCTTCGAAGTTTAGATCCTTGCGGGTCCAGTACCAGCCACTTCTGGCAGCGGGAGCTAGATAACGAGATCTGCTGAGACAGGCAGAAGATAGCGTTGGAATAGGCTGGAGTCCGCTGGAGCTTCCTCAACTTGCAGAAGGCCACAGCTTTACAGCTTCTGTACAAGGGCCAGCGACGACGTGATGTTCTTCCTAGTCTTTCTGCTTGCCGCGCCCAGCAACAACTACAGCAACCTTCACTCCTCAAAGATCGGCCCAGAAGAGAAATGCTCGCGGAAATGGTTGGCTGCCCCTATTCTTCGAAACCACCACGTCCACGTGCCGCCAAGTGCCGCTGTTGAGTGCTTCTCAAGTTGCTTAAAGGGACTTTGCAGCGAGGCTCGGGATGGCTCAGATCTCAGATCCCTCAAAAAGCAGACATCTTTCAAAGCATGAAAAAAAAAGCACCTGGCAGGGGGGGCCTTTACCTCATCTCTTGGACTCTTCACATGCCTCCGCGCTTCGATGGTGACTGTGGTGCCTGTGATGCACGCGTTCCCGTGAGGGGCTTTGCCCGACAGGTGAGACATAGAAAATGGATGAAAATAGGCCTCACAAGCTGGTGCTAGCAACGCAGCAAGGCTGATCACTAACGGTCACTAACGGCTAACATGATACGAACATGGAGCGTTGCTGAATTCGACATATAAGGCAGTACAGTTACTAGCGACCTCGAGACCGCCCGTTGAATTGATGTTGGCAACACAAAGATGGCACTTGTACTGCACTGGTAAGGTGCACGTGTACCAGATTCGCTGCATATTCGTGTCAGAGGGCTTAGCCGGCACGAAGCTGCCCCGAGCCAAGCGAGAAGATCGTAGACGTGCTTTCTCAAATCCCATCGGCGCTCCTGCTCAAGGCAACACATCACACATTGTGAGAACTGCTGGGGCCATAGCTGCAAACACCTTGGCGTAGGTCTCAATTGCACGCTCGTGCTGTGGCCCTGCATCGAGGCCTGGCCACTGCTTGGTACTCTCTGACTTAAGGCGATCACTGGATGCGACGAGAGTGCGCCGCACGATGGCTTGAGTTCGTTCTACAACCTTCTCGCCAGCGCCCTTGCCCACAGGTGCTGACAAGGTGTAACGCCATGGAGAGCTGCGACTTCTTGGGCTTTGCTTCTCTCAAGATGCTGAGAACAATTGCAAGATGTTGTGCCTGGTTCTCACACGGGCGAGGACAAAAACAACCTCTGGTCGGCTTAGGGCCAACCGCGCGACCTGCAACCCTCCACCTGCTGCACGAGGCCTCAGCAAGCTCCACACAGGGGGAGCACTCCAACTCACGAGCTTCGGAATCCTGGCACATGCTTCCATGTGCAAACAAAGCTGCTGCTTTTTGAGCATGTAGTGATGTTTTTGAGAAAGAGTACATCTTCTCAGGCCTTCTCTCCAGACGTGAGCAAGACCATGCCCACCTTGCGACAAGCCCCGCGCTTCCCCTATTGGGCCCTATTGCTGTCACCGCAGCCGCCCGTCTTCTGAATTCATGTTGCGCCCGTGTGGGGCTGTGAATCTGACACCAGATCCAGCAAAGAACATGCAGCACAGCTGGGGGGTGACCATTCAGAGGTCACTGCTGCCCAAGTCGAACCTTCCCGTAGATCTTTCCCACTCCCCCATTCTAAACTTGTGCTTTGAGCTGCGTGTTGGTATGGCCCACATGCCAGGGCTTCCTTGCTTCGCCTTTACCTGAGAGCCCGTCACACCCAAAAAGGTCAACAGCATCTCACTCAGCGCCGTGCGTGCTGCGGTGCAGGTTGGTCCACGGCTATCGACCCCTTCGCCCCCCACACTCTGAGTGGCTCGCTTTGGGCTTCCAAGGGCTGAGCGTCTGAAGTCTTCTTCAATGGGCCCTTGCTCGCCCACTTTCACCCCGCATCCGGCAACACGGCTGATCATGCTCCCAGTCATGGAGCATCGGGCACAACCCCCAGGCGAACCACTGCATCCCCGTCATTGCGGCACGAACATTCGGCCAACCGGCACACTCTTCTTCTTTTTGTAGGAGGTTCCTCCTCTCTCTTTCTCCAAGATATTCTTTCTTCCCAGTCTTGGCCCTCAATCACGAAGGGTCCCTCGACCAAAGTAAGCTAACGTGATGAGCAGGCGAGGGACCATCATGAAGAGGATGCACGCGATGTACCCGGCAAACTTCCACCACGGAGCATTGTCCATCTCGGACAGCACCACGATTGCGCTCAAGCCTTGGGACGTCCCCCGCAGAAGACTTTGCAGGATATTGCTGGATGGGCTCTCGGCCTTTGCGCAGCTTTGCACTCTGCTATTTGCAAGATCTTCAATCAAGGCGCTGTTCGTGGCGATGTTGGAGCCCATGTACACCTCAGGACAATTTGTGATCAGATGACAGAAGAGATCAAAGGAGGAGGGTCTGAAAACAGTCTGAGAAAATCGGAAGACAAAGTCAAAGACGGAGCAGTCCCGAAGTGTGTGCTGTCTGCCCCTCTTTCTGCACATCTGTTGTGGCTTTTACTCTTGCTATGCTTTTGTGAATGTGCTTGCTGTTTCCGTTCCTCTCTGCATCTGGCGAGCGACCGTGACCATGAAGAGGGCCTCGTGCTGCTGCATCCCTCGGGAAATGTAGTAAAGATTGCCTCAGATCTCTCGCCGTCGTTGAGTGTTCCAAGTGCCTCCTCCGTGCTCTCTACTTGCTTTGATCTCGGTTGCTGGTAGAGAAGAAAATGGCCCCGCTGAGACAAGCCCAGGAGACCCAGTCGTCCCAGGCGTCACCTGCTCACAAGGCAGGAGTGGTTCTTGAGATAGTGTGAGGCTTGTCGGGATCTGAGGCTTTGGCAATTTCCATTTACGCACTGTCCTGGCAACGGCAGACCGGCAGTTAGCTTGTTCCTGGGGGCCATGGAGAGGCGCCTGCCAACGTTGCCGTGATCTTCGTGCACCACATGTTGCCTGGCCCCGTGCTCTCGGGAACGATGGCAACGTCAGGGAAAGCAGAGAAACGGATCGTCTGGAAACCACTCATTCCACACTACAAGCTTGCTGCGTACATGATCTCCAATATCCCGAAATTTCGCTCAGCGTTTGGCCGGCGAGGGAACCAGCCGTGGCTCCGAGTGAGAAGCCCCGGATGGGAGACCCTCGTTCGTAGCGGGTCTGGATCTTGGCGTCATCTCTGGATTGCCCAGGCTGATGGCTAGCATATCTCCAACTGTCCAGCTTCACCCACTTAGGCCCCGGCAGTAACGTTCCAGAGATACCTGATTTTCCAGAAATTCTCAAAGATTCAAAAGTCAATGCAACGAGTCTCGTGATGGCTGAAGGGCCCCGCCAGGCCAGAAAGCAGAGGCCGTAGAGCAGGGTACGGTTCTGCAACAGCACTGTCTCCACGTACTCGGTCGTCCACTCGACCTCAGCTGTGGGCGACAAGGCACAGATGGCACCGTGTGACGGCGTAGAAGCTTTCATGACTGCAACAGTCCTTGCCTGCTTTATCGGCCGAAACAGCACCTCAGGCCGCTCAGACCACTAGCCCGGGGAACTTCCGTGGCCACATGTGCACACCCACACACACATCTCACACACACACACACACACACACACACACACTCACACACACACACACACACACACACACACACACATTCACACACACACACACACAGAAGAGACAGACAGAGACACACACTTTACCCATTTCACATAGAGACAAACACAGACGGCGCAAACATGCGCAGAACACAATACACCATCGCTAGCCTCCACACCTACTGTTCGAGTCAGGAGTCCGATGCTGTGGCGGCGAAGAAGATGATGCAAGTACTGAGCAGCCTCCGCGAGGTCAGCTTCTCGCCCAAAGAGCACCTGCACGGCTCCAGGCATCTGATACCGCAATTCACATCGGTGCTTGTGCACGGGAATGAGCTTCTGCTGGGGCACGGAGCTATCACCGTGTTCCAGACCTCAATGCAGATCACACTCATCACGCAATGTCATGAATGGAGGCGGGCATGGCTTTGAATGAGAATCTGACTTGCACATGCAAACCATGCAAACCATGCAAAGCAGCACGTTTTCGCAACTCAAGGTGAAGGTGCAACGAAGGTGCAACGAAGGTGCAACATGATACTACAAAGTTTCAGGTACTGGTGTCGGGCATGTCGAGACTGTAGTGGCATCGGTCCATGCTGGTCGGCTTGCTGACCTCAAACATATGCCGTGACGCACCTGCGGCAGAAGCACACTGCTCGGCAAGGATCAGCAGGATGGGATCCAACGACCCACTTCTCGTCCGCCTGAAGATTGAACTTCTTGTTTCTGCTCAGGAAATTGACGAACCGGACGTCTGCCAACGTCCACTCGCCTTGCTGCGCCCGTGCCGTGGTGCGGCACGTAGCCCTCTTCAGCACATCTCTCATACTGGCCTCGGCTTCGGGGCATGATTCCAGGGATAGGTTCAGAGTCTTCTCGAGGTACTCACGGTGCTGATGTGTTCCTGGTGGGGGTTGAGGGAATTGGTGCGTGGCTTTCGGTGCCGTGGGCTTCGGCACCACAGGGGCCACAGGGGTGCCTCGTGGCTCTGCTGGCTCTGCTGGCTGTGCTGGCTGTGGTGGCTCTGGCTCCGAGTCAGAGTCCACCGCTATGGGGACATCTGGGGTGTCTGGGATGTCTGGGCATTGGGCTGCCGCTGGGACCGAGTCCACCATGCCCGGTGGCTTTGGTGGGAATGGGTACCTGGTGCTCGGTGGCTCATGATCCGCCACTATGGGCAAGTCTGCTGGATATGGTGCCGGCCTCTCACGCATTTTGGCCACCGCTGAGCCAGCCACTCTTGCAAGACGAGCCACCTTTTCCCAAGCACGTATGTCCTTGACACTAACACTGGCTCCTGGCGCTCTCCGAATTTCTGTGATTGTTACTTCTCCAGTCGAAGCCGCAGCGCGCTTTCTGCCAGATGCTGGTGCAGGTAGTGCTGGAGGCTCTCGATTTTCGGGAGGCGCGTCTGAAGTGGGAGGCTTCTTCCACGTCCTGGGCCGTGTCTTTGGACGGGGAGTCTGACATGGTGGTTCCTTGGCCGCTTCTTTGCACGCTGCGCAGCGCGAGTCGCTCCACTTGGAGCTCCACTCTCCGGCTCGGTTCAGGCGCACCGCGTTGGCGCTCAGGCTCTCGGCTGCAGGATCCTTGGGCGGTGTAGGCACTGCGCGCCTCAGACTCGGAGCCGCTGGCTTTTTAGCACATTTGAACCCGTGGGCGGTGCCGTGGCTGCAGTGTTCACAGTAAATCTCGTAGCGGAAGAAGTTGGCGTGGCAACGCTTGCAACAGAATCCTCCGAAGTCACGGCAAGTGACTTCGCACCCGCAATGCGTGTTGGCACAACGCAGACCCACCTGCGATTCATTCATGGCGTGCCCAGCTTGCTCACAGTTCTAGTGCTAAGCCGACGACGGCGGGTCGGGCTGGAGGGATGTGGTCAAATAGCTTACCAGATCAGGAAAGGCTCACTGGGCCTGTGAGGCAATATATAATCCTTTACTCTTCTTGCGGACAGTGACAACACACAAACACTCACTGCTTGATCCTGAATGGCACAAGAAGCATTCCATGATTCGGATTGAGCTGACAGAACATGGTTTTTCAGAGGCTCCCCGGAGCTGCAGCCCGATCTTGCAGCCCAAGCTGCAATGTCCATGCCGGTGACAGGGGCAATCACCGTGGCCGGTGCCTCCGAAACATGGCGAGCTTTTGCGGGCTTCAGGCGCTTTCCTGCTGGGGCAGCTGGGGCACCAGGGCATAGCCGGCCATGTCGCACAGCGGATTCAAGGCCACCTGCAGCATCAGGCCTCGCTGATGGAACCATTCACTCTAACTGCCGGACTCAGTAGACGCGGTGCTTCTTCCGGGATAGGGAACTTTGCAGGCTTGAGGTCCCAGCCCACGTAGAACAGGATGGCGCTCTCGCCTCAACCGAAAAGCAGGGGACATGTTTTCAATGTGCCTGGTTTCTGGACTGCAGGCAAGTTCGGCATCATATCTCAAGAAACTTAGAGACAGGGATGGGCTTCATAGGTGATTCAGTAGCATGATCAAAAGAGTTTTTGGCCCTCGCTTGACAGGAATTTGACAGCTAGCTGTTTCGGAGGTCTGAGCGCCAGCGTGACAATATCTCTTTCCTAGATAGCTGCACTTGGAAGATGCCATGTGTAGAGCATGATGCCATGCAGGTGTCCGAGCAAGATTCAGTAAATCTCAGACCTTTGAGTGAGGTTTCTTGGGAGACGTTGCAGATCATTTGAGGTTCATTCAGAGGGCACTTCCTTGTGTAGTTGCTGTGGCGCAACGGAGCAAGGGGTCTGTGCGAGCGTGTATTATAATGTACTAACAGAAACGTTGGGAAATTCGAATGTATATATATATATGTGTGTACAATATATATATATATATATGTACAATAAATAATAAATAAATATATATATATATGTGTATAGATCGATCTTGTTAAAGCCTGGCAGCCCGGAGATGATACTAATAGAATGAAGAAGGAAGTGAGTAAGCGAACGCACCCAACAAACGAACGCAGAATCCAACATCTGTTTCTTGGGGTTTCACTTCGTTCGCTTCTAAACGAATATAATGCGTTCTCTTCACGGTAAAAATATTATTGACAAGGAGTGAGCGGCGCGTGCATAACATTATTGTAGGTGAAGAAAGAGCGCACGCGTGAATGAACGAACAAGTGAAGTGAACGCGTGAACAGGATGCGTGGTTAACCGATGATTGGTACCTTGAGAATGAGTGTGTTCATCCAGCTCATACTCTCTTACGCACTAAATAAATGTATGCATGTATGTATGTGTGGCAATGTGCACATATCCAGAGGGAAGTGCAGCCTCCACAGGTTCATCGGTCTCAGTCGCTTGAGGCTCGCACGATCTTGCTTGTCCTGGCGACTGGCATTTAAGACGTTGGTGAGGCGGGCAGCACCAGCACCTGCCTGCTTGTACATCTCCGCACGTCGGATCATCTGCTTGCCAATGGTGCCCACCTAGTGGGGACAACACGACTTCATGAAATACGCTCCAAGCTGCTTTGGCTGCTCTGGCTGCTAGAGCCACATCTACGAGAAGCTTGGGTGTGCCCGAAGCTTCAAATTTAGATGGAAAAAAAACCGCCAAAGCCTCCCCCCCCCCCCCCCCCGTTCAGTCAGCCCCGGCCCTCACAGGCCCCAGCCTGATGGGCGCTAACGAGGTATTTTTGAGGCTCCCACTAATGTGCCAGCCACCGCCAGGCAGACCTGCACTTTAGAGCATGTCACCCGGTTCATACAGCAGGCCCTCGGTATCGGTAGTCCCTTTCTGTGAACTGCGCATACCTGCGGATCTTCGGCCCTGGCCCCCAGCAACCAGTACTCACCACTGGACGGCAGTGGCGTGGCCTGGGCGGCCTAGGGCACACAGTCTCAAGACAAGCCTCCCAACAAGAAAGTTCAAAGAACATGCATGAACATTCTTCGAGGCACGGCGACCACCTGCGAAAGGGTGCCAATGCCTCAGTACTTGATTAGCTGGGAGGCACTGGGTTATTGTATGTTATTGTCACTTCCGGAGCTGCACACGGTGGTCACACACGTTGCACTTAATTACTTGGCCCCCCATTGGTCTTCCGATCTGCAGCTGATCTGAGAATGTCTGAGTTGAGCTTTCTTGAGCTTTGCTGAGCTTTGGTGAACTTTGCTGAGTTTTGCGTTCTAGCGGTTTAACTTTTAATGTTTAGGGCCGTCTAGGGCACCGGCCCTCTGTCTGGGCCTGCGCGTCCGTCATCAGATCCATGGCAGCTAGAGAATCTACTCAGAGACTTCGAACTCCAAGGTCGTCAAAAAATCCTGCTCTTGTCTGCTCGAGGCTCCGCAACCTTTGGCGGATCGTGCACGTGGCTTTAAGTCCTTGAGCTCTACGCCTCTACGCGCCATTGCCGTTGAAGCTCCTACAAGCGCCTGCTGTCTGTATTGGCCTACTGGGCCTAGCCGGGCCTACCGTAGGCATGGGCCAAAAGGCCGATGAGGCTGCCGGAACCGGGGCCAGCTGCAACAGTCGTTCTGCGAACGATGAAGCCCCTTTATGCCCCTTTACTAAGGCCTGTCCCAAACGTAGATCCGAAAGCCCCGACCCGAAAAGCTTCTGCCGTACCTCCAGGTCTCCCTGACGAGCAGCTTCCAGAAGCCTTTGATTCAGTTGAATCTAGGTTGGGCGCTCCCATGCGCTCACATGTGCTCACATGGTGACACGGCGCTCCTGGCATTCACCACGGGGAGCCCCGACTCAGCGTTGATGCACCTCCGGCACCTCACCGAACCGAACCCAGCGGTGCCGCCACATGCCCGAGTTTCAACCGTTTCAACCTGGGCCGCCTGGGCCTCTGGCTCTGTTCCGTAGACGCTGCAGCTACCACCCATTGAGGTCACACGCGCATTGTTTCACAACTCTGCTCGCAGACTTACGATATGACAATGTTCGAGTTATGAGTAGTTACGAGAGTTCCGACTGATGAGTGCCATGTGCTTGGCAATTTGGCCGGTCCGAAGGCCGATCGGCTCGTCGTTTGGACACACACGATGGCCAACTCAGGGAACTCAGAGGTCATTCTCTGTCGTCTTGACGCCTGATACGTCTATGTTCCTCTATCTTGCGCTGCATCTTGTGCTGCATCTTGTGCTGCGTCTTGTGCTGCGTCTTGTGCTGCGTCTTGTGCTCTGCCAGACCAGGTTTGCAGCACGCCGGGAATCAACAACAAAAAAGCGCATCGTTTCAAACATGTTCACAGAGACACATCTGCCATCAGCCGGCCTTTTGGATCACTCTTGCCTATCCCATGAAGGGAACAGGGTCAAGCACCGTCGAGCTCTGCGTAGGAAGTGTGGAACCGGCCATGAAAGGATCTGGGATTTAGGTGGGATTTCGGGGGCGCCACAACGGGGCCTGTGTCTTGCCCGCGTACAGCTAGTTCCACACTTGAGGCGGAGGTCTCCATGGCATGCCAACTCAGACGCCTTCACAATAGGTCGATCTGAAAGGCAAGTGCAAGGGGGTGTTTGAGGTCAACTCAGGTACTTGTTATTACTTGTTGATGCATGTGTTGCGACACTCGCAGTAGCACGGTCTTGCTGCGTGTCCAGGTCAGTTCTAATTAACAGGCTGCTGCGTAGGGCTTAAATCTTGTTGTGCGAATGCAGCCCGCGAGGACTCCGATCAGTGGCCTGCCAGTGATGCGCTCAATGCGCATCAGAACTCATCAGAACTCGGCTCCAACATCAGAGTTCCAAAAGTGCGGCACGGCACCGGCCTCTCATGGAAGCGGCGCAAGCTGCAGGGTAAAGGCTGCAACCTGCTGCGCAAGAAGGGAACACTGAGAATTCCTGACGGTCTCCGAACTTGACAGCAGCTGGTAGTGCTACTGATGCTACTGCCTTGCCCCAGGCCAGGAGGAAGCCGACGATCCAGTCCTGCAGAGATCGATTCCCCACCTGCACACCTGCCCCGCACTATGGACAAGGCTCCCCTGGTCCTGCGCCGCACCCTTCAGGGAGCTGCGCACGTAAGGTAGGCAGCTCATGGGCAGCAGCGCCCAGAGCACCTCAAGGAGAGGTGCGCGCGAAGGTGTGGAGAAGAGTGGCCGCTGAAATGTGCGTGGGAGGACCCACTGGCCTTATAAACGCAGAACACACAGCACAGGAGCAGACAAAGTCTTTCTCGCTCGCTCTCTCTCTCCCTTTTCTTTCTTTCTTTCTTTCTTTCTAGGGGCATGGGTTCGGCGCCCCGGGCATCTCTCTCCCTTTCTCCCTCTCTCTCTCTCTCTCTCCCTCCCTCTCTCTCTCTCTCTCGCTCTCTCTTTCTTTCTTTCTTTCTTTCTTTCTGCGCACCTAACCCCCCTCTGGTGAGGAGGGCCGCCCGAAGGCGTGCGTTACAGAGTCTCGTGGTTAACCAATGCTGTGGGATCGCTCTCTCTCTCTCTCTCGCTCTCTCTCTCTCTCTCTCTCGCTCTCTCTCTCTCTCTCTCGTTCTCTCTCTCTCTCTCTCTCTCCCCCACGCATGACCCCCCCGAAAGGAGGCCGCCCCCAGGGGCGCGTGCTGTCTCGGGTTCGTTGGAAAGGCTTTCCCTCCCGTATTGAGAGGTCGCCTGGCTCATTGGCCCAAAACAAGAGGTTGGAGTTCGGACTGATGCTGCTACTGTTCAGTTCCTCCCCCCACTGTCCCTCTTGGTTTGTATCTATCGATGGGTTGGGGTTCCGACATCAACCCACGACTAACGCCTTGGTGACCAAAACTAAACAGCAAGTCCAACCTTTGTCTTCCCCCCTCTCTGTGCCCCCATCGTTCTTGCTACTAGTCGCTGCTGGCTCCCTCATGTGTTCTTCGCCGTCTGCTATCGTAGTCCCCTTCTGGTAATCGTCGCTTCCCCCTCTCTCTCTCTCTCTCGCTGTCTGTCTCTCTCTCTGTCTCTCTCTCTCTCTCTCTCTCTCTCTCAGTCTCAGACTCGAAGAGGTATTGGCTCAAGGCCTGCAAGTAGATCTCTCTCTCCACACGCTTAGCCTAACCCGAAGGGGAAGCTGCTCCCAGAGGGGCGCAAGCCCCATGTCTTGTCGGAGATGCCTTCCCCCCGGTATTCGAAGGGGCCATTTACAGCTCAGCATATTGTAATCAGTGAATGAAGTTGAGGGTTTCAGATCGACCTCAAACACCGGTAAAGCTTGAGGTAACCCCTCGATCATGCACTTCGTTCCACTTTGGGCCGCTGTCTCTTATTCTACACAGCGAAGATGTCTCTCTCTCTCACTCTCAATCTCACTCTCTCTCTCTCTCTCTCACTCTCATTCACTCTCGCTGCCTCTCTCTCTCTCTCTCTCTCTCTCGCTCGCTCTCTCTCTCATAGAAGGGGAACGGGGTGAAGGAGCGGGTTATAAGCGGGCCATTCGAAGTCGCATTCCCTTTTCTCTCGCCCCCTCTATTGGGCTCCGGACACGGCGCTGGATCCTGGAGAGCGGGCCAGGAGCCTGCACAGAGGCTCGCAGCAGCAAAAGAAGTCAGAGAGGGGAGGGAGGGAGGGAGAGGGGGGGACCCTGAGAGAAAGGAGGGAGGAGAGGAGGCGAGGGGAGGGGAGAACTTTTCAGAAGCCCGTTTACGTGTTGCGTTTCGTCTTCTGGTCACGTGCACCGTGCACCCCCACAAGCTCCAGATGCTTGAAAAAACCCAACCGCCCCAGTGAGTAGGCAGGCGGGGAGGGTCAGCATCATGAGCATCAGCTGGGTCTTCTTCTGGTCACGCGCTCCCCTGCAGTACAAGCTCTTCGTGCTTGATGGTTTGGTGATGTTTGCCAGCGGGGGGGGGGGGGGTTCTGGTTGTTCGCGCTTTCAAGCTGGCTCCAGAAGGCTCTCCAATGAAAGCATGGTAACGAAGGCATGGTTCCAAGTCGGGCGTGGGGGCAACTAAGAAGGCCCCCTCCAGCATGTGCAATAAGATCAGCTTCTAAGGGTGTCGAGGCCTGCAGCAAGGAGAGCGGCCGCTCGACGGACAGCTTCGACGAGACGCAGCTTCGGCCCTTGCCCAATGCCACAACCTTAGACTCTTGACTAGCAAAGAGCTCAGAAATCAGAAAACACAGAAAACACAAGGACAGCAGGAAGAGTCCCAAGCCGTCTCAGCCTTGTAACCGACACAAACGCGTGGGCATGTTAGCACCTGCAGGAAGTCTGACCGGATGTCCGTCTCGCAAGGCCCACAGCATAAGGCCACAAAACCGCAAGCCTCGCCAGTCGGCTTAGACAGCTCCAAGATGTGCTGCAGCAGAACTCTCTTGCTCCTGGCAAACATGACAAAAAAAAACTGGAGACTGGAACCAAGTACCCGCAAAGGATTCGGGCGCAACTGGCAAGAAAGAACTGAACTAGCTGCAATCTCGAACGAGCAATGCCAAAAAACACCGGGGCGCCGCACGCAAACTCTCGCTTCTGTGGTGAAGGCAGCGCCACCGCCAAGAATCGTAGCAGAGGCCACCTGGCAAAAAAAGGTCTAGAAGCCGGGGCATTCCTGACCCATAGAAGCCCTGATGCAGAAAGCAAGGCCTGGAGCGAAGGTATGGCCGCAGCTTTTGACAAAGGAGCGCGTGGACCTATACGGAAAGCTCCCGAACTCAACTCAGAGGAAAAGACTTAAAGAGGTGGAGCTGAAACTGAGCCGCAGCCACCAGCACTGGCAACAAAGACACCTGAAGGGATGGAACTCGAAGGAAGGCATCAACAATGTCAGAAGTTCATGCTGGCTGCATCATGGCGTGACATGGTTGCAGCAATCATTGCTTCGATTTGCTTGAGAACGGTGGCAAGCAGTCTCGGGGCATCGGCCGCGCGGTCGTAGGCGCGAAGGGCCACCGGGCGGCAGAAGCGTGGCACCTCCGTCTGGGCCGCCTTGCCGTGTTTCGGGCACAAAGTAGTACAGCAAGTGACTTATTGGTAATCGATGGCAATCGCCGTGCTGGTTCTCTTAGTTCTCTTCGGGGCTTCATTGTTGCACAGGCGGCTTTTCATGCTTTTCTGTTCCGCAACCGCAGATCAAGGGCTTGGACTCATGCTGGGCTGCCTGGAAACTTAGTGCTGTGTCGGTTTACTGCAGTTTGAGCTTCTTGAGACTCTGCTGTGTTGAACCTCAACGACTCTATATGGTTCTTTGTAGTTGCTCATCCGAGTTCTGATGCCTTAATCCGCTGCTCTCTCACTCGCTCTTACCCCTGCCTCCGTGACCCAGCTAAAAGTGTCGAAGGCGTTGCTCCGGCTCTCCACCTGTCTTGCAGTTCATTGCTCAGAGTTCTTGAGCTGAGCGAAAGCGCTGGAGTGGAGAGCAAGGGAGCAGAAAAGAGAGCCGACCTGGCCTCCAGCTGAAGCCCACAGAGGCGGTTTGTGAACTTTCGGTTCTCTGCACGCAGCCTAAAGCTCGGGAGAGCTGGTTTCTCAGGCGCATGTTCTGCATCTGATGCCTTCGAGGACAGGGCATGCCTCTTTCGCCACGCGACATTACCACACATATCCAAACCCTAAAGCCGCACATGAACATACAGCAGCACATGGCCACCGCTGCTCACAGGCACTGCCACTAGCGCTCCCAGGCTGCTTTGCAGGTGGAATGGCTGGAATGGCTGGAATGGCTGGAATGGCTCGTGTGGGTCGCGACACGAAGGCCACAACATTCAACATTGTCCAACACTTGCCCTCTCGTGAGTGCTATCAGGTGTGCCGTCGTCCAGGACTTCAGCACGCTGCACCGCATCCCGTGATATCTGCACCCAGTTTGAGCGGAGGAAGAACCAGAAGAGGCACACCGTGGCCTAAGGGCATCAGGGCATCAGTGCATTCGGCTGCCAGGAATTGCTTGTGGGTCAAGATGCCAGAGCATAGCCGACCATCAGGCCTTCACATATCCCCCGAACGCCTTGCAGAGCTTTGCGAAATGCGCGTGTGAGGAGTCACCGAACATCTGGTGAGCAAGTGCAAGGGCATGTCAACACCAAATAGCGACATGCTAGCTTTCTTTCACATCAAGCAGGTAAAGTCGAGCAGAAGATTACCTGCCTCAAACCCTGAAGTCTTTGAACTGCGCGCAACATGGCATATTCTCACGAGAGCCTGCTGTACGGCTGAGGAAGTAGCTGCAAGGGAAGCCAAGAATCCAACAGCAAACCTTGGCTGGGCTCCGCGAGTGTCGGCATCTCTTCACTGTGCTTCGTGTGCTCGGGCTTCCTTTCGTAAGTTAGATCTATAGGTATCTTAACAGAAGAGCTCGGCCGTTGCCCTCTTCCAACACAAAAGAACGGGGCTTTTTCAGGTCTGGACAGTCTGTCATCGGCCCAGGCGCCGGGAGGACTGCAGAAGGGATCACTGCACGTCCTACACACACAAGAGACGAAACTCCTACAGGATTCGAGCAACTCTGGACAGAGGCAACTCTGGACAGAGTAGCGCTTCGCTTGTGGTTTTTGTGGATGTCTGTGGCAAGCAACACGCGTGGGTCCCTGTTTGTTCAGCACGGTGATGACGGGCAGCACGGCACCGATCAAGGCAATCGTCACAGCACCTTTCGCACTCCAACCCCACAATCCTACCCACAACCAAAACATCAGAGGCTCTGTTTCCTGCGCCGACACACATTGGAAAAGGCGAGCATGATGCTACCACGGCACCGCACCAGCGCAGACTCCTAAGGTACAGGGTGCTTCGTGCGTGCTGTGTTTCGTGAATACGAAAACCAAATTCGTGAGAAACGCACGCCACGTGGCCAAATTATCTGCTGCACCTTGACGTCGGGCGACATTAGCTTCACAACGTAGCCCATGACCTTTGCGTCTGTCGCGCGGCACGGAAAAGATCCGCCCAGACAGTCGGCTCAGGAAGCGGCACAAAGCAGCAGGGTGGCAATCGCCACATTTCCAATGAAGGATGCCTCGGCTCTGTAGGCCAGCTTCACCCAGAAACCCCCCTGACACCCTCCATAAGTGCAAGCGACGGCCACGCCAATGTGGGAAACGAAGGCTGCTTCCTTTGGTTTGCCTGGGACTGCGCAGCATAAACGTACCGTTTCCGACCCCTCTTTGAACACTGAACCTTTCAAGACCTCTCTGAATCTCCCTCCAACCTTTGAGGGACACCGGGATACCCCGTGCCTTCCCCTAAGCGCCGGGACATATGAATCCCGACTGCATCGCCCATGGCTGCAGAGTAGAGGAATCCCAGGACGAGCAGGTTCAAAACCTTAGGCGTTGCGGCATACAATGGCAGACACGAACACGCAGGGAAGAACCTATCGTCATCAGACTGAACCCAATTCATCTCGCCACCAGCGCGAAAGCCGCCGTCTCTGCTGGCCCGAGCTCTCCGGCCATCAGCGTGCAGACCTGCTGAGCTGAAGCTTCAGTCCCGGTAGCACGAAATCCCAAGTGCGCTAGGAACACCTTTTTCGGAGGTTTTCCTGACTGCTCTAGATTCTAGAGGCTTTCTTGAAACAAGCCTGGAACTGCAGCTCTTCGGCCACACCACCCAGGGCTGCGGGCAGTGTCATCGCCAGCAACCTCGGCTGTCCCGTCTCCTTCGCCTTCAAAAAGGACTTTGCTGAAGGCTGTGTTCTTCGCAGAACCAGGATGGCATGCTCATTTTTGTTCCGCTCGGGGAGAACTGTCACACGTGCATTTTTTACGATTTAGCAGGGATTTCCAAAAACATTTTACCACGAGAAGCTTACCTTCTTCGTAGGAAAACATCTCGCGCGTGGAGTTCTTCCATTGACACAGCTCATGGATCGCTTCTGAGGGCGAACTCTCCTTCCATGGATTTTTCGTTGTTCCTTCCCATCCGTCCATGTTAGACTTGCAAGGAAACGCGCGAAGTCAATATCGAACGAAAGAAGCAAAATGTTTGTCAGGCATGCAAAAACTCACTAGACAGTTGTTTTTTTTAGGTTTTGGCCCTTGGTCGCAATTTAATTGAGCCTTTCAAGCCGTCACCGGGCTAGTTTTTCCATCAAAGCCGTGAGTCAACCATTTACAGTATCACGAGGACCCAACATCAGGTTCTTGGCGCCAACAATTTTCTCAATTTGCAATTACTCCACAGAAAATAGAAATTAATTTGTAGAGTTTCAACTTGTATGCCAGTCTTGTGAGAAGAACTTTGAGGCTGAAGTGAAACTTTGTATAGCGCGCATATGTAAAGCATTGCATCCTGGGGTTTTTGTGGAGCATGGCCCCTGCGCAAAGGATGACACCGAACCGTGGCTCAAGGTTCAAGTGCGACGATGCACAAATCGAGAAGAGTACAGTGTTGGGGAGTGCGCTTGACGGAGTTTCTGGTTTGGGGATTGGTGTGTGGTGGTTCGCCCTGGGGTTCCTTAGGCTTAGGCCTTGGCGGGCATTGATTTGCCTCCTTAGCCCAGGTCGGTCCCCTTTTAGGGTTGTTACTTGCGTGGGTTGGGGGTTTAGCCTTGTGGGATGGGCCAAGCTTAGGCCGGTCTCTCCCTTGTCCTTCCCCCCTTCGAGGTTTGGATTTGCGATGTTTCTTCGTTTGAGACGTTCAGCCACGGACCCGTCTCTGAGATCCGCTGACCCGGCTGACCCAGGTGGTCAACAGGTTACGATGCAAAACACGTCTGCGAGGCGGTCAGGCTGGACCTTTGGAAGGTGATGTGGCAGGGCCAGAGTATGGTTCTGCCGCAGGACCCTTGCCTGCCCGAGGCAGCTGTGTAAGACGTTCAGTGGAAGTTTCGCCAGGGGTTGCTGAGCTGGAGTCACTTCCGTATTTTCCGCTGTAGGGTTACATGGCGCTGGATTGCTTGGTCCTATGGCGCGCAGGCCAGTTTTCCAGAGGCCCGGCCAGCCCAACCGGCCCAACCGGATCTTCAGGAACAGTCGATGCGGGAGGGAGCTCAGGGCACGGGATGGCTTTCGTGTCTGGGCGACTTCTTTAGAGCGCGTGCCCGTGGACCTGTCGAGACGTTACGATGCTGACGAGGCAGCAGGTTGTAGGGACTAGCGGGGCTGGTGGTGGTGTAGCTTGAGCACCGCACCTCACAAGCTCCCACACCACATCACAACGCGGCAGCAGCGACGGCGGGCATGAAAACTACCCTCAGCAGTTCGCCCTTGTTTGGTCGAAGGGCTCGACATACGGCGCAGCAAACGCCGACGGATGTACTCTGAACAAAGATGCAGCAAAGGAGCTGGCGCTAGGCGGTCCAGCTGGGCCTCGAGACTGTATTCTGTCCCGCTTCCTCCCCACAACCGACAACTGCATGCGCTCCTGCGAACAGCAGCAATGAAAATGAGCTGAAACTTCTTGTGGGGCCCGCTCGTGCCTCGAAATAACTCGAAATTCAGTATGAAAATCGACTTCCTGTACGCTTTGATTCTAAATCATCGATACTTTGTGGGTGGATTGGCCTGAAGAGCCGCTAACTTGTTTTCACAGATATTAAATACACACACACAACGCGCATTTCAATAGGAAACCTCGGTGCGCAGGTTTCAGGCTGTCCTGAGACTACATCCAAAATATTTTCCGGCTGGTCTGGTCGGCTCAGATCCAGCGAAGCAGTTGGGTCCGTCTCGGCCGTGGCCCATGTTTGCGCACAGGGCCTAGAGCACCGGGAAACTGCTGTAGCCTTCACCGCGCTGCGTCCCAGTCCTACTTCTGAGGGCGGTGCGCAAAACAAAAATGCAAGCGTGTGTGAAGACTGGCCCCGAGGCCCTGGTTTTGACTATTACTATGATTTTTCAGGTGAGAACCTCTATTTCCGTGCTTTTGCACGTAGTATGAAGGCATAGATTCCCTCCACATGTTGATGCTAAAATCTCTCTTGTGTCCTCTATGTGTCGCCGATCAAGATGAACAAAAGAACACCTCTGCAAGGGCAAGGCTTCAGGTTTTGCCCTGAACCGCTAGTGGCCTGAAAAAATCATCATGGAGTCAGTAGCAAGATCTGAAAATGCTGACGTGCAGCTTTCGCCAGCGACTTGCTTGGAAAATTTCCGAGCAGGACCATCCAGGCCATGTGGTCTTGTGATATCCCCTCTGCCAGCAGAAGACCACGAAAGTTATGTTGCCTAGGCGGCGCGCCGGTAGACCATCCAAGGCTGCGGCTGGCTGGGAAAAGCTGCTGATGGAGAAGAAAAAGAAAACAAAACAGGTGTGCTGCAGATGCCGGGGGCACGAAGCAGCTTGCTTATCGTGAAAGCAAGGGCTGCCCCAATGATTCCCATCCTCAATGTGAAGATCATGACATAGCCAAGGCCAAGATTTACCAGGGTGAAGACACAGTCCACAACAGCAGCTGGGAGGGTGATTTGCTGCGCGGCATAGTACTCCTTCACCGCGCAGTACCACACATCCAGGAGGAAGCCCGCCTTTGCAGTCCAGGCACTGGCCCCAAAGTGCTGACGGCGCTGGGCTTTTTGGACTTTTGAGGCCTTTGTTTCAGTTCTTCTGAGTCTTGTTTTGGGGTCGCATGGGGACACCATCGGCCTGAGACCACACGGCATACACGCCCGCGAAGTGCGCCACATCCTTGTCAAGACCGAAGGATCTCAGAACGGGCTCGGTGAGCCAGCGAAGCGACATGAAGGGCCTCAGAGGCATCTCAGGCATCTCCGTTCACATCGAAGCAAGCACGAAGCAAGCTCTGTTTCAAGCAAGGTCTCTAAAGGTGTGTCTGCACGTTCTATGCTTGTCTGCGGTTTGCAATGTGAAGGTGGGCTCCCAAGCCGAGACGGAGGGCAAGCCCACGAGGGTGGTGAAGACGAGGTAGATCTGTAGCCAGGTGCCCACCAGAGGCAAATTTCCGGCCCCATAAGCTTGGCTGCAGAACATCGACAGCTGGCCAATCCTGAGCAAGGAGGTGCTAGAGGGGCTCCCCTCAGCCCTTGGAACAGACAACAACAACTTAACAAATTCTAATAACAATGACATTCGCGGTCCCTTTGTCACAGGCCAGTGACCCCATTTTGAGAAGGCTCTACCCGACTCTACCCGACTCTACCCAAGACACCCAGAGAAGAAGAGGACATCCGTCAGCGACGTCCAGATGCTGCTCACAGACACCGCCGCCAATGCCACTGTATCCAGGCGGCCCAGCATAATGCTGGTGAGAAGGTTGTTGAAGACGCCACTGGCCGCCGAAAGTGCCAGAGGGACGCCCAGCTTCACGACGGCACGAATCTCCCGGAGCGCTTTCCTGCCCCAGGCCTGAGAAAGAATTTTGGCGAACTTGGCGAACGAATTCCGACAGTTCCAACAACTTGAAGGTTTTTTGCAGTAAGATTCAGAGCTCGATCATCCCGCGTCATCGCACGTCATGCTCTCATGCTCTCACCTTTTTGAGAGCCCTGCCTTGTCCTCACCCAGGAAGCCCTCGCGAGCCTCCACCGAAACGCTCCCAGAGGCGCTCCCACGCGCAGCCGCTGCGGCCATTTCAGCCATGGCGGGGAAGGCTTGGGAGCCCTGACCCGCAAAGAGGCACAGGAACTCCTCTCTAAGCCTACACGCCACTTCTTTATTTATAGGCTTCAGTCTATGCACACGAAGCTACTCCCAGCTAAGCCGTACCAAGATGGGAGGTATTGGGCAGATGGCTGTCGGGGAGGCTGAGGCTGTTGGGGCACAACAGGCGTTCCGTTGATGTCGGATCCTGTTCTCATCGCTCCTCATCTGCATTCGGGGGCGCGGGCGCGGACCGGCCCTTTCTCCCTTTAAGCCTACAAAACACCCTGAAAAGCCGAGTGAAGCCTCAAACGCAGCTGAAACTGCTGAAGCTGTGACGCTGCCCCCAAGTTGTGCATTGGCCTTGTGGGCGTGAGCTCGTCGACGCAGAGCGCCCGCACAAGGCACGGAGTCGGCCACTCCTACGAAGTCAAACAGCCTGAGACACTCCGTCCTGTGTCTCCGTGTCTCCATGTTTCCGTGTCTCTCTGTCTCTCTGTCTCCAGCCTGGAGCGCGAAACGCTGCAGCGCGTAGAGCCGTCGGTTGTCCAGAGTAACGAGGACGCCCTTCGAGTTCAGGGCTGCCAGCAAAAGGCAGCAAAGCAATGAAATGGTCTGCGGTTCGTCGAAGTACTCAAACACCAACAGGAACGCGGATTTCACAAAATGCGTATCCTACGGTGCTGATGCAGTTGAAGGGGAGCCAAAACGGGAGAGCCTGCTCCTTAAGGTGCAGGAGGCGCACGGGAGGGAAGGGCGGCTCGATGCGCCTTGGTCACCGATGTAAGGGGCATGTAAGGGGCATGTAAGAGGTGAAAGCTTCAATTACAGTTACCTCGAAGAGGTGCCAAGCTTAAAAAGTCAAAAGTTTGAAACAATGCACCCCTTGGGGGTTGACGGTGTCGCTTGCGGACACAGGAAGACACTTGGTTTGGGAAAGAGTTGTACATTGCAGGGCAGTATGTTCAGAGCATGCACTGCTGCATGCACGGTAGCGGGAAAGGAAAGCTGCATCCCAGGCCTAGCCCAAGACAAAGCCGCTAGTAGCAAACTTCTTCCACACGGCTGCAAGCAACATCCTCAAGCTTTCTTCCTGCAGGTGCAGGTCCCCGGCTTACTTCTCTTTCCCTCCTCTGTTTTCAGCTTGATCTGCAGCATGACCTGTCTCCGGAGAACCAGAGGGGGCAAGAGGGGTGATCAAACTGTGATCACCTAACAAATCGAACTCAGCAGCACCATGAAGTGGGGCCTCGGAGATCGGCCCGCGCTCGTGGAAGAAGGGATGGATCTTTCCCTGGGAGAAGCGCACGGCAAGGGGGGAGATCCAGCGCTCCTGTGCGCACATTCAGGACTCGGATGACTCGACTCGGACAACCCGATTTCTGAAGACAATCACAGAGGCATAGGCCTTGCCTCCCACACAATGCCCTCATCCAGAACGCGGCGAATCGGCTCCTCAAGGCTCTCTGAATCAGCCCCCGCCCATAAGCTAAAGCTCCGCGCACATCATCTGCAGCACTGCCTCCGGGAAAAGGTCGTCGTCCTGGGCATGCATATGGCCACGGCAGGCAGTCGGCTTCAGTTTCCTCCGTTCGCTTCCCTTTGAACACGCAAGGAGAGGGAGATCTCAAAAAAGGCGCGGCGTCTTTCCCGCCTGGAAGGGCGGACCCCACTTCAGGCTTCCAAAGGCCGCCTCTCAAGCAAAGATCTGGTCACTCATTCAATCTTTTCTACTCCTCTTGCAACTTCTTCCTCTTCTTGTTTGGGGCTTTGGGCTTGCTGGGTTCTGTGCATATTGCCTGTTTTGTGGGTTTGGGGGGGATGAGTTTCTCGAGTAAAGGGGATGGAGAGCAAGATCTTGTTTGCTGATATCGGCTTCAGGAACAGGATGGCTTCGCTCACTCTATCCGCAGCCTGTCTCTCCGACTCTTCGGGGGGCCTGGACTGCAGTGACCTTATCCCCTTTCTCCTTGTGAGGTGCGCCGTCTCCACTCCAATCACCTGTCCAAACGATTGCAAGGCTCCAGAAATGAAACGACCTCCGCCAAACCCACGCGCATCTGCTCACATGGCATGTTTTCTGCGGCAACGCCTGCTTGCTTGCCGTTCTCCCAGCTCTCGCCATTCTCGGACCAGCCGTTCCAGGACCAATCCCACCACTGGGCAAGAGATGTGGGGTGGGCTGATGAAGGCAACCGCTTCCGGTAAAATTCTGGAAAAATGTTTGGCGCTCAACGGCGCCTTGTCGTTGCTCCAACCATGCTCGGCGGACCTTGGAGTTGTCCACAGGGCAGAGATGCGAATTTCAGAAGCCCGGGCCCAAGATCACCGCCAAACCCAACCGTTTTCGGCCTCCTGGCGCTCTCTGGTGAACGCTCTGCGCCCATGCTTTCTACCATGCTCTCCATGCCCTGCCTGTGCTGCTTTCTCCTTTGCTTTGCCCCGCCCTTTCTTGGACTGGGCCTGCTCACCTTGCTATGACGTGCAACACAACTTCTAAATTCACTGGCACATGGCAGTACCTTGCAAAAGCCTTCCATGGTGTCACACAAGGCACAGGCCTTCCTCCGCAGCGTGTTTGCCCTTCCCCTGACAATGACCATTTAGCCAGAGCAGGGAGAGAAGTTACGATAAGTTTCGAGAAGTTGCGAGAAGCTACGAGAAACAGAGGAGGACGAGCGGGACGGAGAAGGGTGTCGCGTGGCAATGTGTATCCAGACCACTTTGCCCAGAAGGAATGCTTGCTTCACATGAAGAGTCTGGAGGCCACAGTCCACAGTCATGTCTTCGTCGATGCTAGTACTAGTACTAGTACTAATACTAGTAAGTACTAGTACTGTGTACTGGTACTGGTACTAGTACTAGTACTAGTAGCAGTAGCAGTAGCAGTAGTAGCAGTAGTAGCAGTAGTAGCAGTAGTAGCAGTACTAGTAGTAGTAGTAGTAGTAGTAGTAGTAGTAGTAGTAGTAGTAGTAGTAGTAGTAGTAGTAGTAGTAGTAGTAGTAGTAGTAGTACTAGTACTAGTAGTAGTAGTTGTTGTTGTTGTTGTAGTTGTTGTAGTAGCAGTAGTAGTAGTAGCAGTAGTAGTAGTCGTCGTCGTCGTCGTAGTAGTTGTCGTCGTCGTCGTAGTAGTGGTAGTAGTCGTAGTGGTAGTGGTAGTGGTAGTAGTAGCAGCAGCAGCAGTAGCAGTAGCAGTAGCGGGAGCTGAGCAGAAACTTGATCAACCCGAGACGTCGGCCTTCTCTCCCTTCTTGCCAGCTGCCTAAACACTATCATATGCATTTGCAACATGAGACCTCTCTCGAGTTCAGCACAATGAAACACAACAACTCGACAAAGAAACTACTTCGTAAGGCCCACGCGAGTGCCTGTTGCGCACTGGCCTGGAGAGCGTGTGGCACCACAGAATTCATGGGGAGTCTGCCGCAGAGTCCCCAGGTTTCCAGTGATCCCCGGATGCTGGAAGCCGAGTTGCCAATCACGGCAACTCTTTCAGATGCTGCGTTTAGCAATATAGAACTAGATGCATGTAAAATGCTTTGACTTGTGGTTCTTTCCACGCCTTTCTGCAAGCGATTCTGTGCCACGCACTGCTGGTGAACACTGGGTAGTCACTGGGCCATCCGGCATGTGCAGCAGCTGTGGCGTTTGCGAAAAGCGATGCCAAAGGGCCCTCAGAGCAGATGTGCTAGGCACCGTGGAATCAGCTGAAGATAGATTATAAGTCGCCGGCCAGATGGCTGAGATCTGCCTTCAGGTGGCTTCGCAACGAGGCTTGGACTTCTGCGCGCACTCGGACAGAAAGCACAGATGAGATCCCGCCTTCGGCTGCTGGGGCACTTGCCTTCACCAGAAACATGTTTTTCTTCCCCTCGCCCCTGACTTCTCCCCCCTGACTTCACCGAATACCCTTTTGCAGGGAACAGTTCCGACAAGGCGTCTTACTGGCATCTTAGCAGCAGTACATAGGCGAGGAAGCAATCTGAGTGCATCTGGTGACACAAACCAGCACACGAGAGCACCCTTGCGAGCAGCCCGGGCCTAACCGCTGCTGGGGGTGCCTCCTGAGAATGATGGCTGGCGAATCGCGCTTGCTAGGTTGGAGATGTTTGCCATAGTTGTTTCGTCCGCATCGCACGGGTCAAACAATAACATAAGCTGTGGCTACACACTTGTAATACTTGCATTCCCCTAATTATGATTCTTGCTGAAACAAGTCTCTAAGTACACTTCGTCCTTCCGAGTGTTTGCAGTCTCCCGATGTACTATGCGTTGCTTCCGCGGACGCTTCTGCAAACTTAGTGGATTCTGCGAACTGCTTCCGCAAATTAGTTTTTGAAATTGAAACAGGAACAAGGGCCAGAAGTCACACACTGACTCGTTCTCGGCTTCCAGCTGGAGAAGCATCGAGAACAAGCTGACCAGGATCTGGCCTCCTTCCCCCCTTCCAGCCCTTCCCCCAAACCACCCAACCCGGCTGGGACCTCCCTGAAACCCCCTTGCTGGAGCACTTGCTGGAGCACCTGAAACCATTTGATGCCTCTAGACCGTTGCGCATGCTGCACCCCACATTGGGCCAGCCCGGCTGCCGAGACGGCGCGCGCAAGTGTTTACTAGTACTTTGAATGCTTAGGACAAAAACGCCGAATGCAACGTTGCCCAATCCGTAATCCGATGTCAGATCCGTTGTGGTCGGCGAGCTTTCGCTGCACTCACTCGCAAGATGCCGTCAAAAAAAGAACTGAGAAAACCATTTTAAGGCTCGACTCGGCATTTTCATTCCCGGCTTGCACGCTCTGTGCAAACGTCTCGAGCTCAGGGGGCCACCGAGTGATTGCGCGGATGTGACGAGGCGGGAGGCATCATGCATCCCTGCAAACGCGTGGAGCAGCCGGCGCATAGGGCTCAACATAAAGCTCCCACATTACCGGGCTGCAGCTTTGTAGTGTATGATCAGGCGGGCTGGTGAGACTCGGCTTTTAATTACGAAAGAGAAAGTGTCGATTCCTACACACACAGGCCCGGGAATCATGAGCATCAGCTGGGTACTTTTCTGGTACAGTGGCCCCTTGAGCTCCAGACGTTTGCAAAACCCTTCGACCGAGTGATTGCGCAGATGTGACGAGGCGGGAGGCGAGCATCATGAGCATCAGCTGGGTACTTTTCTGGTACAGTGGCCCCTTTGAGCTCCAGACGTTTGCAAAACCCTTCGACCGAGTGATTGCGCAGATGTGACGAGGCGGGAGGCGAGCATCATGAGCATCAGCTGGGTACTTTTCTGGTACAGTGGCCCCTTGAGCTCCAGACGTTTGCAAAACCCTTCGACCGAGTGATTGCGCAGATGTGACGAGGCGGGAGGCGAGCATCATGAGCATCAGCTGGGTACTTTTCTGGTACAGTGGCCCCTTGAGCTCCAGACGTTTGCAAAACCCTTCGACCGAGTGATTGCGCAGATGTGACGAGGCGGGAGGCGAGCATCATGAGCATCAGCTGGGTACTTTTCTGGTACAGTGGCCCCTTGAGCTCCAGACGTTTGCAAAACCCTTCGACCGAGTGATTGCGCAGATGTGACGAGGCGGGAGGCGAGCATCATGAGCATCAGCTGGGTAATTTTCTGGTACAGTGGCCCCTTGAGCTCCAGACGTTTGCAAAACCCTTCGACCGAGTGATTGCGCAGATGTGACGAGGCGGGAGGCGAGCATCATGAGCATCAGCTGGGTACTTTTCTGGTACAGTGGCCCCTTGAGCTCCAGACGTTTGCAAAACCCTTCGACCGAGTGATTGCGCAGATGTGACGAGGCGGGAGGCGAGCATCATGAGCATCAGCTGGGTACTTTTCTGGTACAGTGGCCCCTTGAGCTCCAGACGTTTGCAAAACCCTTCGACCGAGTGATTGCGCAGATGTGACGAGGCGGGAGGCGAGCATCATGAGCATCAGCTGGGTACTTTTCTGGTACAGTGGCCCCTTGAGCTCCAGACGTTTGCAAAACCCTTCGACCGAGTGATTGCGCAGATGTGACGAGGCGGGAGGCGAGCATCATGAGCATCAGCTGGGTACTTTTCTGGTACAGTGGCCCCTTGAGCTCCAGACGTTTGCAAAACCCTTCGACCGAGTGATTGCGCAGATGTGACGAGGCGGGAGGCGAGCATCATGAGCATCAGCTGGGTACTTTTCTGGTACAGTGGCCCCTTGAGCTCCAGACGTTTGCAAAACCCTTCGACCGAGTGATTGCGCAGATGTGACGAGGCGGGAGGCGAGCATCATGAGCATCAGCTGGGTACTTTTCTGGTACAGTGGCCCCTTGAGCTCCAGACGGTTGCAAAACCCTTCGACCGAGTGATTGCGCAGATGTGGCGGGAGGCGAGCATCATGAGCATCAGCTGGGTACTTTTCTGGTACAGTGGCCCCTTGAGCTCCAGACGTTTGCAAAACCCTTCGACCGAGTGATTGCGCAGATGTGACGAGGCGGGAGGCGAGCATCATGAGCATCAGCTGGGTACTTTTCTGGTACAGTGGCCCCTTGAGCTCCAGACGTTTGCAAAACCCTTCAACCGAGTGATTGCGCAGATGTGACGAGGCGGGAGGCGAGCATCATGAGCATCAGCTGGGTACTTTTCTGGTACAGTGGCCCCTTGAGCTCCAGACGTTTGCAAAACCCTTCGACCGAGTGATTGCGCAGATGTGACGAGGCGGGAGGCGAGCATCATGAGCATCAGCTGGGTACTTTTCTGGTACAGTGGCCCCTTGAGCTCCAGACGTTTGCAAAACCCTTCGACCGAGTGATTGCGCAGATGTGACGAGGCGGGAGGCGAGCATCATGAGCATCAGCTGGGTACTTTTCTGGTACAGTGGCCCCTTTGAGCTCCAGACGTTTGCAAAACCCTTCGACCGAGTGATTGCGCAGATGTGACGAGGCGGGAGGCGAGCATCATGAGCATCAGCTGGGTACTTTTCTGGTACAGTGGCCCCTTGAGCTCCAGACGTTTGCAAAACCCTTCGACCGAGTGATTGCGCAGATGTGACGAGGCGGGAGGCGAGCATCATGAGCATCAGCTGGGTATTTTTCTGGTACAGTGGGCCCTTGAGCTCCAGACGTTTGCAAAACCCTTCGACCGAGTGATTGCGCAGATGTGACGAGGCGGGAGGCGAGCATCATGAGCATCAGCTGGGTACTTTTCTGGCACAGTGGCCCCTTGAGCTCCAGACGTTTGCAAAACCCTTCGACCGAGTGATTGCGCAGATGTGACGAGGCGGGAGGCGAGCATCATGAGCATCAGCTGGGTAATTTTCTGGTACAGTGGCCCCTTGAGCTCCAGACGTTTGCAAAACCCTTCGACCGAGTGATTGCGCAGATGTGACGAGGCGGGAGGCGAGCATCATGAGCATCAGCTGGGTACTTTTCTGGCACAGTGGCCCCTTGAGCTCCAGACGTTTTCAAAACCCTTCGACCAAGTGATTGCGCAGATGTGACGAGGCGGGAGGCGAGCATCATGAGCATCAGCTGGGTATTTTTCTTGTCCAGTGGCCCCTTGAGCTCCAGACGTTTGCAAAACCCTTCGACCGAGTGATTGCGCAGACGTGACGAGGCGGGAGGCGAGCATCATGAGCATCAGCTGGGTACTTTTCTGGTACAGTGGCCCCTTGAGCTCCAGACGTTTGCAAAACCCTTCGACCGAGTGATTGCGCAGATGTGACGAGGCGGGAGGCGAGCATCATGAGCATCAGCTGGGTACTTTTCTGGTCCAGTAGTCCAGCTGCAGTAGGCGTGGAGTACATCGAGAAAAAGTGGCTTCCACGCGACTTCCACTACCCCTTCTGCATGCTTCCGTGGCCAGACTCCCATGCAGTCTCTTGCGCTTCCATGGAGTGCGATCCACCCATGGGAGGCAGCATACTCAGCATACAGACATGTCCTTCGCAGCTGGCACCACTGGCAGCGACTTGAACGGCGTCAAAGGAGCAGGGAAGAACCTCATGGCTGCCATGGCTCCATGGCCATCACAACCGCCAAATAACGCCTCACACATCCTCACACACCTGAGCCCCAAGCTCAGGAATCGTGAAGAACTCGGTATCGGTACCGCGACGAAGTCGAAGGGTCTTTGGCAACATGTCGTGGTCGTGCCTTAATTCTCAGCCTGCTGAACCTCCAGTGCTAGACCAAGACTCTGCGACTTTGCAAATGTCACCCAGCTTCCACCGCAGACAGGTTGTGTTACGATGCGACTCACATTGCTTAACCACCACTTGCCACCCAGTTGCCAGAGCGCCATCTGCTGTGACGAAAAGGGACCCTGAATGCATCACAGCTTCTCTTTTTCACTCACCCCGCCTCTGCCCCGGCGACTTGCTAGCACCGCAATGGAAATCATTCACATCATTTCAAGCCAGCCTGCTTCACTGCAGCAACGAGCGATGCTTTTCGGTTCCGATGGACATTTCATGATTTCAGGCACCTGCTATGCGGCCCGATGGTACCCCAGACCGACCATTCCAAAGCAAACTGCCGTGCAGGCAAATGTAGAAACGCAGCCACACAAGTGGTGCATGGTTTGGCATAACTTCGCCGCATGCCGCCGAGTTGATTGACCGTGCCAGATATTGTGGAGCTTCAACAGGGGCGGCACAATTTTCAGGCGCTTTGGGCCCGCAGTTGCCAAGTTCTGCCCATCTGCAGCCATCCAGAGCCGAGGCAACGCAGTAACGCAGTACTAGGTGGGTTGCCTTCTATGGAGCATGGGGGTATGAAGAACTTACAGAGGTGCGGCTCATCCTGAACAGCCGTCACCAGCTTTCGGGTTGGGTATATGCAAGGTAGTTTAATCGTCGAAAAAAACCCGGGCCGTAGAAGTTCAAACCTCGCCGTGGCGTTCAAAACTCAAGCACATTCCTTCTGCATGTTCCACATCGTCCGCATGTTCTGCATGTTTTGCTATCCTGCCTGCAGCTGACCCTTCGTGTCCAGGTAGTGCCCTCAGAATTACAGAGCTAACGCTTCTCGAGACGTAAGGGTATCCCATCGGGCATCCCAAATCGTTCGGAGCTGGGCACAACATGGCACATCGAGGCTTCTGATGGTGTATGGATGCGTACTAGAGCTTCGGCTCGCGCACACCGTTCTGGGGAGCTGGCAAGTCGGAGGCTTCGTCTGCGCGCAGGTCACTCAAAACTGTGAAAAACTGCACCAAATCAACCCCTGAGCCCATTCAGCCAGATTGGTCTTAGCCAGCACAGCGAACCCAACAAATGGCCCACCGTCCTCTGCTCCGCAACTAAAAATGTGTGTTCCTGCTCACCTCCACCCCACCCACCCGGAGTGACCGTGAGTTCTCCCCAAGCAAAGCGCGGCTTCCCTGGATACCCAACTGAAACCATATGACAGATCTAGCCAGCATTTCTAAGGCGAAACTGCCCAGCGCCTATAACCAAAGCCCCGGCAGGACCCTGGCATTTGGCTATCGCAGCTTCCCCGCAGCATTCTCCCGGTTTTCCCTGCACTTCTGCATATCAAACTTCCCCCGGCCTCCACCCGCTGTGGGACCTTGGGCGGCGCTAAGCGGGGCCGGGACCTGGACGATGGGGCGAGGATGGGCGAGGGGACGCAGCGAACAACTGGTACTTAGGGGCCCTTTCTTGTTTGTTTTTTTTGTTTATGTTTGGTTTTTTTTTGTTGGGGAGGGGGGGGGGGGGGGGATGTTTGACGGCCTAGGGTTGGACCCTGTTCTCGCTCTTCGGCAACAAAGGCTCCACTGGAGAACCCGCCCTGCTCCTCAGACGAGGAGACCGGAAGGCACCTGGAAGTCTTGGCCCCAAAGCAAGAGCCTCGCAAATGCTTTTTGATCCACTCACGCAGTCTTTGATCAGGCGCCGCAACCCTTCCGGCAGAGATCAGAGGAATCAGTCGTCTGTGCTGTTGGAGGCTTATGGTTCCGCTGCTCTGTGGCTCTACAGGAATTCGATGACGTACTTAGGTTCGCCATGGTTCCAAATTCTAGGTGGGCCCCTGAATGAATTACTGGGAATCGAAAGTCGACTCCGTCGGAAACAGCTTCCAGGAAAAAGGCTCTTCGACACCAAGGGGTATAACGAAACCTCTACTTGCGTAGGTTTAGCAGAGAACTGCTCGCAAGGCACCCTAGACACCGAAGGACCTCTAAGGCACCTCAGCCACGAGAACTACCCTGTGATCAGCGGATCTCTGCTCAGCTTTTCGCCTTCACATCAACAACACGCTGGCAACACATCTCCTCTAATGCCAAACGCCAGGGGCTGACATGGCAGTGGGCACGGCACTTCTGCAACTTCGCCCGGGAGCTTGATAAATCCAGCTTCGGCAAGACATCCAAAAATCGACAGCGCCGCAAGCCTTCCTTGATAACAAAAATCTTGACGACATGATTTCCGACGGGCTACGTAATTCCAGAAAAAAAGCGCACGGTATCAAGAAAGGAAGGGGCAAGGGAAACACAAAGAGCATGAACGTGCAAAGCAAAGCTACTGCTGCTGTTGTTTTTGAAGCCACTCTCAGACGTGGTCAACATCAACCAAAGGGTTCCCTGCTCCCCAGATGCCGTCACGCGACCCATTGCGCCGCAGTGCGCTGCCGTTGCGCTGACTTCGCGGATTGGGCGGATTGGGCGCATCGACCCGTGCTTTGCACGAGAAGAGGGCGCTCGCAAGACTGAGCTCGCTAAATGCAAGGAACGCAAGAAGTGCACAAACGCCACGGCGCTACTTCGTTGCAGAGTGACGCCAGTCTGTTAGCAAAGTCACGGCCATCACGTTGCGCGCTTCCCTGGCGGCAGGCGGCCGCTGATCACGAAAGGGCCCTACTGATGCCCCCCTGTAGCAAAAGGAGCACTCAGGTATACTCAGGTATTCTCAGGTTTACTCAGATACAAACCTCTCCTCCGAGTCCCTCCCTCGGCGCCTCTCAGTTGGACACCGTGCCTTTGCGCAGCGGACTGCGGGAGCGCTTCTCTCGCACCTAGGTGAGAGCTCAAGTCCCCCAACGGTGGGACCTCTGAGAACCCTTCCTGAACCTGTTCCTGAACGGTTCTCCTGGAAAACCCACCTATTTTCCTCTTTTGTTGTACTTTCAGTTACTTTCAGTTACTTTCAGAGATCACTTCCGGGGCCCCGGCAGCACGGTCGGGAGGCGCTCGTTGGGGACTCGGGGAGCTCCGCAAACTGGCGAGGGATGTTCAGGCTTTGGGCGCTCTTTCAGCTCTCAAAGGCTCTCAAAGGCTGAGGGCTCTTTGCTCCTTTTTGAAGTACAACCCTGAGCTGAGATCCAAGCTCCTCCCGTTCAGGAGACGGAGCGAAGCCTGCCGCAGTCTGAGTCGTGGGACTGAGACGGGGCATGTGCTCAGGTGCGGTGTGTGGCATTAATGGTTTTTCTGTGGCACACTCCTGTCGTGCCGCGTCCAGCCCCGACCTCGCCCCTGTAGGAGGCGCCGCTGTGCGCGGCGCACTGTGGCAGAGCACTGCTGTCGAAGGAATCGGCTCCTGCCGGAGCGGCCAGCCGAAAGCAAGATGAACCAATTGCTTCATGTGTTACATCGTCGTGTATCTCAAGGCTCAAGGCTTGAGAGTTTGCAGCTCCTGGTCAAGCACTGCCCGACCGTGGCCACCCAGTGCTCTTGCAGCAATCGCATTGCTGCCTCACTGCTTTTGTGCTTGGCTGATGGGACACGTGACTCGCCGAGGGTCAAGTGGGCCCCAACCTGATCTGTGAGCAGCTCCTGCCGCAGACTCCGCCAGAGCTGCCTGGCGCCAAGGCTTTGTTTCCATCCTTTTTCTGGCTGACATAAGGATAGACTCGACTTTCATTGAACTTCACAACTATTTTCAAAATTCAGCACAAAGATGGGGTAAAGTAGGAAAACCAACAAACAGGCAAGGAACGGAGGCTTCGGCGCCAAAAGCTTTGCCTGCTCCAAGGACGAGGGCAAGGCTTTGCACAGGCCCCGCAACAAGCCCAACAACTTCGCGCTCAGCAGTTGGGATCCAGGCGTCCGTCACGACGTCGCTTGGGCCACCCTGCACAGAAGCTATTGAAGCACTCAGGCAATAAGAACGGCCTGCTGAAGCGTCTTGTATCTTTTGTTCACAGTAATGTCAGTAATGTCAGCGAAAAGGACTAAGGATATGGCGAAAATGCGACGGAGATAACATTCCGATTTATTGCCGTGCCGGATTCTGGCGCATTTGGCCGGTTCGGAAATGGTGGAAGCCTAGGATGGAAACAGGCCAATGTGACTAATGCATGCAGGTGCGAAAAACCTCAGGCGTCGAGCACAGTTTGCTTCGAGTCCGGTCGTCCGGTCTCCTTCCATTCGGGTTCCAGCTTGCGACACGCAGTCGAACGATGGGATTCTTCCGATGTGTTGCAAGTGAAGTGATGCAAGTACATTCCGACACAAAAACTCTGAGGCAATGTGTTTGGTTGTGACAAAAGAAGATTGGTGACTGGTGTGTGTTGGTGTGTCTTGACGTGCTCCGACGTGCTTTTTATTGCTGTCTCGGAGTTGCAGCCCGTCGCGGCGAGGTGCAGCCGGGATGGTCGAGACACAGCCACAGATCTGCCCGCGAACATCAGCTGCACGAAAGTAAAGGATGCGAAGTGGAGTGAAGTGGAATGCAGTGGAATGCAATGGCCTGCATCACCTGCGACGCGGCGCCTTCCAACTGCTCCGCCACCTTATTGGCAGGAGACCCGCACGTAACTCACACACACACGGGCACCGTGCAAAAGCTTCGAAAGGGGCCTTGAACTGTTCAGGGACTTTTGGTCTTTCTGCGGAGCCTCTTCGAGGATCTCCTCGAACTCGTCGACGGGCATAGCCCCTTCCAGCCTACGCACTGCACTCTCATACTGCATCATACTGCGTTCTCGTTCTGCAACAATCCTTCAAGAGAGGCCACAGGCAACCGAGTTAGCCGCCAGCATGGGCTGCTGCGGTCACAGGTCTGCATGCAGAGGCCGCTGTGGAGCTGGCGCGCCAGAACAGGGAATAGACTTCGGAAACGATAAGTATAAAGATAGAAGAAAGATTCCAGAGAACAACCATGTCCATCAAGACACTCCGGAAGCTAGTGGGGTGCGAATGAGATGGCTCACTTCATCTGATCTGGCCATTGTCTTCGCTCACAAAGCATCTGTGCTTTTTTGGCACTGATAGGACATCTTATGACTTGGGGATACGTGCTTCTCGCTTTCTCGGGCAACTCAATAGTCTGGGGGCCTGGCAGGATGCAAGCTCACGATTGACTCGTAACTGCTGAGACCCATTCCGTCCGAGACACAGAGGGCCTCAAGAGGTCTCTGAACTTCGGCGGAATACTTAAGGATTTGCCCTGGGGGTAGAGCCTGATGACTCTAAGACACTATAGTCTCCTGATTGTCAGGTCTCAACAATCGGCTCCGGGCAGTGTGCGCCGTCCCACCACTGAAGAAGTAGACGTCCCCCGGCCGAAGGAGGACGAGCTTGGCAGCCTGCCGCCCAGAAGTGCAAACGTGAGCAAATCCTGCCCTTTCCTTTCAGGCCCTCCTTTTCCTTGAACAAGCGTGGGGAGGCAACTGTGCCTACATGCTAAAGCCTTCTTAAATTCGAGCAGGTCTGTTAATCTGTTCATGATGCAAGCACAGTAGCTACCAGTGACGTGGAGTTCGGCCCCGTCATGCTGCGATTGTTGTCGATCGACAAGCAACGGGGCAAACATGTCCTTGCCGAGTCGTGAACTCTCCGCGCTTTCTCTCAACTCCTCCATACGAGCGAATGTCCCGTCGACAGCATGTCGAGAGGCCACGGGGCAAACATCACGCAGCAGAGAGAGCAGCGCTCTCTCGTTCCAAGGCGTGTCGTATTTGCTCACAGCTGTGTCACAGCCAGGCTGACACAGTCTCCAGATGCCAGTCGCCGCAACCACCAGAAAGATGCAAAAGACGCCCTAGAAGATGTGCTTGGGCAACCTTGTCGCCCTGAACCCTGACTTGTACCGTTTTGCAAAAACCGCTTTTTGCTTTCGCAAGCAGCCCCTCAACACTTCCCCCCAAGCTCCACCTGGCGCAGGGCTTGCATCTTCACTTCAGACAGTGGCGGGCCTCGGTTCCCGCTCGCTGCCCACTTTGATGGATCTATGAAACAATAGAGGGTTTTCAATCGGAGATGCCAGGAGGAGCCGAAGGATGCCACCAAAAAAAGAAAAAAGGATGACGCAAGTTGAGGCTGCAGGCTGAACAGCTGATCGTCGAAGTCTGTGCAGATCCGGTTACTGACCTCAGGGCTCCGCACCTCCCTGAGCTGAACTGCCCCCCAGTCTCAAGGTGTCTCAAGCTGAGGCGGGGAGAGATTGAGTCAGCTGAGTCAATCGTGTCAATTGAGTGCTTTCTTGTGTCCAAGACCGAGGCGGCGCCCTTGGGCCAGGCGGCCACCAGTTTATAGCCACGCCAGTTCTTGCCGACCTCGGACGGACTCCCCTCTTCTTCTTCCTCTTCCTCTTCCTCTTCTTCTCCTCCTCCATCTTTTAGGCACTTGAGGGCCCCTCTGCGGCAGACCCGGCCGGGTCGGCCAAGTGGTTCACTGTCCTCCTCCATCTCTCTCTTCCTTCCTTCCTTCCTTGCGTATGACCCCCCCGAGGGAGGTCGCCCCAACGGGCACGCACAACCGAGTCAGTTGGTGTGAAAAGGTGTGTGTATCCAGGTTGGAGGGACAGACACACTCTCTCTCTCTTTCTCTTTCTCCTCTTTCAAAACGGCAGTGTCTCTTGGAGTTAGAGGGCGACTTTGGGAAATCTTCGAGGAGATGGAGGCTGGGACGTTGCTCCACAGGACCTGGTCCACGTGAACCTCAGCCAGCTCTCAGCCAGGCATTGACACCGTGGGGCTCAGCACCGGGAACTCAGGAACAAGCCCCCTTGCCGCTCCCCCGGTTCCCGATGAAGACGCCTCACGATGCGCATTCTGCACCACACTTGCCGTCGTCTGGGGGGCTTCCTGCGCCTTCATCGTGGCGATCCCAATAGAAAGTCCACTTGGCCAAAGGGCCCAACACGTCCTTCCTCGGCCACAAAAGTCGCAGTTCGGCCGGTACTCTCTCCGCCCGAAAGGCCTGACGAGTGTACACATGTTGTACAGACAAGGTCCAGGCACGTCGCGGAGGCACACCTGTTGCCAACGACGAATGTGAGGTGAGACTTGGCACATGTTGTTACGGCAACTGGCTCAGAATGGGGATGTGGCGGTCTTCACCAGCTCTCCGTCAATCGGATGGTCAGCTGCCTTGCAAGACTAGCTCCCACTCAAACAGCTTCCGAACCAAATGTCAACTGTTGGCTTAGCTTGGCTCATGCAGCAGCCGCATCTCCGCAATGTAGAGGCTCTTGCTATCCACCTCGAACAGCACAGCACCCTTTTTCATATCCTATGGTATTTTGGGGTCTATACTGTACAAGGGATACCCCGCCACCCCCAATGTTGAAAACACTTTGACGACAGAAGCACTTGCAAATGCCTTCACAATGTTTTCTTCATCGCAAAATTCCTTACCAGAGGCCCTCTTCTGTTTCCTGCATGTCCTCCCCACGATTTTGTCGGAAGCTCCACACTCTTCCCAGGCCTGGTTCTTCTGTTAATTTCTGTTACCTCTAGTGGTAGCACGAAACAGCCTTTATTGCTTGAGCAACTTGCAGATGCAATCGACCATGCGCTTTGTTCCTTCACAGGTCCATACTCGAGTCTGCTTTCGAGATGAGTCCGTTTGGGTTGGTAAGTTTTTGCAACGCCCAGGCGATTTTTAGGTAATGGCACGTCTCATGCTGTGTAACGCATTCTAGCTGCTACGAAAACTTCTGTTTCACGTCTCCAACCTCTCAGAAACTTCTTGACAGGCCTCGGCAAGAAAACAAGATGGCTGCAGATTCATAGACCTTCACTTCTTATTCCAAGGCAGCCGAAGCCCATTGCCCAAACACAGAGGCGATCTTGCTACATTACGCACGAGTCTGCGCCTGGCCCTCGCGAACCAGCCGCAGAATCTCCGAGATGCGGCCGCGGAGGTTCCGCCTCTCTTTCCCAGGGCTCTTCGGTTTCCAAGCTGGTTTGTGCTCGAAGAACCTGCCGCCAAACCACCCCCCGAAACTCTGGTCAGCCATCTCAAAGCCACGGCGCCGCGGAGCCACGGAGCCCTTTCTTGGGCTTTCTTGGGCTTTCTTGGGCTTCTTGGGCCCGCGCCGCTCCTTGGGCAGCACACCACGCTGCTCCCCCTGGCTGTCCACGTACTCCAGGCCAGCCTCCAAGGCTTTGCAACACTTCTTTGCTATCAGGAAAGGAAGCTTGGAACATGCCAAACGCGGCTAAACGTGCGAATGGGATGGGGCGAGGGGAGGAGCTTCGGGTTCGGGAGAGACTACGGCACCTTGTACTTCTCCAGCAGTATGTCGTCCTCGGGCGAGGCCCACTGCACAACGCCCCTAGAACCAGTTGCAAGCCTCTTCCTACCTCTCCCTCACCATTGACCCCCAACCAGGGCCAGAACCAAGGCCGAGGATGCCATCACCAAGAAAGATAATCAGAACGGAAGAAAGAGAGGGCGAGAGAGTCAGAGACACACCTCACACAGACATAAACAAACAAACAAACAATCAAACAAACAGAAAAACAGACAGACAAACAGACAAACAGGCAAACAGACAAACAGAGACTGCGTGACAGCCTTGGCCAGCCGGGTAGAAAGGGACGGCAACTTCTGCAAGAGTCAAGCGTCTTGCATCGTGACATAACCCACAGGGGTCAAGGTACTCAGCCTGCTAATCCAACATGACTTTCCCGAATCGAATTCCCGATAAGCTGTGCTTCTGAGCGCATGGCCCCCTCCGGGGGGGAATGGCCTTTCGGCCGTGAGGCAAAGGACAACAGCTGCGGCTTATTCACTCATCCTTTCGAGCTTTAGTAGAGCCTAAACTCAAGGACCTAGTGTGGGTGAGTGCGCCTTGATGATCATGCTACCGCTGATTTGCTAGATCGTCATCGATTCTACAACCCGCAGAGCTTGACAACTCCGGGCACCTGACTGCTTGAAAGTACTTCAGCAACTCCTCGACCTTCAGGTGCCATGGCATGCCATTACGTGCCATGACGTGCCATGATGTGCCATGGGCCGACATGGTGGCATTCGGACGGCGACATTGAACGAGGTCTCCGAGATCTGCGTTGTTCTTGGCACATTTGGCTCTGAGAGAGATTCAGCCGCGCACCGAGGATGTACTGTTCAGGGCAGTCGTCAACTCTGGGGGCATCACCTCCTGGCAAAATTGAACCCTTCTATCTCACCTCTTGCAAGTCTGTAAGAACTGAACTCTATGGCATCCCATCCTCCTCGTTGAGGCCCAGTAGCTTGACACCGTTCGGAAGAACCTGTGAAGGTGCACCATGGCGGATGCAAAAGAGGGCACTTTTCTAATGGAGTCTAAAGCCCCCATTGGTTCCGTGTGGTACACTCGTACACCAGGCATCGGGCAATGAAATCTCCCAGGTGGTCAGCCACCAGCACCTGCCAAAAGGTTCTACAATACAGAGGGGGAGAGGGGGGGGGGGGGGGTGCGCAGAAAAGTGCAGAAGACTCACAGGATCGCAGGAGTCCCCGCTCCCATCCTCCCGGAGGAAGTCTTTCGCGGAGGAGACCACTCGTGGCTGCCGCAGCGGGTCCTCTGCGACTCTGCAACTCCGAGTTGACATCTATGCCAAGAGAAGCAAACTCAGTTATCAAAACAAGCTGATCAAAACATAAAGGGTTCAGTGCACTCCCCACAAGCCTCAAGCAAGTCGAGCGGCCAAACACCTGCTGACGGGATCCAAACTTTGCGTGATTGCATCTGCCCAGAAAGGGCTCGTGCCTTCCTAAGCCGAGGGTTAGCAACTGATACCAGATGGTCTATGTGGCACTATGCGCTGATATGCCGACATGTGCCACTCCTTCCATACGGAAATGTGCCGGCAGCGATACATTCGTTGGCAGGCCATTGAGCCCTACACTGCTCCACAGGCCTTGCCTTGTAACATCTCCCTCTCTGCCGGCGAGAACTCCACCATCTTTGCCTTGCGGCAACAGTGGGGAAAGCAGGCCGACGGGGACTATGACCTTCTGACATATCACAGCCCATGTCCCAGCCTGAAACGGCAGCAGGCCAGATAAAACCCACCTCGTCCCACCTATAGACCTATGACTGACCTGTGTGTGCGCAATTTTGCGCATGTGAGTGCGTGTGACTGCGCCCAGTTTGGGCCCATGTCTCCCTTGAGTGATGTGATGCAAGTGTCCTGTTACTGCTGCGTGCGAAAAAGGAATGCAGGCGAACTGTAAGACTTGTAAGATCACGCTCTCATGCGCAGCTTGCCTCAGAGCCTTGGAGCTGAGACAGATGAAAGGCAGTGCTTAGCAAGTGCTTAGCGCTGCGAGCTGGGCACGCTGAGCACACATCCAGGAGAAGCAAAGAAAAGCGCTTGGCACTGGAGGGATCTGACTTGAAGGGCTGCAGCGGCGGATGAAAAAGCCTCGGCCCACGGAGGTCGGTTTTGCTTGGCATAAATATTGAGACACGCAAGTGCACATCAATATGCACACACACACACAGAGTCATGTCGTATCTATGTCTCTATATATATGCACACACACACACACATTCTATTATGTTCTTGTCTTCTTCTTTATTTAAGCAGAAAATATATACAGATATTGCCATATACAGACACGCAGACATTATATACATATATCGTCATATACATACACATGTAGGTATACGAATGTGCGTATGCCTGTGTATATGTATGTGTGATTACGTGTCTGTATCTGCACTTGCACCTTCGTCTTTGATAAGTATACTTGCCTCTATAACTCTTACCTGTGATGCTTATAGCTTGCGGTTGATGACTCTCTTTCTTTCTTTCTTTGGGGTGTGGAGGCAAGCCCCCGCGCAACCGCGCGACCCCGCTCCCGCGCCGCACGAACATTTCCTGCTGCGACGATGACTCTCTCTCTCTCTCTCGAAGAGGGTGAGTTGCACCGTCCCTACTCGAGTTCCGCACTGCGGGCCGCACCCCCGAGTTCTCGGATCGACGGTCCAACCCTCTGTTGGACGCTGTTTTTTGCAGGATTTTGCAGGTTTCTTCACTGGCAAACGTCACCCGACTCGATGGCGCTGCGCACACCTTCCTTGTGTAGCATATGGTAGCATGTACAAGGAAGAGCTGCTGTTACTCTCCTGGAAGTTCTAAGCATTCTGCTCCCGGATGGGTATGAAGGGCATGCGTGCCTCATAGCGCACGCGTAGCTCCTGGCGCAGGGGCAAGACCGCAAGAGCAAGACTCTGCTGGCATCTAGCCATGTCTTGGGCGAGAGGTGCTTCTTTTCGCCATCCCAGGCGGGGGCTGCTGCGCTCTCGCACTTTACATCTCCACACATGACTACCAATGTACAGATGTTTGCGCCAAGGCAGCTGGCTCCGCCACAAGCGCGCCGGGACTGGGCCAGGCGGATCCTGTCGCATCGCGCGCTGCCGTGGTCTGGCAAACGGAGGGCGGACCCAGTTTCTGGGTCGCCTTGCGCGCTTAGTCCACCCACTTTGTGAGGTACGTGCTGCTCTTCAAGGCGGCATCCACCTGAGCCGTGCTCATGCTCTTGTACTTTCCCAAGTTCTTCGGGTTCTCCCACTCGAAGAACTTGATGCCATCTTTGGTGACAGGCTCACGGCCAAAGTGGCAGTAGGCAGCCGTCTCCTGGTACTTTGGCTCACGCAGGGCCAAGGACTGCGCGATGGCCCCCGGACGGCAGTCGAACTCAATCTTCAACACCTTCGTGATGTCGTCCACAGTCAGGTCGCCCTTCTCGCTGCCGTAGGTCTCCACGAACAGGGACAGGGGCTTGGCCACGCCGATGGCGTACGACAGCTGCACCAGGCAACGCGCGCTCAGGCCGCTGCTGACCACGGACTTGGCCATCTGCCGGCAGATGTAGGCGGCTGATCGGTCCACCTTGGTGGGGTCCTTGCCAGAGAAAGCACCGCCGCCGTGGGCTCCCCAGCCTCCGTAGGTGTCCTTTGCGGCTGCAGCCATACAAGATCATACAAGCTAGCTTATGCGGTCATGCCTAGCTGCAACAACTGCCGACCCAGGCACAATGATGATCTTGCGGCCAGTAAGGCCCGCATCGCCCTGAGGACCACCGATGATGAACTTGCCCGACGGATTGATGTGCAGGTGCGTGTGGCTGCCATAAAGGCTGATGGCGGGCTGGCCGTTCTTCAATTTGATCGACTGAAGCGTTCGCTTGATGACCTTCTCCTCGATCTCCTTGTTCATCTGCTCCATGCTGGGTGCGACCATCTCCGCACCACTGTAGCCAGCACACTCCTGTGTACGCTTGGCCTTGGACGGCTCTGCATGCTGCGTGGAGATGACAACGGTGTGGATCTTCTTCGGCTCCACAGAGCCATCTGGGTGCTGCATGTACTCGATGGTCACCTGCGTCTTGCCGTCAGGTCGCAGCCACCAGCACTCGCCGCTCTTGCGCACGTCGGTCAAGGTCTTGCCGAGGCGAGTGGCCATGGAGTGGGTCAGGGGCATGCAATCGGACGTCTCGTCGCTGGCATAGCCGAACATGATGCCCTGATCTCCGGCGCCCACATCCATCTCATCCTTGCCCACGTGCACTCCCCCGGCAATGTCCGGGCTCTGCTTGTTGATGCGCACCAGGACCTCGCCTCGACGAAACGAATCTCACAAAAGAATTCTAGCATCTAGCACTTTCTGCGAATCCTAGCTGTGAGGCTCTTGTGACTGGCCACGCCGAGCTGCAGGTCTTGTGGCTCAAACCCTTGCTGTCCACGCTGGACAGGTCGTCCACAAAGCTGTCGAAGCCGATCTGCGCCACAACTCCGCGCACCACCTGTGGCTGGTTACCGCTGGAAACATGCTGCAACTGCCTGCGCCCCACCACTTCCCATACTCTCGGGTTGCTTCAAGCTTGCTTCAGAATGTGCTGCGCCCTTCAGCAATATTCAGCAGCCGGCTTTGGAAAAGTACCAACTGCACAAAACGCCACCGAACACTCACGCGGCATCATTGAGCTCAACCTTGCCTTGTCGTAGTCGAGCTTGGCTCCGGTGGTAATCTCCTTGGCTTTGCCGGCAGGCTCGACGCGAGTTCTGCAGTTTTCGCAGCGAACGCTCTATGAAAGTGTGGCACATTGTAGCATGCAGCCCAAGGCACCCCAGCCACCATGACCATGTTGTCCTTGGTCGCGGTCTCGCAGGCCACCTTGCTCTTGGGGTCCACCTTCAGGCAGGCATCCAGGACAGCATCCGAGACTTGGTCGCAGATCTTGTCCGGGTGGCCTCAAGTTGCTGCTCAATCCCAGCTAATGCTTCCAAGCTTCCAAGAAGCATGCTAAGCTGCTAAGCACGGGACCTTCGTTCACAGACTCTGAGGAGAACAGGAAGGTGCGCGTGGTGCGGGCCTTCTTCTGCGCGGGCTCCGCCATGGCTATGAAGGAGTGGACCAAGGCGCACAAAAATGGTAAAAGCTGTTTTGAGAGAAGGCGGTGAGTTGAGACTTTGCTGACCCCTGAGCCTGGCAGATCCCTTAAGCTACACTGAAGCAGGGGCAGCCTCGGGGAGCATTTCGTGTTCGTACCACACCTAAGGAAGAACAACCCGCACGATCTCTGATACTGTGAGTTTTTGAATGTTCCAGGACAGCTCTCGAGTCAGAAAAGAAGCCTGGGTTGGGCACGAGCATGCGGCTGCCGGAGAATGGGCCGCGCTTGACGGACTGGGGATCCAAGTACTCCCAACCTCTTCGGGGGATACGACATATCACACATCATGACACGAGGCTCGTCACATGTTCTGTGGATTTCTGTGGTCCAAGCATTCTTCCTCCGCGGAATAGGCAACCTCCTGCAACATGCAATGCAAGATTCTCACAACGTAGCAATTTGCCGTTGCTGCCCCTGCAGACTCGCAGACGCCGCTAAGACATTCTTCACATCGAAGGGCAAAAAAAACAGGACAGCAACGCTGTCATTGGATGGGCGGCATCCTCGGTATCGCAGGCTGACCGTACCCTCTGGGCCGTCCATGACTAAGCTTGAGGCGCAAACGCTGTAGCGTGGGAGCTCTTTTTGGTTGGTTGTTCCCAGGGGGGGGTCTTGCTCGAACCAAATGGCAAGCAAGGCAGACAAAGGCAGGATCATTCACAGCATTCTGGGCGACCAGGCCCGACATGAAGTTGCTACGATTAGTCTCACCCACTATGATCCGGGGCTTCCAGCTGACTGTAGCTTGGGAGAGAATCATGTACCACAAGTTAACCACAGAATCCATTTGATGGATGTGAGAGTACGATTGCTGATACTGCGAGTACAAGCCACTAGGACCGTTCAACATCTAGCTCGTTCACGGGTTGCAAGGAGACAAAGCATCCACCGGGGACACCTCCACCAGGGCAGCCGTGCCCGAATTATACGAACAACCCAAGACGGGAGAGAGCAATCTGAGCCCCAAACCTTCAAACCCTGAACCCGAAAACCCTAAACCCAAAACCCCACCACCACAGCACCTGGGCAGGGGGGGGGGGGGGGGGGGGGAGGGGGGGGCGGGGGGGGGGGGGGGGGGAGGGGGGGGGGGGGGGGGGGTGGGTGGGTGGGGGCGAGGGGGTGGGTGGGGGGTGTGGGGGGGGGGGGGGGGGTGGGTGGGGGGGGTGGGTGGGGGGCGGGAATGCTGCGAGGGTTGGGAAGGGGGGAGGGGAAGGGGGGGGGGGGGGGACCCACCCCAGACCATATCAACAAGAAAATAAGTGGATGGGTGGGTGAATTGAATGGATACGTATATATGTATATTATGTATTTATTTATTTTGTATCTACGTATTTATTGATTTGTTTCTTTGTATAGGTATTCATTTTCTTACTTCAACTATACGCATACTTATTGTCATATACAATCACACTCAACAGTACCGTAAACCCTACCGTGCATAAGTCATGATGCTAGTGGCAATTGGAATATGACATGGGGCGTAGCCCCAGCGTCAATGCTGAAAAACAGCTGCCACTCTGTTCTTCTTTGATGCACCGCGAAAGGCAATGCAAAGAAAGAATCCGTGGCCAAGACAGCTGGCTCCGCCACAAGCGCGCCGGCACTGGGCCAGGCGGATCCTGTGGCATCGCGCGCTGCCGTGGTCTGGCAATCGGAGGGCGGACCCAGTTTCTGGGTCGCGTTGCGCGCTTAGTCCACCCACTTTGTGAGGTACGTGCTGCTCTTCAAGGCGGCATCCACCTGAGCCGTGCTCATGCTCTTGTACTTGCCCAAGTTCTTCGGGTTCTCCCACTCGAAGAACTTGATGCCATCTTTGGTGACAGGCTCACGGCCAAAGTGGCAGTAGGCAGCCGTCTCCTGGTACTTTGGCTCACGCAGGGCCAAGGACTGCGCGATGGCCCCCGGACGGCAGTCGAACTCAATCTTCAACACCTTCGTGATGTCGTCCACAGTCAGGTCGCCCTTCTCGCTGCCGTAGGTCTCCACGAACAGGGACAGGGGCTTGGCCACGCCGATGGCGTACGACAGCTGCACCAGGCAGCGCGCGCTCAGGCCGCTGCTGACCACGGACTTGGCCATCTGCCGGCAGATGTAGGCGGCTGATCGGTCCACCTTGGTGGGGTCCTTGCCAGAGAAGGCACCGCCGCCGTGGGCTCCCCAGCCTCCGTAGGTGTCCTTTGCGTCTGCACCCATACAAGATCATACAAGCTAGCTTACGCGATCATGCCTAGCTGCAACAACTGCCGACCCAGGCACAATGATGATCTTGCGGCCAGTAAGGCCCGCATCGCCCTGAGGACCACCGATGATGAACTTGCCCGACGGATTGATGTGCAGGTGCGTGTGGCTGCCATAAAGGCTGATGGCGGGCTGGCCGTTCTTCAATTTGATCGACTGAAGCGTTCGCTTGATGACCTTCTCCTCGATCTCCTTGTTCATCTGCTCCATGCTGGGTGCGACCATCTCCACACCACTGTAGCCAGCACACTCCTGTGTACGCTTGGCCTTGGACGGCTCTGCATGCTGCGTGGAGATGACAACGGTGTGGATCTTCTTCGGCTCCACAGAGCCATCTGGGTGCTGCATGTACTCGATGGTCACCTGCGTCTTGCCGTCAGGTCGCAGCCACCAGCACTCGCCGCTCTTGCGCACGTCGGTCAAGGTCTTGCCGAGGCGAGTGGCCATGGAGTGGGTCAGGGGCATGCAATCGGACGTCTCGTCGCTGGCATAGCCGAACATGATGCCCTGATCTCCGGCGCCCACATCCATCTCATCCTTGCCCACGTGCACTCCCCCGGCAATGTCCGGGCTCTGCTTGTTGATGCGCACCAGGACCTCGCCTCGACGAAACGAATCTCACAAAAGAATTCTAGCATCTAGCACTTTCTGCGAATCCTAGCTGTGAGGCTCTTGTGACTGGCCACGCCGAGCTGCAGGTCTTGTGGCTCAAACCCTTGCTGTCCACGCTGGACAGGTCGTCCACGAAGCTGTCGAAGCCGATCTGCGCCACAACTCCGCGCACCACCTGTGGCTGGTATCCGCTGGACACATGCTGCAACTCTCGGGTTGCTTCTTGCTTGCTTCAGAAGGCGCCGCGCCCTTCAGCAGCATTCAGCAGTCAGCTTTGGAAAAGTACCAGCCGCACAACACACCACCAGACCCAAGGATAGGGTCCAGTTCGGAAGGGTTGTTTTGTGAGTTCGGGAGAATCTAGAAACACCGAAACCATTCTGCTTCATTCAACTTCATCCCAAAAAATCATATTCATTCGAGAACAGTTGAAGCATTGAAAACATTCCAAAAAATTAAAAACACTCCTGCTCCGAAATATCACTTCGAGAATCCCCACCCTGTCCTTCAAACGTCAACTCTAGGGAAACCTTGCATCCAAGCCCGCACGATCGGGTCACGAGTTCCCTTAGTATTGTAGCGCTTTCATCTGCAATGGGAGCCTACGATGTAAGTGGCATCATTTCGGTACAGTTGCCCGCCTGCTTAGTGTGGCAACATTTCGGTACATTTGCCCGCCCTGCCTCAGTCCTACCTGCTGTCCTTGTACTGTCCTGACTCCGTCGCGTCACATGAAGCGTGCCACTTTGTCCCTAACATCTAACTACCCCAATGGGTGGGGAATATGGGAGTGACAGAAGTCTTGCATTTTGAGCATCACAGTCACCCCCATCGCAGACACTGGGCGCAAGGGAGCCCAAGCACAAGAGGCCGGTTTGTTTCCGGAGCCATAAGTGAAACCTGAGAAGGAAAAGGGAGCAGAGGCTTAGGACCTTGGTAGCCTGGAGTTTCCTGAGACCTCGGACCCCGAGGTCTGGATAGAACGGAAACATGTCGATCCGTCCCGAAACATCGGACTTGTTGTGGGTTGTTTTAGAGTTTGGTGGAAAATACTGCTTTTTTTATTGCCAGTTTTTTCGTTCGCTTTCGGTGTTTGTTTCTTGGGTTGCTTGGGAATGTTTGGATGTGTTTTGTGGAATCGCTTTTTGGATTCTTTGGATTTTGGGATGTTTTGTGATGTTGTAACTTTCTAGTTATTCTGATTTTCCTGGTTGTTCTGATTTTTTTGATCTGTTTCTGACTTTTTAACTTTATTAATCATTCCCAACTTTCTTGCGGTTTTTTTGGGGATGTTTTTGCATTTGGGATTTGGGTTATTTTGCTTGTGTTTTGTGTCGGGAATTGTTTGCAATGGTTCCTTTCCTGGAATTTGAAGCGAAATCACCCTAAACCCCAAACCCTGAACCCAAACCCTAAACCCGAAATAACCTCAAAACCTAAACCCTAAAACCGAAATCACCCTAGACCCGAAGCCCGAAAAACCCTGAGCCCTAAACCTAAAGTTCGCCGATCTAATTGTACCGGGGATGTCGGGTGTGCTTTCACTGGGAATCGGGTTCAGGGCTTCGTGGTTCACGCTTTTGGGCCTGTCAACCCTAAAACCACTGTCCCAGAGTCAGAGTTGGGGTCTCGACCACGATGAACTTCCCTGAGACTTTCTCTGGGATTCAAAACATGCCCAAACGTTCCCAAACATTCCGGCTTTCTGATGTTTCTAATTGCTTTGAATTTCTGCAATTAGGGGAAATAGCTGAAAGTAGCCCTTTTGTGGTGATCCCACAAGCTTGGAATGACAGACTCTCGCTTGGCATCATTGAGCTCAACCTTGCCTTGTCGTAGTCGAGCTTGGCTCCGGTGGTAATCTCCTTGGCTTTGCCGGCAGGCTCGACGCGAGTTCTGCAGTTATCGCAGCGAACGCTCTATGAGTGTGTGGCACATTGTAGCATGCAGACCAAGGCACCCCAGCCACCATGACCATGTTGTCCTTGGTCGCGGTCTCGCAGGCCACCTTGCTCTTGGGGTCCACCTTCAGGCAGGCATCCAGGACAGCATCCGAGACTTGGTCGCAGATCTTGTCCGGGTGGCCTCAAGTTGCTGCTCAATCCCAGCTAATGCTTCCAAGCTTCCAAGAAGCATGCTAAGCTGCTAAGCACGGGACCTTCGTTCACAGACTCTGAGGAGAACAGGAAGGTGCGCGTGGTGCGGGCCTTCTTCTGCGCGGGCTCCGCCATGGCTGCGTGGGAGGCAAGTGGACTAAGGCGCACAAAAACGGTGAAACAGGCTGCGAGGCAAGCGTAAGCAGGCATGCACGAGCAACCAGCATGCATTCCTTTGTCAATCAACGTCAATCAACGTCAATCAATGTCAACCCATGTCCGAGGTCGAAAGGCAAGAATGTTTCTGGCACACGCCAGCAGGAGTTCGTCTATACACAACTGGTCCATGACAGCTGGCTCCGCCACAAGCGCGCCGGCACTGGGCCTGGCGGATCCTGTGGCATCGCGCGCTGCAGTGGTCTGGCAAATGGAGGGGGGCGGGCCCAGTTTCTGGGTCGCCTTGCGCGCTTAGTCCACCCACTTTGTGAGGTACGTGCTGCTCTTCAAGGCGGCATCCACCTGAGCCGTGCTCATGCTCTTGTACTTGCCCAAGTTCTTCGGGTTCTCCCACTCGAAGAACTTGATGCCATCTTTGGTGACAGGCTCACGGCCAAAGTGGCAGTAGGCAGCCGTCTCCTGGTACTTTGGCTCACGCAGGGCCAAGGACTGCGCGATGGCCCCCGGACGGCAGTCGAACTCAATCTTCAACACCTTCGTGATGTCGTCCACAGTCAGGTCGCCCTTCTCGCTGCCGTAGGTCTCCACGAACAGGGACAGGGGCTTGGCCACGCCGATGGCGTACGACAGCTGCACCAGGCAGCGCGCGCTCAGGCCGCTGCTGACCACGGACTTGGCCATCTGCCGGCAGATGTAGGCGGCTGATCGGTCCACCTTGGTGGGGTCCTTGCCAGAGAAGGCACCGCCGCCGTGGGCTCCCCAGCCTCCGTAGGTGTCCTTTGCGTCTGCACCCATACAAGATCATACAAGCTAGCTTACGCGATCATGCCTAGCTGCAACAACTGCCGACCCAGGCACAATGATGATCTTGCGGCCAGTAAGGCCCGCATCGCCCTGAGGACCACCGATGATGAACTTGCCCGACGGATTGATGTGCAGGTGCGTGTGGCTGCCATAAAGGCTGATGGCGGGCTGGCCGTTCTTCAACTTGATCGACTGAAGCGTTCGCTTGATGACCTTCTCCTCGATCTCCTTGTTCATCTGCTCCATGCTGGGTGCGACCATCTCCGCACCACTGTAGCCAGCACACTCCTGTGTACGCTTGGCCTTAGACGGCTCTGCATGCTGCGTGGAGATGACAACGGTGTGGATCTTCTTCGGCTCCACAGAGCCATCTGGGTGCTGCATGTACTCGATGGTCACCTGCGTCTTGCCGTCAGGTCGCAGCCACCAGCACTCGCCGCTCTTACGCACGTCGGTCAAGGTCTTGCCGAGGCGAGTGGCCATGGAGTGGGTCAGGGGCATGCAATCGGACGTCTCGTCGCTGGCATAGCCGAACATGATGCCCTGATCTCCGGCGCCCACATCCATCTCATCCTTGCCCACGTGCACTCCCCCGGCAATGTCCGGGCTCTGCTTGTTGATGCGCACCAGGACTTCGCCTCGACGAAACGAATCTCACAAAAGAATTCTAGCATCTAGCACTTTCTGCGAATCCTAGCTGTGAGGCTCTTGTGACTGGCCACGCCGAGCTGCAGGTCTTGTGGCTCAAACCCTTGCTGTCCACGCTGGACAGGTCGTCCACAAAGCTGTCGAAGCCGATCTGCGCCACAACTCCGCGCACCACCTGTGGCTGGTCACCGCTGGAAACATGCTGCAACTGCCTGCGCCCCACCACTTCCCATACTCTCGGGTTGCTTCTTGCTTGCTTCAGAATCGCAGCCCTTCAGCAGTATTCAGCAGCCAGCTTTGGAAAAGTACCAGCTGCACAACACACCACCGAACACTCGCGTGGCATCACGAGCTCAACCTTGCCTTGTCGTAGTCGAGCTTGGCTCCGGTGGTAATCTCCTTGGCTTTGCCGGCAGGCTCGACGCGAGTTCTGCAGTTATCGCAGCGAAAGCTCTATGAATGTGTGGCACATTGTAGCATGCAGACCAAGGCACCCCAGCCACCATGACCATGTTGTCCTTGGTCGCGGTCTCGCAGGCCACCTTGCTCTTGGGGTCCACCTTCAGGCAGGCATCCAGGACAGCATCCGAGACTTGGTCGCAGATCTTGTCCGGGTGGCCTCAAGTTGCTGCTCAATCCCAGCTAATGCTTCCAAGCTTCCAAGAAGCATGCTAAGCTGCTAAGCACGGGACCTTCGTTCACAGACTCTGAGGAGAACAGGAAGGTGCGCGTGGTGCGGGCCTTCTTCTGCGCGGGCTCCGCCATGGCTGCGTGGGAGGCAAGTGGACTAAGGCGCACAAAAATGGTAAAACAGGCTACGAGGCAAGCGTAAGCAGGCATGCACGAGCAACGAGCATGCATTCCTTTGTCAATCAACGTCAATCAATGTCAATCCATGTCCCGAGGTCGAAAGGCAAGAATGTTTCTGGCACACGCCAGCAGGAGTTCGTCTATACACAACTGGTCCATGACAGCTGGCTCCGCCACAAGCGCGCCGGCACTGGGCCTGGCGGATCCTGTAGTATCGCGCGCTGCAGTGGTCTGGCAAATGGAGGGGGGCGGACCCAGTTTCTGGGTCGCCTTGCGCGCTTAGTCCACCCACTTTGTGAGGTACGTGCTGCTCTTCAAGGCGGCATCCACCTGAGCCGTGCTCATGCTCTTGTACTTGCCCAAGTTCTTCGGGTTCTCCCACTCGAAGAACTTGATGCCATCTTTGGTGACAGGCTCACGGCCAAAGTGGCAGTAGGCAGCCGTCTCCTGGTACTTTGGCTCACGCAGGGCCAAGGACTGCGCGATGGCCCCCGGACGGCAGTCGAACTCAATCTTCAACACCTTCGTGATGTCGTCCACAGTCAGGTCGCCCTTCTCGCTGCCGTAGGTCTCCACGAACAGGGACAGGGGCTTGGCCACGCCGATGGCGTACGACAGCTGCACCAGGCAGCGCGCGCTCAGGCCGCTGCTGACCACGGACTTGGCCATCTGCCGGCAGATGTAGGCGGCTGATCGGTCCACCTTGGTGGGGTCCTTGCCAGAGAAGGCACCGCCGCCGTGGGCTCCCCAGCCTCCGTAGGTGTCCTTTGCGGCTGCAGCCATACAAGATCATACAAAGCTAGCTTATGCGGTCATGCCTAGCTGCAACAACTGCCGACCCAGGCACAATGATGATCTTGCGGCCAGTAAGGCCCGCATCGCCCTGAGGACCACCGATGATGAACTTGCCCGACGGATTGATGTGCAGGTGCGTGTGGCTGCCATAAAGGCTGATGGCGGGCTGGCCGTTCTTCAACTTGATCGACTGAAGCGTTCGCTTGATGACCTTCTCCTCGATCTCCTTGTTCATCTGCTCCATGCTGGGTGCGACCATCTCCGCACCACTGTAGCCAGCACACTCCTGTGTACGCTTGGCCTTGGACGGCTCTGCATGCTGCGTGGAGATGACAACGGTGTGGATCTTCTTCGGCTCCACAGAGCCATCTGGGTGCTGCATGTACTCGATGGTCACCTGCGTCTTGCCGTCAGGTCGCAGCCACCAGCACTCGCCGCTCTTGCGCACGTCGGTCAAGGTCTTGCCGAGGCGAGTGGCCATGGAGTGGGTCAGGGGCATGCAATCGGACGTCTCGTCGCTGGCATAGCCGAACATGATGCCCTGATCTCCGGCGCCCACATCCATCTCATCCTTGCCCACGTGCACTCCCCCGGCAATGTCCGGGCTCTGCTTGTTGATGCGCACCAGGACCTCGCCTCGACGAAACGAATCTCACAAAAGAATTCTAGCATCTAGCACTTTCTGCGAATCCTAGCTGTGAGGCTCTTGTGACTGGCCACGCCGAGCTGCAGGTCTTGTGGCTCAAACCCTTGCTGTCCACGCTGGACAGGTCGTCCACAAAGCTGTCGAAGCCGATCTGCGCCACAACTCCGCGCACCACCTGTGGCTGGTCACCGCTGGAAACATACTGCAACTGCCTGCGCCCCACCACTTCCCATACTCTCGGGTTGCTTCTTGCTTGCTTCAGAATGCGCTGCGCCCTTCAGCAGTATTCAGCAGCCAGCTTTGGAAAAGTACCAGCTGCACAACACAACACACCACCCAACACTCACGTGGCATCATTGAGCTCAACCTTGCCTTGTCGTAGTCGAGCTTGGCTCCGGTGGTAATCTCCTTGGCTTTGCCGGCAGGCTCGACGCGAGTTCTGCAGTTCTCGCAGCGAACGCTCTATGAATGTGTGGCACATTGTAGCATGCAGCCCAAGGCACCCCAGCCACCATGACCATGTTGTCCTTGGTCGCGGTCTCGCAGGCCACCTTGCTCTTGGGGTCCACCTTCAGGCAGGCATCCAGGACAGCATCCGAGACTTGGTCGCAGATCTTGTCCGGGTGGCCTCAAGTTGCTGCTCAATCCCAGCTAATGCTTCCAAGCTTCCAAGAAGCATGCTAAGCTGCTAAGCACGGGACCTTCGTTCACAGACTCTGAGGAGAACAGGAAGGTGCGCGTGGTGCGGGCCTTCTTCTGCGCGGGCTCCGCCATGGCTGCGTGGGAGGCAAGTGGACTAAGGCGCACAAAAATGGTAAAACAGGCTGCGAGGCAAGCGTAAGCAGGCATGCACGAGCAACGAGCATGCATTCCTTTGTCAATCAACGTCAATCAATGCCAATCGGTCGACAGGCAAGAATGTTTCTGGCACACGCCAGCAGGAGTTCGTCTATACACAACTGGCCCATGACAGCTGGCTCCGCCACAAGCGCGCCGGCACTGGGCCTGGCGGATCCTGTGGTATCGCGAGCTGCAGTGGTCTGGCAAATGGAGGGAGGCGGACCCAGTTTCTGGGTCGCCTTGCGCGCTTAGTCCACCCACTTTGTGAGGTACGTGCTGCTCTTCAAGGCGGCATCCACCTGAGCCGTGCTCATGTTCTTGTACTTGCCCAAGTTCTTCGGGTTCTCCCACTCGAAGAACTTGATGCCATCTTTGGTGACAGGCTCACGGCCAAAGTGGCAGTAGGCAGCCGTCTCCTGGTACTTTGGCTCACGCAGGGCCAAGGACTGCGCGATGGCCCCCGGACGGCAGTCGAACTCAATCTTCAACACCTTCGTGATGTCGTCCACAGTCAGGTCGCCCTTCTCGCTGCCGTAGGTCTCCACGAACAGGGACAGGGGCTTGGCCACGCCGATGGCGTACGACAGCTGCACCAGGCAGCGCGCGCTCAGGCCGCTGCTGACCACGGACTTGGCCATCTGCCGGCAGATGTAGGCGGCTGATCGGTCCACCTTGGTGGGGTCCTTGCCAGAGAAGGCACCGCCGCCGTGGGCTCCCCAGCCTCCGTAGGTGTCCTTTGCGGCTGCAGCCATACAAGATCATACAAGCTAGCTTATGCGGTCATGCCTAGCTGCAACAACTGCCGACCCAGGCACAATGATGATCTTGCGGCCAGTAAGGCCCGCATCGCCCTGAGGACCACCGATGATGAACTTGCCCGACGGATTGATGTGCAGGTGCGTGTGGCTGCCATAAAGGCTGATGGCGGGCTGGCCGTTCTTCAACTTGATCGACTGAAGCGTTCGCTTGATGACCTTCTCCTCGATCTCCTTGTTCATCTGCTCCATGCTGGGTGCGACCATCTCCGCACCACTGTAGCCAGCACACTCCTGTGTACGCTTGGCCTTGGACGGCTCTGCATGCTGCGTGGAGATGACAACGGTGTGGATCTTCTTCGGCTCCACAGAGCCATCTGGGTGCTGCATGTACTCGATGGTCACCTGCGTCTTGCCGTCAGGTCGCAGCCACCAGCACTCGCCGCTCTTGCGCACGTCGGTCAAGGTCTTGCCGAGGCGAGTGGCCATGGAGTGGGTCAGGGGCATGCAATCGGACGTCTCGTCGCTGGCATAGCCGAACATGATGCCCTGATCTCCGGCGCCCACATCCATCTCATCCTTGCCCACGTGCACTCCCCCGGCAATGTCCGGGCTCTGCTTGTTGATGCGCACCAGGACCTCGCCTCGACGAAACGAATCTCACAAAAGAATTCTAGCATCTAGCACTTTCTGCGAATCCTAGCTGTGAGGCTCTTGTGACTGGCCACGCCGAGCTGCAGGTCTTGTGGCTCAAACCCTTGCTGTCCACGCTGGACAGGTCGTCCACAAAGCTGTCGAAGCCGATCTGCGCCACAACTCCGCGCACCACCTGTGGCTGGTCACCGCTGGAAACATACTGCAACTGCCTGCGCCCCACCACTTCCCATACTCTCGGGTTGCTTCTTGCTTGCTTCAGAATGCGCTGCGCCCTTCAGCAGTATTCAGCAGCCAGCTTTGGAAAAGTACCAGCTGCACAACACAACACACCACCGAACACTCACGTGGCATCATTGAGCTCAACCTTGCCTTGTCGTAGTCGAGCTTGGCTCCGGTGGTAATCTCCTTGGCTTTGCCGGCAGGCTCGACGCGAGTTCTGCAGTTATCGCAGCGAACGCTCTATGAGTGTGTGGCACATTGTAGCATGCAGACCAAGGCACCCCAGCCACCATGACCATGTTGTCCTTGGTCGCGGTCTCGCAGGCCACCTTGCTCTTGGGGTCCACCTTCAGGCAGGCATCCAGGACAGCATCCGAGACTTGGTCGCAGATCTTGTCCGGGTGGCCTCAAGTTGCTGCTCAATCCCAGCTAATGCTTCCAAGCTTCCAAGAAGCATGCTAAGCATGGGACCTTCGTTCACAGACTCTGAGGAGAACAGGAAGGTGCGCGTGGTGCGGGCCTTCTTCTGCGCGGGCTCCGCCATGGCTGAGGTGGGAGGCAAGTGGACTAAGGCGCACAAAAATGGTAAAACAGGCTGCGAGGCAAGCGTAAGCAGGCATGCACGAGCAACGAGCATGCATTCCTTTGTCAATCAACGTCAATCAATGTCAATCCGTGTCCCGAGGTCGAAAGGCAAGAATGTTTCTGGCACACGCCAGCAGGAGTTCGGCTATACACAACTGGTCCATGACAGCTGGCTCCGCCACAAGCGCGCCGGCACTTGGCCTGGCGGATCCTGTGGCATCGCGCGCTGCAGTGGTCTGGCAAATGGAGGGGGGCGGGCCCAGTTTCTGGGTCGCCTTGCGCGCTTAGTCCACCCACTTTGTGAGGTACGTGCTGCTCTTCAAGGCGGCATCCACCTGAGCCGTGCTCATGCTCTTGTACTTGCCCAAGTTCTTCGGGTTCTCCCACTCGAAGAACTTGATGCCATCTTTGGTGACAGGCTCACGGCCAAAGTGGCAGTAGGCAGCCGTCTCCTGATACTTTGGCTCACGCAGGGCCAAGGACTGCGCGATGGCCCCCGGACGGCAGTCGAACTCAATCTTCAACACCTTCGTGATGTCGTCCACAGTCAGGTCGCCCTTCTCGCTGCCGTAGGTCTCCACGAACAGGGACAGGGGCTTGGCCACGCCGATGGCGTACGACAGCTGCACCAGGCAGCGCGCGCTCAGGCCGCTGCTGACCACGGACTTGGCCATCTGCCGGCAGATGTAGGCGGCTGATCGGTCCACCTTGGTGGGGTCCTTGCCAGAGAAAGCACCGCCGCCGTGGGCTCCCCAGCCTCCGTAGGTGTCCTTTGCGGCTGCAGCCATGCAAGATCATACAAGCTAGCTTATGCGGTCATGCCTAGCTGCAACAACTGCCGACCCAGGCACAATGATGATCTTGCGGCCAGTAAGGCCCGCATCGCCCTGAGGACCACCGATGATGAACTTGCCCGACGGATTGATGTGCAGGTGCGTGTGGCTGCCATAAAGGCTGATGGCGGGCTGTCCGTTCTTCAATTTGATGGACTGAAGCGTTCGCTTGATGACCTTCTCCTCGATCTCCTTGTTCATCTGCTCCATGCTGGGTGCGACCATCTCCGCACCACTGTAGCCAGCACACTCCTGTGTACGCTTGGCCTTGGACGGCTCTGCATGCTGCGTGGAGATGACAACGGTGTGGATCTTCTTCGGCTCCACAGAGCCATCTGGGTGCTGCATGTACTCGATGGTCACCTGCGTCTTGCCGTCAGGTCGCAGCCACCAGCACTCGCCGCTCTTGCGCACGTCGGTCAAGGTCTTGCCGAGGCGAGTGGCCATGGAGTGGGTCAGGGGCATGCAATCGGACGTCTCGTCGCTGGCATAGCCGAACATGATGCCCTGATCTCCGGCGCCCACATCCATCTCATCCTTGCCCACGTGCACTCCCCCGGCAATGTCCGGGCTCTGCTTGTTGATGCGCACCAGGACCTCGCCTCGACGAAACGAATCTCACAAAAGAATTCTAGCATCTAGCACTTTCTGCGAATCCTAGCTGTGAGGCTCTTGTGACTGGCCACGCCGAGCTGCAGGTCTTGTGGCTCAAACCCTTGCTGTCCACGCTGGACAGGTCGTCCACAAAGCTGTCGAAGCCGATCTGCGCCACAACTCCGCGCACCACCTGTGGCTGGTCACCGCTGGAAACATACTGCAACTGCCTGCGCCCCACCACTTCCCATACTCTCGGGTTGCTTCTTGCTTGCTTCAGAATCGCAGCCCTTCAGCAGTATTCAGCAGCCAGCTTTGGAAAAGTACCAGCTGCACAACACAACACACCACCCAACACTCACGTGGCATCATTGAGCTCAACCTTGCCTTGTCGTAGTCGAGCTTGGCTCCGGTGGTAATCTCCTTGGCTTTGCCGGCAGGCTCGACGCGAGTTCTGCAGTTATCGCAGCGAACGCTCTATGAGTGTGTGGCACATTGTAGCATGCAGACCAAGGCACCCCAGCCACCATGACCATGTTGTCCTTGGTCGCGGTCTCGCAGGCCACCTTGCTCTTGGGGTCCACCTTCAGGCAGGCATCCAGGACAGCATCCGAGACTTGGTCGCAGATCTTGTCCGGGTGGCCTCAAGTTGCTGCTCAATCCCAGCTAATGCTTCCAAGCTTCCAAGAAGCATGCTAAGCACGGGACCTTCGTTCACAGACTCTGAGGAGAACAGGAAGGTGCGCGTGGTGCGGGCCTTCTTCTGCGCGGGCTCCGCCATGGCTGCGTGGGAGGCAAGTGGACTAAGGCGCACAAAAATGGTAAAACAGGCTGCGAGGCAAGCGTAAGCAGGCATGCACGAGCAACGAGCATGCATTCCTTTGTCAATCAACGTCAATCAATGTCAATCCATGTCCCGAGGTCGAAAGGCAAGAATGTTTCTGGCACACGCCAGCAGGAGTTCGTCTATACACAACTGGTCCATGACAGCTGGCTCCGCCACAAGCGCGCCGGCACTGGGCCTGGCGGATCCTGTGGCATCGCGCGCTGCAGTGGTCTGGCAAATGGAGGGGGGCGGGCCCAGTTTCTGGGTCGCCTTGCGCGCTTAGTCCACCCACTTTGTGAGGTACGTGCTGCTCTTCAAGGCGGCATCCACCTGAGCCGTGCTCATGCTCTTGTACTTGCCCAAGTTCTTCGGGTTCTCCCACTCGAAGAACTTGATGCCATCTTTGGTGACAGGCTCACGGCCAAAGTGGCAGTAGGCAGCCGTCTCCTGGTACTTTGGCTCACGCAGGGCCAAGGACTGCGCGATGGCCCCCGGACGGCAGTCGAACTCAATCTTCAACACCTTCGTGATGTCGTCCACAGTCAGGTCGCCCTTCTCGCTGCCGTAGGTCTCCACGAACAGGGACAGGGGCTTGGCCACGCCGATGGCGTACGACAGCTGCACCAGGCAGCGCGCGCTCAGGCCGCTGCTGACCACGGACTTGGCCATCTGCCGGCAGATGTAGGCGGCTGATCGGTCCACCTTGGTGGGGTCCTTGCCAGAGAAGGCACCGCCGCCGTGGGCTCCCCAGCCTCCGTAGGTGTCCTTTGCGTCTGCACCCATACAAGATCATACAAGCTAGCTTACGCGATCATGCCTAGCTGCAACAACTGCCGACCCAGGCACAATGATGATCTTGCGGCCAGTAAGGCCCGCATCGCCCTGAGGACCACCGATGATGAACTTGCCCGACGGATTGATGTGCAGGTGCGTGTGGCTGCCATAAAGGCTGATGGCGGGCTGGCCGTTCTTCAATTTGATGGACTGAAGCGTTCGCTTGATGACCTTCTCCTCGATCTCCTTGTTCATCTGCTCCATGCTGGGTGCGACCATCTCCGCACCACTGTAGCCAGCACACTCCTGTGTACGCTTGGCCTTGGACGGCTCTGCATGCTGCGTGGAGATGACAACGGTGTGGATCTTCTTCGGCTCCACAGAGCCATCTGGGTGCTGCATGTACTCGATGGTCACCTGCGTCTTGCCGTCAGGTCGCAGCCACCAGCACTCGCCGCTCTTGCGCACGTCGGTCAGGGTCTTGCCGAGGCGAGTGGCCATGGAGTGGGTCAGGGGCATGCAATCGGACGTCTCGTCGCTGGCATAGCCGAACATGATGCCCTGATCTCCGGCGCCCACATCCATCTCATCCTTGCCCACGTGCACTCCCCCGGCAATGTCCGGGCTCTGCTTGTTGATGCGCACCAGGACCTCGCCTCGACGAAACGAATCTCACAAAAGAATTCTAGCATCTAGCACTTTCTGCGAATCCTAGCTGTGAGGCTCTTGTGACTGGCCACGCCGAGCTGCAGGTCTTGTGGCTCAAACCCTTGCTGTCCACGCTGGACAGGTCGTCCACAAAGCTGTCGAAGCCGATCTGCGCCACAACTCCGCGCACCACCTGTGGCTGGTCACCGCTGGAAACATACTGCAACTGCCTGCGCCCCACCACTTCCCATACTCTCGGGTTGCTTCTTGCTTGCTTCAGAATCGCAGCCCTTCAGCAGTATTCAGCAGCCAGCTTTGGAAAAGTACCAGCTGCACAACACAACACACCACCCAACACTCACGTGGCATCATTGAGCTCAACCTTGCCTTGTCGTAGTCGAGCTTGGCTCCGGTGGTAATCTCCTTGGCTTTGCCGGCAGGCTCGACGTGAGTTCTGCAGTTATCGCAGCGAACGCTCTATGAGTGTGTGGCACATTGTAGCATGCAGACCAAGGCACCCCAGCCACCATGACCATGTTGTCCTTGGTCGCGGTCTCGCAGGCCACCTTGCTCTTGGGGTCCACCTTCAGGCAGGCATCCAGGACAGCATCCGAGACTTGGTCGCAGATCTTGTCCGGGTGGCCTCAAGTTTCTGCTCAATCCCAGCTAATGCTTCCAAGCTTCCAAGAAGCATGCTAAGCACGGGACCTTCGTTCACAGACTCTGAGGAGAACAGGAAGGTGCGCGTGGTGCGGGCCTTCTTCTGCGCGGGCTCCGCCATGGCTGCGTGGGAGGCAAGTGGACTAAGGCGCACAAAAATGGTAAAACAGGCTGCGAGGCAAGCGTAAGCAGGCATGCACGAGCAACGAGCATGCATTCCTTTGTCAATCAACGTCAATCAATGTCAATCCATGTCCCGAGGTCGAAAGGCAAGAATGTTTCTGGCACACGCCAGCAGGAGTTCGTCTATACACAACTGGTCCATGACAGCTGGCTCCGCCACAAGCGCGCCGGCACTGGGCCTGGCGGATCCTGTGGCATCGCGCGCTGCAGTGGTCTGGCAAATGGAGGGGGGCGGACCCAGTTTCTGGGTCGCCTTGCGCGCTTAGTCCACCCACTTTGTGAGGTACGTGCTGCTCTTCAAGGCGGCATCCACCTGAGCCGTGCTCATGCTCTTGTACTTGCCCAAGTTCTTCGGGTTCTCCCACTCGAAGAACTTGATGCCATCTTTGGTGACAGGCTCACGGCCAAAGTGGCAGTAGGCAGCCGTCTCCTGGTACTTTGGCTCACGCAGGGCCAAGGACTGCGCGATGGCCCCCGGACGGCAGTCGAACTCAATCTTCAACACCTTCGTGATGTCGTCCACAGTCAGGTCGCCCTTCTCGCTGCCGTAGGTCTCCACGAACAGGGACAGGGGCTTGGCCACGCCGATGGCGTACGACAGCTGCACCAGGCAGCGCGCGCTCAGGCCGCTGCTGACCACGGATTTGGCCATCTGCCGGCAGATATAGGCGGCTGATCGGTCCACCTTGGTGGGGTCCTTGCCAGAGAAAGCACCGCCGCCGTGGGCTCCCCAGCCTCCGTAGGTGTCCTTTGCGGCTGCAGCCATACAAGATCATACAAGCCAGCAAATGCGGTCATGCCTAGCTGCAACAACTGCCGACCCAGGCACAATGATGATCTTGCGGCCAGTAAGGCCCGCATCGCCCTGAGGACCACCGATGATGAACTTGCCCGACGGATTGATGTGCAGGTGCGTGTGGCTGCCATAAAGGCTGATGGCGGGCTGGCCGTTCTTCAACTTGATGGACTGAAGCGTTCGCTTGATGACCTTCTCCTCGATCTCCTTGTTCATCTGCTCCATGCTGGGTGCGACCATCTCCGCACCACTGTAGCCAGCACACTCCTGTGTACGCTTGGCCTTGGACGGCTCTGCATGCTGCGTGGAGATGACAACGGTGTGGATCTTCTTCGGCTCCACAGAGCCATCTGGGTGCTGCATGTACTCGATGGTCACCTGCGTCTTGCCGTCAGGTCGCAGCCACCAGCACTCGCCGCTCTTGCGCACGTCGGTCAAGGTCTTGCCGAGGCGAGTGGCCATGGAGTGGGTCAGGGGCATGCAATCGGACGTCTCGTCGCTGGCATAGCCGAACATGATGCCCTGATCTCCGGCGCCCACATCCATCTCATCCTTGCCCACGTGCACTCCCCCGGCAATGTCCGGGCTCTGCTTGTTGATGCGCACCAGGACCTCGCCTCGACGAAACGAATCTCACAAAAGAATTCTAGCATCTAGCACTTTCTGCGAATCCTAGCTGTGAGGCTCTTGTGACTGGCCACGCCGAGCTGCAGGTCTTGTGGCTCAAACCCTTGCTGTCCACGCTGGACAGGTCGTCCACAAAGCTGTCGAAGCCGATCTGCGCCACAACTCCGCGCACCACCTGTGGCTGGTCACCGCTGGACACTCACATACTGCAACTGCCTGCGCCCCACCACTTCCCATACTCTCGGGTTGCTTCTTGCTTGCTTCAGAATCGCAGCCCTTCAGCAGTATTCAGCAGCCAGCTTTGGAAAAGTACCAGCTGCACAACACAACACACCACCCAACACTCACGTGGCATCATTGAGCTCAACCTTGCCTTGTCGTAGTCGAGCTTGGCTCCGGTGGTAATCTCCTTGGCTTTGCCGGCAGGCTCGACGTGAGTTCTGCAGTTATCGCAGCGAACGCTCTATGAATGTGTGGCACATTGTAGCATGCAGACCAAGGCACCCCAGCCACCATGACCATGTTGTCCTTGGTCGCGGTCTCGCAGGCCACCTTGCTCTTGGGGTCCACCTTCAGGCAGGCATCCAGGACAGCATCCGAGACTTGGTCGCAGATCTTGTCCGGGTGGCCTCAAGTTTCTGCTCAATCCCAGCTAATGCTTCCAAGCTTCCAAGAAGCATGCTAAGCACGGGACCTTCGTTCACAGACTCTGAGGAGAACAGGAAGGTGCGCGTGGTGCGGGCCTTCTTCTGCGCGGGCTCCGCCATGGCTGAGGTGGAAGGCAAGTGGACTAAGGCGCACAAAAATGGTAAAACAGGCCTGCGAGTCGGCTTCTTGTGTCGCGGAGCTGTTGGACTGCGCCAATGGTTCGGGTCAAGAAGAGCAGAGTGCTGCCAGGCTTTTGAGCTTTACAATCTACACCGCAAGCAAGTCTTGCGAAGGTAGCACGTCTTGGGGTATTCGTGTCCGATCGCGGACTGCGCGTCCCAAGGTCAATCTCCAAGAGATCCCTAGGAACTTTATCTCAAAACGGGACATCACAGCCGCAACCCAGCTACCTTGTGAGACATTGAGCAGCCAGGACAGCCCTGAATTCACGGGGTGCAAGGCGAATCTTCCCAGCTTCTCAAAGGAGGCTGCTTATAGGCTGATGGTCTTACAGGCCCTGCCAACGTCCGCTACACCACGCTCAGGTTATCTCAGTGGATGTCTTTGCAGAGCAGGATCTGTTCATATCTGTTCATATCCGTTCCCTCCCCTCGCCAATTTCAAAAGCTCTTTGCAGGAAGCTCTCCTTGCGGGTGAGACAGCTGCGGAGTGCTGCGAGAGCCTCGCTTTTGGATGCTCCCTGCGCTTTTGAGCCTTCAGTCATTGAGAACCCAGGATGGGCAGCTGTGGGCTTGGAAAGTGTCAGGGAGTGATGCTCCGCGGAACAAAGCCCACAGCTGCACCTCTTCTTTCTAAACGCAAACACAAAGAAGGCAAGAGAGAAAACAGCCGCTCTCTCCAGGCTCTTCAGGCCCTTGCCAAACGCCGCACCTCGCGGAGGAGAGCAGCGGGATCAGATGGAGAGATCGAACAGGCGAATCTTCAGTAGGCCATCAAAAGCGTTGGGCAAGGCAGTCCGCAAAAGCAGGGCACAGTGGGATTTAGAAACCATGTCCCCCTTTCATTTTCACAACCAGCGGGTCGTGATTCGAAAGAACACAGTGGATTCAGCATGTTTCGTCGGACTTTGCTGCACCGCCATATGGGGGTTTGGGCCCACATGACGACCCGCGCATCGGGCTTCACCATACCACAACACTACTAGCGCTACGCTTTGCCTTCCAAGGAATGAAAATGTCATACTATGTCATGCGCAACGCAATCAGGAACGACATCCTTTTGACTCCTCACCGCCAAAGTCACAGAAATGCTGTCGTGAAGATCAGAGTGCCAGGCTTTCTTGGTGACAACCGCTTTGCAGTTCAAAGTGTCTGTCAAGCTTTTAGCTTCGCGCACTTTTGCTGCACAATGGCCTCCCACGAAAAGGGCCGGACGCCATCCTCGCCGACGATGTTCACTGTGTTGAAATCCTCGGGGATTTCGGTGTCTGCCAGAATGGCGTCGATGTCCGCTTTTTCCAGCAGAAACTTCGGTTGGATAATTGCCTTCTTGGGATACCTGGCGAGCGCCGCCGCCTGGAGGAGTTGCAGTTTCCACCCTTGCGTCGTGAAAAGCTGCTCCTGTCCCTCGGCGGACACGGCTCGAAACACCTCAATGGGGTGCTCGTAGCCGAGGTAGCAGATTCCTTCGCACTGGTTCACCTTAACCTCTTGCCACACTCTGCTCAGGGGCTTGTTGACATTCCGCCCCTCCGGCTGCTTGTCCGGGATGGCTCGACAGGCATAGCCCACTGCAAACGGGTCCACGCGACCCATCCCGTACAACATTGTCGCATCGCTCTCTTTCGGGCAGGGTGCCCAGCGCTTTGGCTGGACCTCCACTGCTTGCACGGGCTCTGCCTGCTCCGCCGGCTCCTCCTTCTCCTCAACTTGGTCCTCAACTTCCACAGCCGGCTCCGACTGCGATTGCTCCAAGGGTTGTGGCCGGCGGCACCTAGTCGGGATTTTTTATGGAAGGAGCGAGGCTTTTCATCCCAGACGCACCGGAGCAGACATGTGACATGAGCAGACCAACCTCGAAGGTTGGACGGTGGCTGCCAAAGCGGTGGCGAAGAGCCGAGACTTCACGCTCGCACGAGGCTTGCGAGGGTTTCCTATGGGCACACATTGCACACATCGCACATCAGCGTCCTGCAGTCAAAGAAGCAAACACCGGCCTTCCGGCTTCGGTTCGCCTGGCGCGTGAGAGGTTTGACTCGCACCTACGACGTGTGGCATTATTTCTTAAGTTGGCCCTGCGATGCATGCCGTGTTCATGTGAGTACAAGTCCCGTCTCTCAAACCCAGCGGCCTTCATCCTGACTGCTTTGCGAGGATCTCTCCACGTACCAGTCTTTGCCACTGGGGTGCCAGGCACCTGCCGGTGCAAGCATTACTGGCATCACAGAGATCACCGCATGATGAAAGCTACCCCTTGAACCCACGCTTGCACAGCCTCGGTCCTCTTCCTTGCTGGACCACTCCTTCCAGCTCTTCCAGAGACCTCCAGTCAAGCGCTGCGATTGCCATGGGTTGTACCAAAGCCTTCAAGGCGCCTGCCCTTGCCAAGCGTCAGTGCACGATTGCGAAGCATGGCCACGGGGCATCATCGTCAGAGATGTCGCTACACTGAAAGTCCGCGTGGCCTTCACCCTGGTGCCAGGAGGACCTTCCATCGCGCCCGTGCCAGGAACCTGTGGCCAGCGTCAGGAAAAGAGCGGCGAGACGGCGAAGCCCCAGAACTGGAACCAAGCCATACCAAGCCCATTTTCCAACATTCAAAAAACAAACTGGCTTCATTGGGTTCGACTCTGCTGTTTCTTGCTTGCGATTCAGCGCAAACAGATTCAGCGGAAACACGTGTGGCCGCATCGACTTGGGGGCCCCCCCCTTAAACCCCCTTGGAGGCCTCCCAAAGAATTCTTGGGGGCCTCATTTGACGTGACTCCTAGGATCTGGAAGTCTTTGCAGGCTTCTGAATTTTCTCGGGCCAGCAAACTGGGGAAACATTCGTTGAACTTGAACTGGGCAACCGAGCGAGGCCTTTGCAAGACTGTGTGCAGCGGCCAAGTTTAGGGCTTATGCGGTTAAGGGATGCTGTTGCATGCGATCGTGCGGGCTCGTCCGGCAGCTCCAGGCGCGGCCCCAATAGCAATAAGCATCGCAAGAAGAACCGTTTTTGCTGCTGTAATTGTAAACGCTTGCGCGCGCCGCCTCGGCAGCCGGACCGGCCCCAAGACAGGAAAGGAGGAAAGAGGGTTTTTGCAAAAAGGTGTTTGAGGGGTTCAGGTAAGGTGGGGGGGTGGGGGGGGGGTTCGTGCGTTTTGAGGTGCTCTCTGACAGGCAGCATTTGCAGCTCCTCCAAGCGATGGGGGGGGGGGGGGTCCCACAGGGTGTGGGGGGGGGGGGGGGGGGTCCGCCGCAAAATTTTGTGTGGGTTCGGTGAGGGGGATGGAGGCCCGATCCGGGCCTCCATCCTACAAACGCTTCCCGCAAGGAAGCCGAAACGAACTGTTGTTGTTATAGTCTAGAGTACTAGCAGTAGCAATAGCAAGAAGAACACGAGGGCAAGGCTAACACTGGTGCAAGTAGAAATGCTTGGCGGCCCATGGAGGCCCCCGAGGCTGACGTGTGCTGGCCAAGCCATCAAACACGAAGATTTCGTTTAAAGAATTGGTCAAGCCAGCAAACATGCGACTCCTTGGATCAAGTAGGACAAACAGGCAAAACATTAGTTCAAGTTGACATTCGCTCAAGTGGCCGGAAGTGCTTTTCTACTTTGCTGGACTTTGCTGCCCCTCCAGAGATGCCTGGATCTCACCTGTTTGTCTGGCCAAGTGCTGGCGGTGGATCGATATCCCTGCCCAGTTGTCTGCAGGCTCCCCTCATATACCACTTGCGCAACAACTTCACCGCAGCCATTCCTGTTGCAGCCCATCGGCACTGTGCTCCGACCCGTTTTTGGCAGAGGGGTTTGACCGTCGCCGCTGCCTGCAGGATTGGAACAACCTCTGGGCTCCTGGAGGCTCCCTGGAAGAGCCGGTGGTGCTGAAGGAGCAGACCGCGAATGAGCAGATAATGGGGACCTCGGCTGACTTCGTCCCTGAGCGGGGGCGCCCTTGCCGCTGCCCTGGATCCTTCGGGCATCAACGAACTGAGGTAAGTTTCGCCGATCAGGTGCCTTCGGCCCTGAGGCTCTCGCTTGCTCACACAGTGGCGAACCAGTCCTTCACGAGAGGACTGGAAGCCCTCGCGGCTGTCATCGAGAAGAAGGCGGCAGCTGGTCCGGTGGAAGGAAGCACACTGACACGCAGGTCAGATGTCATGGTTGAAATCCAGGCAGGGGCACAAGGGGGTAGAGGCCCCCAAAGGAGCAGCCCTCCTACGCCACCTCGACACCGAGAAGCTCCGGACCCTCCTCAAGCGGAACTACCTCCAAGGACCGGGGCAGCAAGGTGAAGAATTACTTGCAGCGCAGACAACGCTGGAACAGGCCAAGAGCTCGAACCAACGCATGCAGGCGGAGGGCGCCGCCCGCTCCAAAGCTCTTCCCATCGTTGAAGGAAAATGTCGAAGGACCCGAGGTCCAGTCACTTGGGCCAAAATGGCAGTAGCCATTTTGGCAGACGTCTCCTGACATAACTATTGCAACTCGGCAAGCTCCTGCAAGACTCACCTAGATTCAACCATGGTTCATGATGTCTCTTAAACCCAAGGATACCTCTCTGCAATCATTTCCTGGAGGGTCGAGATGATCGCGGCAACCCGCAGTCATTTAGCCCTCCCTGCAATCCTTGTTAGGGTAGTGGTGATTTCCCGTGGCTGCCTTGTCACAACATCATCATGACAACTGCCTTGAAAAAGCAAATTGCAATAGAAACCCTAGATTTCTTATTCATGCTTCTCTCTATTGCAAGATGTACTGGTGCAGAGGGCCTTGATTCTGATGCCAGGAGGACCTTCCACTGTCGCTCTGGTGCCAAGCACCTGCAGCCCAGGATCAAGCGATCAAGCTAGGAAAAGAAAGGAAGGTTCTAGGGCCTAGGCTTTTGTCGCAACTCTGAGACAGCAATGCCCACGAACCCAGCCGAATCAGCCACACACACACACACACTGTACTCAGACGGCCTTCAAAGTGGCGCTGTGGTCTTTGTTGCCATGATTCGTTGCGGCTGCCTTGTCATAACCCTCCCCCATGCACAATAACAGCCGATAATGTAATCACCGTCCCAAAAACCAGGAAAAGGGATCAGAAAACCCTGCACCCCACACCGGCCTTCATCGTAGCCCCAACGGTTGGAAAGCTGACCTTGGAACCAAGTGGTGTCCGAGGCTTCACCTGACGTCAGAAGGTTCAGCATCAGGGAACATGCACGAATGAGGAACCGGCCTGTCTCACCCCACCAGTTTCCGGTCCAGTCGGACCAGCCGCTGTCCCATCGCTCGCGGCGAGCCATGGCTCGCAGGTCTTGTTCGATGGCTGCAGCGGTCCGCCGAGTGAGATCAAACAACACGCTCATCCGTTCTCTCTGATGTGTGCTTGAGCATGCATGCGCATGCGCAGACTAAGCTGGCGAGCAAGTAAATCTCATGGAACCATCCATCATCAAGTCGGGTGCGCTACGTGTGACGTAGCTGACTCTTAGCTGACGCCTTGTTGCGCAGTTCGTCCTGCTCCCGCTGCAGCGCCTGGAGCTGCGAAGAGCTGCGAGCAAGCTCCGAGAGCAGTCAACAGACTTTCCAGACGGTCGACGAGCGGATGGCGAGTGGCTGGGTCTTTCTGCACGCCTCGTAGTGTGCGCGCATGGAACGGGCCTCCTGGTGCGGCATGAATGTCGCTTCGACTTGTCACTACAAGCAGGACCCACTTCCAGCCTCCCCGAAGAAGTGGCCAGACGACGACAGAGGTGTGGAAACACCGGAGACCTCAGCATTCTCAGCAACCCCTGGGCCGTTACATCAAAGGCGCGAACAAGAGTCCTTAGGGTGCAGCAGCTGTTGACACTCCAGCTGAGCCCACCTGCAAAGCTTCAAAGGCACGGGCCCAGCACGAAAAAAGGAAGATCACAGAGGATCAGAGAAGGGCAAAGATCGCTTCGTTCGGATGGCAAGTCGCTGTGCTTTTGAACTCTGGCCTGGCGCAGCTGCTGCTGCTGAAGCGCACGCCTAGCAGAGCAGCTGCGGTGCACCCAGCTCAAGATACCGACTGCGCCCTGGCAAGCATGGCAGAAGCACAGCTGACGCTCAAGCTGTCGATATTCCTCCTTTTGCACAGAGTTTTAAAATTGCACAGTTACAGGTTACACGATGTGACTTCGGTGACAGCACTCCTGGCTGACACTGGGCGAGCCGGCTACCTAAGTGCATGCAAGATCAGGCAAGTTGCCAAGTCGGGAAGGTCGGGATAGGACGGAGCAAGGTCGGAGCAGGGCCGTTTCTGCTGGATTCAACGGGCTCCCGACCGAACCGGCCGACCTCTCCGCTCGACGAAGCTGCGCGTTCTCCTCCTAAGGCGAAGGGGCAGCCCAACCAGTTTCGTCAAATATCCACTCTCCCCATGCCTGAAGACTCCGGATGACCTCCTTCATGTACCTGATGACAGACGCATAACCAGCAGTCCGACTGCTCGGAGTCCAAGACAGCCAGGCGCACGCCAGCTGCTGGTAGTCTACTCCTTGCAAGATGCGCATGGAGAGCCGCGACGTTCACACGCTGGGACGAAGAAACTTCGCCCTAGGGACCCCCTCGAAACCCTTCATGGGGACCTAACTAAGATAATCGGACCCCTGGCAACCGCTTAAGGACGCTGTAGGACGTCGGGAGGCCCAAAGCGACGCGAAAAGAAACCAAGAACTAGCAAGCTGCTCATTCACATGCGCGGTCGAGATCTTTACGTTGAGAAACAACTTTTTCCGGCGTACCAGCAAACATCAGGCAGCGTTAGCTAATGTTTGCTAGCATCAGCAAACTGCTGAAACCTAAACAAACATCGCGAGGTTGGTCTCCTGCAGGCCGCGGCGGTCCGCCTTGGGAACCTTGGAACGGAAAATCTGAAACTCAAACCGATGCTCGAAGCTGGCCCTATCTCGGAAAGCTGGGCGCGGGCATGCGCCAGAATGGGCTTTCATTTCTTCTGTCTATCCGTTTCCTCCTGCTTCGTGCGAAGAGCCGAAGAGCGACTTGCTTTAACAGCAGGCGTCTTCGCCCATCTCCCGCTGCAGTTGAATTTATTTTCGGCTGCCGACGTTAGCACCCGGATCCGCCAGGCATTAACTGCAACTTCGTGTATCAGTGTGGATGATGCTACGGCGTTTTGCGGGATAGCAGACCTGGAGGCCACTGCTGGGCATCTACTGGGCGAGCTCGAAATCCCAACACTGACCATGAATGCTCTGAGTCGTCGACCAACAGCTGCCTCGCAATCGAATGTTTCGGGCTTTGCAGAGGTCTTAATGTCCAGAAGCCCCCACGCATGTACCAGCATGACATCTGGCGTAATGGCATTGACCCCACCAGTGTGTGGCATTCTGGAGACATGAAAACGTGAACATTCGTATCAGCCGAAGTTTTCCGCACTCGGGAAAACGAGGAACATGGGGGGGGCTGTCAATTCTGTTCGCGTTTTAGGTCTTAAGAGGTACTTTTCTGAGGTTTAGGGTGAAGGAATAGGGGTTCGAGTCTAGGGTCAGGGCTTTTGAGGCTTGACGCTCCACATGGATCCATGTTTGAGGCTTCATGTTCCAATTCGATTGATGAAACCGCGCAGAGAGAAACACCTTACACTGAGACAGAGAACCTTTCTCTCTCGGTTTGCAGCCTCGGACCACTTGGAGGGCTTAGCCCACTGGCGCCGGGCACGCAGCTCCTTCTCCAGGCGCAGCTGCTCCTCTCTTAGGTGCAGCGTCTTGCGGCTTCTTGAGAGAGGGGGAGAGGGCTCTTTCTTTTCGGCTTTTTGCTGCGCCCGCGCCCGGCAGATTTATAGAATCAGAGCAGGCGGGAGTGCAGGATACGATGCAGGATTAACCCAAAACAGGTCCCAAACCCAGTACCTCTAAGCCCAAACCTTGGTACAGGACGTGCAACCAGCGCTTTCTGCCCCATGCAAGCCTCGCGAATGCGGTAGTTCTCATCCTGAGCGAAAACAGTCTTCTATGAGGTTCAAGATGGCTCTAGGAAGTTGAGGTCACTCCACGCCCACTGCCCCAACATCTAACATCTCACGGTACCGCGCAGTGTAAATCTCGCAAAAAGCCTCCTGCAAATCCCTCGCCTTCAACATCCTCAGCTCGAGCGCCAGTTGGTCGGCTTTCCGGGAAGCCTCATGGGATCCCAGTCCCAGTACTAAGCTTTCTTCTTTCTCCCAAGATACTTGGTGATTACGAACTCTGGGTGGTCTCTATGTTGTGGTGTCCGAAAGGTCCGAAAGCCTGAACATGCCCAAAGCCGCCACAAAAACAAAATCCCTGCGCTGCCCTTCACCTTTCTGCGATGTTCTGCGCTTCCGATTTTCCGTTCACTACTGGGTTTCTGGCTTGGTCGCCGTCGCCACTCCTCGGAGAGCCGTCTACAGCTTGGGAAGGCACGAAGGGCACTCAGGAGCACAAGATGCTTTCAGTGGCTGGGCACAACCAAGGACAACGAAGGACAATGGTTCTGAGCTGTTCGGCCACCGACGATCCCCACTGGCCTTCGCGGGGGGCGCAATTCATGAAGTTTCGAGAGATTTCCGGCACGCAAGGATGCTGACACTGGCCTTGTCCAGATCGCACAAGACACCGGGCCTGGACGCAAGAGGCTCACAACCAAAACACCCCCTCATGAGATTGCCTGTGTGGCGACTGCTCAGGATGGTACCCACAAAGCTGGCCCATGAGCTGCCCACCTGCATCCGCTTCACTTCATTCGTTATATTCATTATGAGCCTGCATGACGTCCCCCGACGGCTCTTCGAAACTGAGGGTCCGGCTATTGAAGTGAAGACTTCTCTTGGCCGCAAAATGGTCGTTGACTTTTTCTTGCTGAGAGTCTTACAGAGCTGACAGGCAATGCAAAGTCATACTCCGAACCAGCTCATTGTACTAGAACCAGAGTGGGGCAAACAATGATCTTTCTGGATCGCAAACGCTTTGCTCAAGCCAATGGGCTGCGGGGCAGGAAAGTCGAGCCACAAACCTGTGTTCACCGTCCGAGTTGAAGTCATGTGCGAGGACAAATGGCTCAAACATGACCGTTCAGGGAGCAAAGTTCAAGCCAAGTACGCGTGTAAAGTCAACAAGCAACACCGTAGATTCCAAAAGCAGAACCAACAGAATGCCAAGCTCACATGTCGCCTGCATCGGTTTTGGGCACCATCATTTCTAGGGCGTGAATGGTGCTATCCGACTTCGCTTCGGCGACGGCTCATCCTCGGGCGTGAATGGCGCTATCCGACTTTGCCTCGGCGACGGCTCATCCTCGGGCTTCAACTCCGTAAACTCTGACTTAACTCTCGGTGTTGCTCTCAAATAAAGCGAATGCAGCGTCCTGGTAGGCCTGGGTGGCCATGTCGCTACCCTGGCAAAAAACGAGAGTTGTTGGCCCCTCGACCTCGACGCAGACGCTGCGACTTGCGCCTGTGATGCGTAGAGCCTCGGCAACGGCCCCTAAAGGTGAAACATCTGCACATCCGTTTGGTAGAGTGTCGGGTTCACGGTTTCGGCTTTAACACTCTAGGATTGGGTTTGGGGTGTCGGGTTCAGGTTTAGACAACGCCCAGCAATCCTCGTAGGTGTTTTTGAGCTCGCCTCCCAACACCGTTTAGGGTCAGGGTCTAGCTTTGAGCCACTCAAAGGTTTAGGGCCTGTAGGGCCACTCTCGTGGGTGACTTATCCGATCCCTGACTAGACATGGGTCACACCCCGCCAGTTGCTGGTCACTCGGCTGCGTTGGGCTGCGGTTTTGCCATGCTTTGCCATGAGCAGAGCTGAGTGCGATGCTGCGTGGCTGCGAGGTCCGTGGCCTGGCCAACTCCCAGGTACTCCCAGGTTCTCTTCCCCGACAAAGAGTGACATGCCACAAAAGATGTGAATGTCGCTGAGAGCCAGTTACATGTGAAATCACACTTCCATGTGAACAATGGCGAACAGGGGACCGAGCTTAAGACACGGCTCCCCGCATGCTGCCCCCCCGCCCAAAGCAAATAAAAAACGGGACCCCCGCAAAACCCCCCCCCCCCCCGCCTGCCGTCGCAAGCCCGGATCTTCCCGAGGCTCTGGTTTTGCCGGTGCCGCTCGGAGCTCCCTTGGTCAGCTCAATATTGTTGCTTTCTGGGGGGTTCAAGAACTTGGTCGTGGATCCTACTCGTAGTGGCTGGTAGACGCCTTGCGGCTTTGTGGCTGGACAGCATGACATTCCTATTTAGCGGTGCTTTCTGTGCTGACTGATGTCAGGAGCCACTGAACCGACTGAAGAAATGTTGAGCCCGTCTGCGGACAGCTGCGTTTACGGGCGCTGGCAGAGCTGTGCCAGCGCTTGCCCGACTCTGGGCGGGCGACGGAATCGGGGTCGTCGGCATTTCGCTTGGAGCGTCCTCATACATCAAGCATGCTAAGGCAGACGCGCATCAACTTACTTCTGTTTGCGGGTAGACCTGCTACCCGAAGCCATTCCTACATCTATCGTTAGCCTTCCAAGACAAACTGAGCCTAGGTGTCCATCCATTCAAAAGTGGCTTGAGCTTGTTGTATTGTGACGCACGACAAGGCAAATCCGCTTGTCCTCCTGGAACTTCTAGTCTTGGTAGAATGGGTATGCCCAGCAAAATATGCACGTTGGGACTCGGGAATTCTCTCGCTGCTCGCACATTGGACGCAAGTCGCGCTCTCGCCTAGCCGTGGGCGTGGCACTGACTTCTTCGGAACTCCTAGACGGCCATCTGTCCTGTTTCCTGTCCTGCTATCTCTCCTTGTCCTCTCGCCTGTCCTGTCCGCTTACCTCCCACCTGTCCTCATATCTGTCCTCCTCTTGTCCGTCCTCCTCATATCTGTCCTCGTTCCTGTCCATCTCTTGCCATGTCCTCCTATCAATCTCGCTCAGTGGTAGTAGAACGTTGTTGTTGCCGATGCTGGTGCATGTGGGCATAGTCGTCCTCAAAATTTAACAACGGAAGGGAATACCTAGAAACACCCCCCCCCCCCTCCCCCGCCTTCCGTCGCAAGCCCGGATCTTCCCGAGGCTCTGGTTTTGCCGGTGCCGCTCGGAGCTCCCTTGGTCAGCTCAATATTGTTGCTTTCTGGGGGGTTCAAGAACTTGGTCGTGGATCCTACTCGTAGCGGCTGGTAGACGCCTTGCGGCTTTGCGGCTGGACAGCAGTGACATTCCTATTTATTTAGCGGTGCTTCTGTGCTGACTGATGTCAGGAGCCACTGAACCCACTGAAGAAAATTGAGCCCATCTGCAGATAGCTGCGTTTACGGGCGCTGGTAGAGCTGTGCCAGCGCTTGCCCGACTCTGGGCGGGCGGCGGAATCGGGGTCGTTGGCATTTCGCTTGGAGCGTCCTCGTACATCAAGCATGCTAAGGCAGACGCGCATCAACTTACTTCTGTTTGCGGGTAGACCTGCTACCCGAAGCCATTCCTACATCTATCGTTAGCCTTCCAAGACAAACTGAACCTTGGTGTCCATCCATGAAAAGTGGCTTGAGCTTGTTGTATTGTGACGCAAGACAAGGCAAATCACTTTATGGCAGCTATCTGTCCTCCTATCTGTCCTGTTTCCTGTCCTGCCATCTCTCCTTGTCCTCTCGCCTGTCCTGTCCGCTTACCTCCCACCTGTCCTCATATCTGTCCTCCTCTTGTCCGTCCTCCTCATATCTGTCCTCGTTCCTGTCCATCTCTTGCCATGTCCTCCTATCAATCTCGCTCAGTGGTAGTAGAACGTTGTTGTTGCCGATGCTGGTGCATGTGGGCATAGTCGTCCTCAAAATTTAACAACGGAGGGAAATACCTGGAAACCCCCCCTCCCCCCGCCTTCCGTCGCAAGCCCGGATCTTCCCGAGGCTCTGGTGTTGCCCTTGGTCAGCTTACAGTAAAACCCAAAAAGTTGGAACATCCTTATCCCCATACCCCAAAAGTTATACTTATACTAAAGGGAATCCCAGCTCAAATCATCCTACTCGTAGCGGCTCGATTTAGCGGTGCTTTCTGTGCTGACTGATGTCAGGAGCCCCTGAACCGACTGAAGAAATTTTGAGCCCGTCTGCAGATAGCTGCGTTTACGGGCGCTGGTAGAGCTGTGCCAGCGCTTGCCCGACTCTGGGCGGGCGGCGGAATCGGGGTCGGCGGCATTTCGCTTGGAGTGTCCTCGTACATGAAACATGCTACAGTACCACTTTACTTCAACGCGCACTTCTCGGGAGTGCAAGTGCAGACACGCATCAATTGAACTGTGACTTCTGAACTTGGGCCTATGGCCTGCGGTGCTTTGACAGCACTTGACCAACCGCGCCTCGCCAACGGGTGAGCCAAAGATTTTCTCCTCCTCCTCGTCGCTGTACACTGCAGAGTTGTACAAGGCTGACCCGAAGAGAGCCTCAGAATTCATCTCAGAATTCATCTCAGTTCCAGCGTGTTCCAGAACTTGAAGAACGCCGGCTACTCAAGAACTGCAGCAAGTGCGACCTCCTCGTCAAGGTCATCGAAAAATGCCTTGGCATTCGCCGCTCAGATTCATGTTCCATCGATGGAGATTTCATCTTATCTGAGATCAGCACCGACACAGGTTCCTGCTCTATGTCCTCTTCATGTCCAGACCGGCAGGGTCAAGAAATCTGGCAGAAGTCTTGTAACTGCCGTGCCTTTTCCCAGGCAGGCGAAGGCTCTACAACCTGCGACGAAGATGGTACCGAAACAATCACTTGTAGCATTTCTCAGTACACTCTCAGGGTCGAAGGTCTGCCTTTTGGGCCGCTTCAGGAGGCTTCGCCTGGACTCTCGTGTTCAAAGGGCTGCTACGGTCCAAAGAATACAAAGACATGCGAGAACAGCACTGCTTGCGCGAGCTCCTCCTCACCCAAACCCATCTGCGCCATTGCATGCATTGTTCGTTGGCGCCTCTCCTTCGCACAAACGAAACACTCCAACACTCTAACCCTCTCCCCCCCCCCTCCAGAAACAACAAACCAAAAAACTCAATCATGCCCCGACACCTCTTTCAACTCCTCTTCCTGGGTGCGTCGCTCTTGCTCCTCCTCCTCCTCCTATTGGCAATGAGATTTTGAGTCGCGTCAGTGAAACTGGAAAGTGGCCCACGGTGGGCTTTCAGGCTCCGAGTCCGGCCCCGGCCTTCCGCTGCTGCTCCAGGACCTGCTGGGGTTGTAAGCTTAGGCTCACGGCCCTTTTGGGTCATGGAAGAGGGCTGGAGGGCCTTTAATTGGGATCGAGAACAAATGGGCTCCGTGTTCTTCTGCTCCCCTGGATCACGGGCAGCAATCTTGTACCTGCAAGGCGTCCAACAGCTGTCACAAAAACCCCAAACAGTCCAGGAGGGCACCAGCCCTCTCCCAAGATCTTGTCGGGCGGATCAGGCCTCGGAGCAGTCTAGGGGAGGTACAAGCAGCTTTGGAAGTGGAAAGTGAGAGAGTGAGAGTGAGAGTGAGAGAGAGAGAGAGAGAGAGACACAGGCAGTGAGAAAGTAAGAGGGAGAGAGAGGGCGACACGAACAGTTTTGGGCCTGAGGCTCTGGCACACCATCGTGGCGAGCGTAAGCAATTAGCAAATACCTAGCAAGTAGACTCCCGCATTGTAGAAGCCCTCACGCCAGACGACAATGCACAGGCTGCTGAGATGTCTTTTCCCGGGCATGCAGTTGATCTTTGAAACCGCCGAGAGCGGTCGCTCTGGCTGGATGCAACAACTGACAATGCGCTCTTCGTCAAAGTCTTGTGCGGATGTAGCCAACCGCAGCTGCACAAAGGCAAAAACCGGTCTATCTCCTAGGGATTCTTCCCCAAACACACGGACGGAAACGCCGCTCTTCTGAGTCTTTGGAAACTCTGTCTTCACACCCCCGCACACTGACTTCAAAAACAAGCAGGCGGAGTGTCGGCAGCGACTAAATGTGGAAGGTTCAGCAGGGCCAAGCTTCTTTAAGCTGTTGAACCTCTGTTTCCCCTCCCACAATTCACACAGCTCTCTCGCTGAATTTTCCGGTTCTTACGGTCTTACGGGTTCTTCCTCCGAGAGCACAGCGGCTCAGCAGGCCCCCAACGTTTTGAGCAATTGGAGCCAGGAGTTCAACACTCCCATCTCGCACCGACTGTGTATATATTGTACAATATACATATGTATAAGCCTCTGTAAGGATGTCTACCTATAGGAAAGTGACGAGAGGAGACATAAACACATAAACACATAAACAGAACCAATCGGGTACCTCAAAACTTCTCAGTAAACTCTTCTCAGAGCTGAGATGTTTGATGCCGGCGATCACACGTTCTCGCGCAAGGCTTCGAATGCCTGGTTCGCCTCCTCTGAGAGCGGCTCCAGCATATGCTTGGCCAAAGTTGCAAGACTCATTCGCGACAAGGCCGCATGGAACCTCCGGATGTGTCTGTCCTCCGCAATATTCTTCTCTTGCGTGCCATAACTTCGCATCTCCTCCTCCAACTTGCAAATGAATGGGGTGGCTTGGCGAAGAAGACCCATCTGATGTGCCCTGTTCTGGAAGTGCGGCAAAAACCTTAGACTTCTAGGCCACTGCACAGCACAACACACTCCCACTAATCTCGGCGCCAAACGAAGGGCTTCAAGGGGGGAACCCTCGTAAGGGACCTTAGGGTTTTTGGGGTTATTTGGGGGCTATTTTGAGGCTACTTAGGTTTTTTGGGTCTATATAAAGTATACATACAGGGATATATAAAGGAAAAAGATTCCTTCTATAGGGGTCCCTCCCTATATCCCGCAAGCCCCGACTCCACCCTAGCCACAGCTTCCCGATCCCCACCTGCCCCATGGGTGATTGCTCCTAACACTCCGTCATTGTTGACAAAGGCAATCCACAACGAGTCCTTTGCAAGAGTGCCCAAGAAAGCAGTCGCCTCGATCCAACAAGAGGGCCCACACGCTTCAGCATCGCAGCAACCCACCGCGACGCACCCGCTGCATCACTCCACGTGACGCTGCACTGCCGCACCACAACTGCTTCCCTCCTCACCGGCGTAGCAGCCCCACACAAGTAGTGAATGAACCACTGTGCTGCACGGCGAAGAATTGGAGATACGCAGGTGCGCCACAGAGGGGCATGTGCCTTGTCGTGAAATGGCCGAATGAATGCTCTCCCAACCCTGTTCAGAAACCGTCACAGCAAAGCTAAGACGCCCTGCCAACTTAGAAGCTTCACCTGGCGCCAACTCGCGTTCTGCGACCAGTCGTTGAAGCGCCGTGCAGCACATTTCAGCTTTGCGCTCAACGTGGGTGTAGAAACAATCTTCAGCACACATAATTTCACATTTTGCGCCCAGGACAGGCAAAACCAAAGCACGACTGGCATCTCTGGATGGATCAGAAGGGAAACCGAGCAGCCCGGCCATAACTGACAAAACAGCGCCACCACGCCAACGCAGCCCGATACGCGAGATGCCAAAATGATCATCAACATATCTGACTGGGGCCCTGAACAACTTCCGGACAATTTGTTGCAACAAGAAGCCAACGCGATGCCGGGCATAAACAGCAGATATGGCGCCGAAAGATGAGAATGCACAGATTGCTTCTGGGCAGCTTCAGTGTTTCTCGACCATCCGCTGTGTTTGCACCAGCTGGTCCTGAACTTCACACATCTCTTCCACCAGGGCTTTCCAAGCAGCAGCGGCCGCGACGAGCATGTTTTTTGCACTTGAGGGTGGCTGGCACTTGTTTCGGCCGAAGGGGCTTGTACCCATCACCCAACAGCCTTTGCAAAACAAAAACGCTTTCTTTATCGGAGAAAAAGCGGCTGGCTTCCAGGGTCTGCTGCTTGAGGTGCCCTCCTCCCATCTCAAGATCTGCCCATGGGAGGGCCATCTATTTTTTCCGGGGCCAGACCTGCCTCGCGCCTCTCTTGCAGAGGGATTGGTTCCGTGTCCCACGATGAGCGGGGCTTCTGAGAGCTTGCCAAATTTGGCCACCTACCCACGCAGCATCCTGCCTCTTTGCCACCCTGCAACATTCCCGTGGGGGAGGACCTTTGAGCAAAATTGGCTTGACCCAACAAAGGCGTGAGCCAAAATGGCTCGAGCCACTCAACCACGCAACCACGAAACCACGCAACCCCCGGCCCCACCCAAAAGAACACAACCCCCCGGCCCCACCCTAAAGAATTGAGTCTCCCCCCCGCTCCCCTTTGCCAGAGACCTCACGACATCACGACAATGGAAACAAATCAGCTTTGTACTCAGCCAAGAGACACAGCGAGCATTTGGCAAGTGGTCATCTTCTGCAGGGTGCGCCGCTGCTTTTGGTCCAGCTTTGAATCGAGGGCAAGGTGGGCATGGTGGCAAAAATTGCAGGAGACTCCCAAACGGCAGCACCCTCCCTTCACCAGATAAACGCATGGCCGCCGGCAGAGCTCAGGATGACCCAAGCTTCCGGGATTTCCGGGATTTCCGGGATTTCCGGGATTTCCGGGATTTCCGGGATTTCCGGGATTGGGGCATGGTGACCCGATGGTCCCAATATTCCCCATCTCAAGCGGCCGCACGGGCGGGGCGGGTGGCGGGAACCGACCAAGGCACGCCTTCAGGCTGTTGAGGCTGTCGATGTCACTCGACAGCTTCGCCATGGCAGTTTTGAAGACAAGAGCCGCTGGGAACAAGGCGCGGGGCTCGGGGAGCCAAGAGAGGAGAAGCCGGCGGGTGCCGAGACATGTTGCCAAGCCATTCGAATGTTGCCAATGCAGGTCCAAACCGAGGCCAGCGCAGAGTGTGCTTGCACCTGTCCAGGTCCTGGGCCTGAGAGCCATCACGGAATCGAGTTGTCCACCGGTGCTTGGCAAGCCACTCTTCACCTGCTCTCAACCTGCTCTTCACTCTTCTGTGGCCTCGAAGTAGCCAAGACGTTCCCACAACAGAATCCTCGGCTCTGAACACACAAGCATCACGAAATGAGTTTTTTTGTAACGGCGAGAGGCATGTTGGCCAGGAACTGGCTGCCTTTGATCCGCCCGACCACCCACCTTCAGTGAACATCGGAGTTTGTGTTCTAGAATCTAGAGAAGGGTCTACAAGTGGTCTACAAGTGCTGCTTTCTTCCGAACCTGCAGCTTGCACAAAAGGCTGCAAGCCGTGCTGGGTCAAGCTTGGGAAACCTCTTATCTGTCGTCGATGGACAGAAAGGCCGAGTTGGATCGCAACATGTGTGGCATTCGGACTGGTGACGCCTAGAGGGCCACCCACAAGGCCTAAAAACATCCATGATAGTGCCCTCGGCTCATCTCGGCTCCTAGACTCCAACTTCCCACATCACAAGCACCTTGTGTGCGGGAGCACACCGAACACACGGAACACACGGAACACACTGAAAAGCTCTGAGCAACTCTGAGCAACTATGAGCTTGCAGCATCTTGGAGCCCTAAGACCCCACGACCTTTCTCAGCCTCCTTAAGCCCCCGGGCCTCCGCAGCACAATGTCGTGCAGCTTCGGGCTGATGGCCTTCTCCAGCAGATTGGTGCCTCCAAAGCCACAAGATGCCAGAGGCCCACACCAAGAAAAGAATCCCACACCTCTTTCTGGGCGCGCTCTCGTCATCTCACAGATAAGCTCGGAGAATGAAACCCGAGAAAAAAAAAGGAAAAAAAGCTGCGCGCCTCGCTTCCGACCCAGGTAGACCACGCGGTCGATGAGGCAGGCCAGGGCCTCACAACGCGGTGCCCAGGTAGTACCACTGTATTTTATCATATATTGCTTGCTTTTTTTGCTCTCTGTGTCTTTCGAGCTTTTGTGGTTCAACTCTGACTCTTGTAATATGATTCAATCTATAGGCCAGGGATGTGCCACGTCGGTGCCGGAAGAAGAGCAAGGATACGGGGCAACTTTTTCCCGGCTGCTTCGCGCTGAGGCAACGGCCAAAGGCATGTTGGCTGGGTAGCCCCCCCTCGCCACCTTGTCGGGGTACCTGTTGTGGCCACTCTGAAGCTGATGCGCAGTGCGCCAGGTTTGCCAATGGGTGTGTCACCCCAGTTCGTGATTCTCTGAGACCCCGGCGTCAGGGTTGCCTTCGCCACAGATTCGAGGATCTCAAGGCGGAAGGTTTGATGCGGTTTCCATCTACCCGAAAACTGATGCCACACTTCGTACACTGTACATCACTCTACACTTTGTGTTCCTCATACAGCTATACTCATTTGTACTTCCCAGCACCCCACAGTCCACACTCCAAAATTGAAACCGAGACTTGGTCACTTATCGGATGTGAGGAAAGCGCGAATCTTGGCCCGCCACCTGTGCCACGCGACTCGGAGTGGCCTTAGGTTTCGGCTGTACGAGAGTTGGGGTGTAGCCGCCCTAACTGGGCTTGTCAAGTACCAATTGGGAAAAGGCTTGCACCTTCAGCGCGTAGTGTGCTGCTTGCCAAATGTGCTCACAAGCCTGCGCACGCCCAAAGGATTTTGCGTATGTGTGCTAAGATTGATTCATATTGCCTATCAGGGTAAGACCCGGCAAGACGCCCTCAACGCTTTTGAGGGAAACCGGCCTTGCTTGGGTCGATCTCCACATGCGCCATGTCCCGTGCCACCAGCTGCTTGATCATGCCTGGCACTGGAAGCTCGGTTTGACTTTTCTTTGAAGCCCCTCGAAGTTGAAGCCGCTCTCCGAGTGCTCTTCTTCTTCTTCGGGGCATGAAGGGCGCACAGGCACCCTCCGCGCGCAAGGCGCGCCCAAGTCTTCGTCTGAGTCGGCGTTTCATGCCGACTCCGAGTGCTCTCTCTCTTTTTCTTTTTCACAGTTGCTCTCCGAGCGCGCTCTGGTGCTCTGGGGGCGCGGCACTTGATGGCCTCCTTGCGCTCTGCGTCTTCCACCGTCACCTTTCAACGTGAAGGGCCACAGCGGAAGGGCCCCACCCACAGAGGGGGGCTCAGGGGGCGCTCGAGCGAAGGGAGACTCAAAGCAAATACTCCCTTGCTTCCCCCGGGCATCGGACTTTCTCCTTCTCGATTGTGAACCTGCTTGGATGGCGCTCGACAATCTCGCGGACATGGTCTGGGTCCTTATAGACACGGGGCAGGGCCGGGTAGGGGGGACAGAGGCAGGGGACCTTTTGCCCTGAGGCCAACACCGCGGGCGGCTCGAAGGCGTCACCGATCTCCCTCGGACCGCATACGCACCCGGCGAAAAAGCCAAGGCCATCTCAAGCCGTCTCCTCTTTCCATCCTCTTTCCCTGAATCAGCTTCCGGCTCGAAGGATGCACAGTCGTCCTGCTCAACCGTGCCACAACCCACAAGATACATAGACTCCCAAGCCGACACAGCTGCACGAACAGGCACCAACAGGCTCGGGGCCTCCCCCGAGAGCAGAAAACGTGCGATCTCGTCGGCGCTCAGCTCCTGAAAGACACTGAACATTCACAGAAATTGGCCCCGGAAGGGCGGACCAGGCTGAAGATGTAATAAAAAACGTAAAACCCCCGGAAGGCCGAGAACGACGTCGAACTCAGCTGACCACTATGGCCCCTTATTCCTTGAACCCCGGCCTTGAAGATCTTGGGCCTCCTCAGCTTTCGATGGGCCTGTCGCGACATCTGGCAACCAAACTTAGTCAATCTCAGCCACCTCCTCGGCATTTCTTGTCCTTTCTTCCTCTTCCTCACAACTGCAACGTGCAACTCTTCTGAATCGGCATCATCGGCCCTGGGATCTTTTCAAGCTGGGGCTGTTGCCATGGCGTGTCTTTGCTGTTGGCAGAGGTTGGCAGAAGCAGGGAAGCAGCCGAGAGCTTTTGGGCGCACACCGCACTTGTCATTGTCTCGAAGTCTATTCCTGACCTGTCAGTCGGACCTTGTCCAACCATCCAAATCTGCGATTGGCTGAATAATGCGGAGTCGGGCGGCTCTTGAAGCCTTTATTCGGGTCAGCACCATGCGAAGTGTAGCTGCCGTAGCTATGTGGATGTCCAGTGTCTTTGTCGACTGTAGCAACTGTAGATCCGCTCTTCAGATTGCCGCGAACCTGGAATTTTCGGATGCCGCGCCTCAAAATTGAGGAATAGGATCGATTTCCCGAAATTTGCCTGAATTCGTTTAGATATCACAAGGCCCTTTGGCTGGCATTCTTAGGGGTCATCATAAGGGCGACAAAGTGGCCAAGTCTGCCCAAGTGACATGAAGTCAAGTTTGGGCTGCTGCAGATTCGCAGCTCCGGCAAAAGCTGTGCCACAAATTTGTGAATTGACGTGAACACCGCGGTCATGCATGATGCTGCATGACCGACAGTTCAACAGAAGCCTTGGCACAATTCACGGTGGCAAGCTGCGTGGCTTTCACATTGGCTTTCACATCGCAAAGCATCGAAGAAAGGGAATGCGAAGTAAGGCCTAAGACAAGTGAACTGCGCGGCAGGCTCAAAGCTTGCACGGCCCGGGCTGTGGGACCTGTCCTGTCGTTGAAGGAAAACTGCCACAGTAACGACGTAACATGACGTAACGTAAGAGGCGTAAGAGACGCAAGAGTGCACTCCCCCAGTGTATTCTCAGTATCGCACAGCGCGCCGGGCCCAGCACCGGGCATAAGCCGGGGCTTCAGGTGCCCGGGTACTTGGTACCGAGCACGTTGTGTATTGTGGGTGGACCATCTGTCCATCACCAGAACACAGTGGCACATAGCTCTAGGGTTCACTGGAGAATTCGCTTGGGTTCTCTAAAGCGTCCATGGCTATGCACAAGCATGTTTCGTGAACCTGCACGCGAGCATTGACGTGAGGGGCCGCGGCCCAGCATTGATTCGAGCTACTCAAAGGCGTTCAAAACGCAATATCGAGGGAGGCTTCGAAGATCTTCGAAGCTCCGAACTGCCCTCATTGGAACCAGCTGCCGCATGATGGGAAGGCCGGGATTTCCGGGAAGGAGCATAGGTTGCCGACACTTGGCCGACCGCCTCAGCTTTTAGACGTTGATGTGCGCGCAGACTCACACACGACATGTCATCCAAAACATGTCTCGACATCATACACACTTCGTCACGTGCCTCCGCAGAAGGGGTGGAAGGTGAATGAAGGGTGTGCGTAGATTCGCAGAGATCGCAGATTGCGTCACTCAGGTTACTCTCACATCTCTCACAGGTGACAAATTCGCATGGCAGCGGGCGGCACTTTGTTACCGGCGGCGAAAGACTTGCAAGCAATCCAAGAACAAGGGCCACCTCGGCAGCTCGACGATTTCTGCCAGGCAGAACTCACCTTCCACCTTGTCCTGAAACTCCTTTGAGAATGACTGGCCGTGTTGAGGGATGTTGGGCAAATAGGACCCGAAGGTGCTCGTTCGCCACTCACCGACAAGAATCAGCTCCTGGCCCTGATAGTGCTCCAAGCACTGCAGGCCAAAGCTCCCCTGGCCACGGTCGTCAGGTTCATCAGGCCACATCAGCACCAAGGTCCGCTCTGGATGCTCCAAGATAACCTCTGGCCCGCCACGGAACACCTCGCAGTACGTTCCCTCTTCGGCCCCTTCAGAGTCGAAAGCAAGGATGTCCACGGACAGGTCCTTCAGCAAAGCCGCCCAGTAGCCGTTGCCGGCCCCGACCTGGTTTCTTGCTTTGGTTTCGCGGCCTCTCGGTGTTCCAACGCGGGATTCGAGTGTTTCAGGCAAAAAAAAGGGGGCCGAAAGTTATTTCGAGGCCTCCAGGAGGGGAGCCCGCCGCTGCAAAGCCTTCAGCGCCTCAGTCGTCGGAAGGCTGCGGGCGAACTTCTGGCGGAGGCTTCGCTGCTCCGCAGCCATGGAACTCAGCTCGTCGAGCACAACGGCCTCTGCATGCATCCACTGGGAAAGGAGCCAAGAGCCCCAAAGCCGCAGCTTCTGCACGTAGATCTCCACATACGAGCACTCAGAGCTCTCGCAGAAGCACTCCCAAGGTCTTGGCTGCTCCGCTTGCTCCGCTTGCTGCTCCGCTTGCTGCTCTGCTTCTTCAGGCCCTGTCGGGCTCCCCCTCCCGTCCCAGGGCCACGTGGCCTTCTCCAGCCTGAGCCGTTGCTCGGGGCATGGGCCCAAGGAACCCACCAGCCAAAGGTTGACGAGGTGGCACGCCTGCAGCAAGTGGCCTTGGCTTCAGAATCAGAACAACTCGGGAACATGCAGTTGGGTAAGGAGCAATCGGATCGAGCAATGCGCAAACGAGCGCCACAGCATGCCGGAGCCATGTTCGGTCATGGCTACCAAGAAACCAGTGACCTCTGCACCCTCCCTCACATGCCCTGTTCTGAACACATCGACAACTCCTGCACTGAATGCGCTGTGCATCACTGTGCACCACTGCGCACCACTGCGCACCACTGCGTTTGCACTCGGTGTCTCTTGGGCTGTAGCCTCGCCCTTGGCTACAAGCATTCTTGAGTCCTTGCCGTAGCTCGGCTGTTGCTTTTGGGCGAACAAGCAGGGCGCCGCTCTTGTTGCCAAAGCTTTCAAAGGTCTGATTCTGGGTATGGGAGGAATAGCTATAGGACATTGAACAGCTGCGCGGAGATTGGCCTCTTCGTGGACACAAGTTCACCAGATTTCACCAGCAACGACTAGATCTAGCACAGACTCACAAACCTTTGCAATGAGACCATTTGCAGAAGCCACTGAAAGAACATTCCGATGTCCAAAGCACAGCTCACGACGATTCCTGCGATAACCCGGCCTGGCTGGCAAAATATGTTGGTCGCAAAACGCTCGACGTTCACTAAAAGCAAAGTCCAGCTCAATTGCTCCGAGTGGCCAGGCGGCAAACCGTCGAAGAGGCTCTTGCTGAGGCTTGCCACTGAGGAAATGTCGTCCCTCAATCGGCTGGCAGCAGCTTGTAGTCTGTGTAACCATGGCGTGTGTGCTTTCTTGCAGGCTGGGCATTGCTTGCACTGCCCCTCTGCGTTCGTGAGACTCGCCAGAGCGCCACGAACGACGGAGAGCTGCCGTCGCTCAGCTTCCGCGCAGGCTTCCTGCAGCACCCTCCTCTCGCCGCCGCGCTGGAGCAAAGCCATGCGGCGAGGCCCGGACAGCCCGGACAGCCCGGACAGCCCGGACAGCCCGGACAGCCCGGACAGCGTTCTCTGGTCCTCGGTCTCGCTGCCACGCAAGTCTTGGAGCTTGGCCTTGAGGAGCTGGGAAACCAAAAGCAAGGCCCGCATCTCCAGCACTTGCCCCACTTGCCCCACTTGCCCCACTTGCCCCACTTGCCCTTTCTCCTTCTCCAAAGAGGACAAGGAGTCCAAGCAGGCCGCCGCTTCGCCCGCCGCGTCCGCCGCGTCCGCCGCTCCCTCTCGAGCTCTCGGAGGGCTTCGGCTGGGCAGGTGCTGGGCTCGGACTTGGCCCAAGAAGTGGCGCGGGAGCGGATCTTGCTGGGTGAGCGTGTGGCGTACAATCAGCTCCCGCGCCCCTTCAAAGCTTTCTTCTGCAGGACTGTGGAGTACGTCGAAGTTGGCAGCGGTGCAAGCATCGAGGAGCCGTCGGTGCACCGCAAGCTTTGATCCGGTGACCTGCAGGGAGAGTGTGATTTGGGAGCTTTCCAGCTCCGCATCCTGCAGAGCAAAGCCAAAACTCTGCAACATCTGGCTGTTGAACATGGGCTGCACGTAGTTGATAAAGGCCTGCTCACCGGCTGCCAGCCGCGTGCCAGCCCGTACGACCACTGTTCGACCCTCCAGCTTAAAGAGTCCCGGAGGCATCAAAGGCGAATGATTGAACATGTCAAGGCCCGGCACGATGGCGAAGAGAGCGCCCGACTTTCCGTGCCCCGGGCTTTGAGAACCTTGATAACCTTGAGACCCTTGAGGGCCTTGCTCCTTTTGCTCCTTTTGCTCCTCGCCCTTCTGGAAGCTCAGGGACATAGCCCTCGAGGCAAAGATGCTCCACGCCCACTGGTAGCTTGCAAAGTTGAGGCCCTCGCTCCTCGAGAGCTTCCGGCGGAGCTCTGCGAAGTCCTCCGGAAGCTCGTCCTTGAGTCGCATGGCATGGGTCTGCACCTCGCTTCCTTCCAGCTCCTCGAGGTCTTCATCCGCCCAGAAATTTGGTAAGCCCATGGACTCCAGTGTGGGCAGCTGCCTCAAATGGCTTGACCACTCTGAGTCTTCTTTCTCCGCCTCTCTCATCAGATGCACCAAGATGGCCTCTTTCTCACTCAAGCTACGACCATCCATTCCCAAAGCTTTTCTTGCCCGCTCTGCCGTCCAACAGTTCTCCAGCTCCACAACCAGCAGCACCTCACCTTCTTCTATGTCCCGTAAAGCTGCTACACCTCGCCCGGTCGATTCGAAATCCTTCAGACAAACCGACTTGGACAGAGCGAGCTCCATTGCGGCTACCGCTGGCTAAGACCTGGTAAGCTGATATGTTTAGGTTGGCCGTGCGCCGATTGTTAGCGTGCTTTCTCCTTGTTGCCAGACTCTTCGTGTCGCAGCATCTCCCTCGGCACCAGCAACTATCCTGTCTTGAGGCGCACACAGCGCCTGAGATGCGATCTCCAACTGAAAGTCCACAAAGAGCCGACAAAACACGGCTCTACACAATGGCTCTGACCCAGCTGAGGTCTGCACCCTTCGGAGTGGAGGAGGAAAATCGACGCTCAGTAGTAGCCAAGAGCTCCTACACGAAGGAAGCCCTTTTGGGAACTTTCCTGCGCTCTGCCATTCTATTCACAGAGATTTCTCTGTATGCAGATGGAAAGGTTATATTAGGTTGGGAGCTACGACTGTGTCATCTAAGGGACAGATTTGGGCTCCTTCTGGCGCTTTGGCGTGGGCGGGAGCAGGCCTGAAGTGTCGATATTGCCGACGCGAGTCGTTGGACTGTGGGCCCTTGTGAGGGCCCGGCTGCTCCATGCGGCAACTCGCCAAATATAGATCTTCCTGGAATAGGACTTGGTACATCTCGGTACGATGCTGCTCGTTGATACTCCTTGATACTCTTTGATACGAGTACTCTTTGAGACTCTCAGCACTGCACTCAGCACTGCACTCACCCTGCTCTCACTGAAAGCCTCACGCCTCACGCGAGGAAGCCCGGGCCTCGAGTCCAGATGACGCTCGTCGCGGGCACCTTGGACCTTTGGAGACGCTGTTGAAGAGGCTCTTGGACAAGGAGGCTACGATATCATCTTCTTACGGGGGCGAAAGGCAGCTCTGTCACCCCATCCCTCTGATCGGTCATCTTCTGGGCGTTTGGCGGTCCACTCGTCCCGGTTTGACAGCAGGTACATGGTGATGTAGATTGGCCTAGCGAGGCTTCTTTTGCCCGAGAGAGGCTGGACCGTTGCCAAGTTGCGGGCCGCATGCTGCATTCATGCGGAGAGTAGCCGAGGGATGCCGAGGGCTGAGCGGGTGGGTCCCGATCTCATTCAGCTTGACTTCTGGAATCACACTTCTGGGGGGCCTGCATGTGGCTCGAAAATTGCTCTTTGTAGCTTGTAGCGCGTCGGAGAGGACAGAGCTCCGGGCACTCTCCAGCCGATGGCATCGACAAATTGAGCTATGCACCAAAAGCCTCATGTTCACAGGCGTCGTTGAAGGGTGGTGGACCCTTGGAACCAGTGTTGGATAGCATTGGACCCTTTAGCCTCTCAGGCCGGGGCCGAAGGTGAAGGTGCGACCCGGCTGGAAGTCCAGACCTTGCATTACCTCCGGTGGCAAAAAGCCAGTGCTTCACATGATCCGAAGCAGGCTGTGGAAAAAGTCCAGGAGGCCTCTTGCATGCCCTTGCGGTCCTGTGCACGGATCGTGCCGTAGGAGGAGAAGTCGGGGTCCTTAAAGCCCGACGGCCATCCCAATCAACTGGATGTGTCCCGAGCACGAGCTTTTTAAAAAGTGTCCAGTCTTTTTGCTTTGTTTTTTGTTATTTCGTTTCCTTCTGCATGCTGTCTGGAGTGCGTCAAAAGCGTTGACATCATATGCGGCGTCATGTGAAAAAGAAGAGAGCGGCTCAGGCTAGCTGCCTATGCATGGTTTCAGGGTGGGCTACCCGCATCTTGAATAATGTGGCACACGCTTGCAAGTACTGAAAGCTTGGAAGCAAGTTGGGCGTTTCGCGGGCGCGACGTCATCTGACAGTGGCTGCGCAAATTTTGGGCCTAGGATTCTGGGTTGTGTGGGCTCAAGCTTGTACGAACACCTTGCTCGACACTTCTCGACCGCTCGTGCTGTGCGT